AAAAAAATTTATAAAGATTTATACTTACGAATCTTTATCTTTGGGTTTTTATTCTTCAGAAGCCCATCCGAACTTAAAAAATAAAGAAAGAACGGTTATTAGTAACTGTTCGTAATAAAAAAAACAAAAAAAAAATTTTTAAAGATTTATACTTACGAATCTTTATTTTTGGGTTTTCGTTCTTCAGAAGCCTACAAATAAAGAAAAAAACAGTTATTAGTAACCATTAATAATAATAAAAAAACAAAAAAAAAAATTTATAAAGATTTATACTTACGAATCTTTATTTTTGAGTTTTCGTTCTTCAGAAACCCACTAAACCTAAAAAATAAAGAAAAAAATGGTTATTAGTAATTGTTAATAATATTAAAAAAAAATAAAACTAAGATTCGTACTTACTTACGAATCTTAGTTTTTTCCCTTCCTCCTTTTCCATTTTTACCTTAAAGTCTGGTTTCGTGAACAAGCCGGTGTCCTCCTACACATCCTATAAAAAAAATAACGAAAAGAAATGTTAGTTCGTTTCTTAATTAAAATTAAAAAGATAAATTAAAAAAAAAAATTAAAAAAAAAATATGTAAGTTTCGAAATGAAACTTACATTACTTCTAAGAAAAAGAGGCAGAAGAGGGTGTAAAAAGGGAGAACAAAAAGGAAAGGAAAGGACAAAAGGGAAAGGGAGGATGAACGAAATGGAAGGGAAAAGGGAAGTTTAAAAAAGATGATCCTTTTTTAAACTTTAAATATACGTAATGTATGACGTGCAATTATTCAACCAATATCTAATTGTAGATCATGATCAAATTTTTGATTTTAGTCGAATATAGGCCAAATTTTACTAAGGCCAAATATTCCTTTTTCAACTAGTGCAACTAGAGCTCTACACGGGTCGGGTTAGGTCAGTTAACCTGAACCGAAATTTTTTTCAGGTCAGGTCAGGTTGAGTAAATCGTTCTGACCTGACTTGACCCATTTGCCCAAAGTATTCGGGTTACCCAAAATTTTATTATTAAATATTGTAAAAAAACGTTTTGTAATGTTTTTTACTTTTTGTTTTTATATATAAAATGCCAAAACTATTTGTTTCAGCATTTTTCCTTTTGATTTTACATGTAAAAATGCCAAAACTGATAGTTTTGGCATTTTTTTTTTGATTTTACATGTAAAAATGCTGGAATCATTAGTTCTGGTATTTTTCTTTTGATTTTACATGTAAAATGCTGAAACAAATAGTTTCAGCATTTTTTTTTCGATTTTACATATAAAAGCGTCAGAATAATTTGTTCTAGCATTTTTCTTTTTAATTTTACATGTAAAAATGCTAAAACTAATAGTTTTGGCATTTTTTTTTGATTTTACATGTAAAAATGCCAGAATCATTAATTCCGGCATTTTTCTTTTGATTTTACATGTAAAAACGCCAAAACAGATAGTTTTAGTATTTTTTTTAATTTTACATGTAAAAACGCTGGAATCATTATAAGTTTCAGCATTATTTAATTTATTTGACCCAAATATATGTTGGGTTAACGGGTTGGGTTGGGTACTGACTAGCACTGATCCGACCTGTGTCAGGTCATGAATTTGATGACCTGACTTGAATATTTCAGGTCAACCCGTCAGGTCACCTGATCTGTCAGGTCAGGTTGCAGAGCTCTAAGTGCAACAAGGCTTGAAATACAACATGCCAGCCATGTAAGAGAACTCCAAACAATACTGATACAACTCACATTTGAGTTTGCATAAAGTTTATATTAAAATTTTGCGTATTATAGGGTATTTTCAAAATTTTATTATCCTACATACTTCTGCTTTTAACAACTAGTGATTTGATTTAATAAAATTTATATCATTAGATTCTTTTCTTGATGAGAGGATTCTAATGATAGTAAAATCAAATTCCTATCTTCAATATTGATAGAGTTATATCATAAAATGTATTTTTATTTCAGTACTTAAAGTTTATTTGTAAGTTATATTAGTATTATTTGGGTCCTCACATAAGCAACCATGTTTAATAAACCTTTTCTTCCTTAAGAAAGCGAGTAGGATGTAATCATCAAAAATAATCATTGATAGATTTCTTGTAATGAGCATTTTCATAGGTTTGTTTAAGTTCAACAAGTTTTGGATCATCATTACAAGCTATAAGGTACACGTTGAGTGTGGAGCATCAATTTGAGATGGCTGAATTTTTTGATGTGTAATTAAACCTTCTAAAAAAAATTGTTGGTATCGGTCTTTCCTCTGTGGTAAAGAAAATCTAGTTCTTGCTGAAAAATCAAAGTTGCCAGTGTCAGACATTAAAGTAACTACTGAGTCATGTTTTTTTCTTGTATAGGTGATACATCACTTGATGCAAATGTACCTAGACATTTTCATTGCACAGCAGGAGTGGGAACTTTCATATATTTGTATTTTTGTGCCATTACAATTTTAATAAAGTTTTGACCAGATATACTATAAATAAAAAAAAACAAAACAAAAATAGCATTTTATTCTAAGTAAACTTGTTCAAAAGGCAAAAATACATATGTTTTAAATTTTAGGGCCATATAAAATATATGATAAAAAAAATTTTTTTTATTGCCAAAATTTAATCAGCTATTTTAGGAAATGATTGGTAAAAATAGTCACGTGATCAAAGAATTTTTCTGTGCTGTTGAGTTTTAAGAGTATTCATCATGAGTATTTATTAATTAACTTATATTTATGCAATTTTTTGGTTAAATAATGATTTATGTACAGTACTATTTAAGTTACTAATTGTGAGTATTGTAATACCAACTTGATTGTTTTCTTTCTATAAGCTTCAGTATAATAATATAATTTTCAATCCTCGTACTAAAATGCAATAAAGGAATGTAGAAAGTTTTTTATATATAATAATTATTGATTTGTTTGTTCACATGAAATATTTTATAGATATTGTACGATGGTATTTATATTGATTAAGTGACGTTGTCTTTTCTTTGGATTTCTTTCAGGTTATTGCTTTTCGGGCTTCTTTTGGATTTTTTCTTTGGGTTTCTTTTTTGAGTTTCTTCTTGGGCTTCTTTGTAAAGGCTGGTTTATAAAGATAGAATCCGTGGAGCAAGAACAATTGAGGGAGGAATAAAGCATAAAAACATATCTGCTGGATCCTTTACATCGTAAAGAAATGGGAGTTTGGTGTATTGGTTTCGTCCAGAAGAAGCAGAGCTCGAATTTCTGATTTGCCTGCAATCATAAAAATTATTAATTAGCGAAACTAAACATGACTAATAAAATTTAATCATTTCACATATCTCGGCCCAATCTTTACCTGAAGAATTCGGAGATGATTGGGCGGAAGATGATGAATTAGTGGAGGAGAATTATGAAGCCTCATTTGTTAATCAAATCCATTTCTATTTGTGTTTTGGGTTAAGAAATATCTGGAGAGATGTACTTTACAGAAACTTCAAGATCGTAGCGATGGCTTAATGTGCAGTAACTGCAAATACGTAATTTCTTTACGATTACATAATGTGGTCACTATGTATTTAATACGCAGTTACTGCGCATTAAGCCATCGCTATGATTTTGAAGTTTCTGTAAAGTACATAATTGTTCTGCCAATTGATTCGAATTCAGTAGCAATTCGATTAAAATTATTTTGTTAGGCTTCTAGAACTAGTCACATTATTTATCATGGTAATGATCTTCTATGTTTCCATTGCATAGGTTACATCACGGTAGGGATGGTTAGGTCAGTCCTGGTCCGGTCCTGGTCCTGGGACCTATAAGTCCTATTGAACGGACCTGGTCCTGACTAAGTTATTTATAGATTTTATGAATTTAGTGATAACTAAATATAAAAAAGTGATTTGCGAGATTGGGATTCACTTTTTTATATTGATTTGATATAAAAAAAGTGAGTTGCGGTATTGCGATTCACTTTTTTTATATTGATTTTGTGAGTTGCGGTATCGCGATTCACCTTTTTATATGATTTTAATATAAAGATGTGAATCGCAATATCGCAACTCATTTTTTAATATGATTTTAATAATATAAAAATTGTATTGCAATATTGCAGTGCATTTTTTTATAATTTATTATTACTTAAAATCAAATTTACAGCAAACTATACATATATAATCTAATATAATTTTATATAGATCTCTTATAACCTACATATTTAATGTTTGATTTCTATCTAATATATATTGATACTTTATTAGCTAGGACTTTTTAGGACCTGTTCCGCTTCTGGTCCAAAATTTGGACTTAAAGATCTGCAGACCAGGTCCTAGGATCAGGTCTTTAGGTCCAGGACCTAGGACTTTACCATCCCTACATCACAGGGATTTATTGTTGCAGTAATTTCGGCTTTAATTTTGCCGATTTCTTCAACGATAGTGGTGTTGATTTTGGTATCATGATCGTTTTTCTCATTGACGATTTTTGCCCAAAAAGAACCACATAAAGATTAAACCTACACAAGTGGATATTTTCGGAGAACATTTTCGCAACGACAAAAAACAAAGCGGTTAAAGCCATAAAAGTCATATTTTCTCGACGTTAAATAGATGATGCGTCTATGCAAAGAAAATCCGATTAAAATATTAATTGTGGGAACGCACAGATATTCTATTATCAAGCGAAGATAGGTAAAATTGAGTTCGACTGGTTTATTTTTGCTAAATTGTTATTTGTTTATTAACTTTATTTTTTTTTTTATTTCTAGCTACAGAATGACATTTTATTATTATCAACTGAACTGATGGGCTTTATTATACTAGTGAATAAGAATATCTAATAAACCTTTCAAAAACTGCAATCAGGGAAAACCTTGATGTTCTTCGAAACAATGTGAAACGAATAATTGGAATAATTGTGAGGTTATTAAAAGACAGGATAACGGCATGCATGTAATGAATCAGAAAGTAAAAGGCGGTATCCCTATACCTGAAGAGCTTGCGTGTACAAGAAAAACAAAATAGATAATTTTTTCTGTTTAATTTATTTTTATTAGTACGCGACTATAACTATTTGCCTCATATATTTTATTCGTAACAATAAAGCGTATTTTTTTTCTGAATTTATTTTTAAATTTTGATATTTATACATACATCATCTGGTCATATTTCATATCGAAGATCCATGGATCCAATGACAGTTCTATTAAGCTCAATATGTGGGGAAATGATATATAAAATAATAATATTTAATTACTATTACACTATTCTCTTTATAAACAACAAGTTACATAAAATCTAAAAATCGCCAGTATAAATAAAAATCAAACATATTAGCTTCAGAAAACGTCTATGCTAGTTCACTAAAAAAAAAGATGGTTAAATTCAAATAATTTCCCCATTTTATTGGTCCAAAGAAGTTAATCCAAAATGGTTTTTTGAAGCTTCCAATCTTTCATGTATCAAGTCCATTTTTGATATAAATATATCCTTTTGATCCGTATTCCATTGACCTTTTAACAACAATCTTGCCAATCCCCATTTTGTTGTCAACGCTTGCAATATCAAAGTGTTCAATGCTATTCCAGAACAAGTATTATTTCTTTCTGATATCTCCTTTATCGTAAAGAATATTAATATTAATAATGAAATAATATTCATAAATAACCAAATATATAATAAAGGCCAATATTGTATAATCGTTACTTGAATATTATTACAATATTTCATCAGAAATGTATCATTGGTATACTGTAAATAACTAAGAGAATAGTTATTTTCCAATATTCTATCTACGAGAACTATAGAAGATGCGGCCATGTATTTAGCAAAGTCCATTTCTAATCCAAAAATGTATCTCCCATCATATTTGTAAGGATCAATATCTGGATTGGAATTTCCATTTGATAAGGTCAAAGCATCATAATTAAATCCTGTCATTTGAACATTTAATACTAGCGTATTTACTGCGCTAATGGGTACAAAATTTTTTATCGAACTTTGTAATGAATTGTTTTTTTGGGTAATATCCACCAATCCGATTCTTGCTGTATAATTACATTGTACAAGAGTTACTATATTACTTTTTAAAGTTTTCACTGTATCATTCAGCCATCCTACTTTACTTTGATCTGTGAAATAATCAGGCGACACTTGATCAGATAAAATAATAGCAAAAGCAATTTTGTAATCACCGGCATTAGTCAAGACGTATAATCCCTGGAAATCCGATATAGCAGCATTGATGTTGATGTTGCTATCTAAACTCGTCATATTTATTAGTGGAAAAGTTGCCTTAGATGGTCCAGCAAATTTGTCAGTCGCTATACAGGAAGTATTTACCACGATCGCACTTAGATTGTAAATATTTACTTCATTTGCAGAAAATAATAGGTCTTTTCCAACATGAGCTGCAATAGCATAATTTGGATTTCCCAAAACTGTGATATTATTATCGATTCCATTTTTTACTATTGTAGTTGCTCTTACAAGTCCTGCTGGGGAAAGACCACCCATAGCAAATGAATTTAACCCACAAGAAGGTGCGTCTGTGCAATTTATCAAAGCGTGAGTTTTTCCTTCATTAAAATCACATGCACCTCCAATTTCGCTTGTACTTATTCCTTTGGACAATCCCCATGCTGTAGCCGTTGCTAATAAAGCCAATAATAAATATGCCCCAACTTCTATGGAACTTATATTTGTAATACATGAAACAATTCCGGTTTTTATCGAATCAATAGATTCTACTATTCTTATCAATGATCCTCTATCTCTTATTTTTTGCCATTTTCTTGTCGTTAAATGAATAAACGTAATTGTTAATATCGATGTTGTTACTTTATCAACTATTGAAATTACAAGAGAAGCTGTTCCCACATCAACTGTGATGTACCCATTTCTAGATATATAATATATAGCAATGGATATTAATATAATTGTGCTAAAGCACAGAATAACAAAGAAAATATTCTTTATTTTCTCGATGTTCATAATACGAAATAATTGTTACATTAAAGAGTTCTGAAACTGTGTACGTACATTTTATATACTTATTTGTGCTTTGTAACGCATTCCATATGCGGTCAACAAATACCACCCGAAAAATTCTGCGGTCACGTGATAAATTGTCGTAAATTTATCACGTGACAGAAAATTGGCACGTGTATTACAAATTGTAACATTTTTTTTTTATTTTGAATAACCACATTTTATATGAAACAATAATCTAAAATCGATTCATTGAAGGAATTGAAGTAGTCAAATTGATAAGTTTAGAAAAGAAAATAAACAAGCTGCAGAGGTAAATGCTGTGCTCAAGCTCAGATTCAAAAGAGCTAGGAAAGAAAAATAAAACAGATACCGCCAAGTTCACTGCTGAAAATGCTATTTGATCTAAAGACTTTAATTCATTATAGGAGATTATAGGTATAAAAACCAAATCATTATTAGAAGTCTAACTCATCTGAAATTCTTTCATATATAACACAATAATCTTTGTTGTCATAAACACAAAATGAAGGATCTATACCAAATGATTTATTATATTGTTTAAAGAAATGGATTTTCATATTCCAAACTCATAAGTACCTTATAAATATTTAAAAAAGGTCTCTTTCTTTTACACGATCAACTTTCCTTTACAATTCCTCAACTTCAATCTAGTTATAGATTCACTTTTGCCATTTCTATCTAAGAGTTCTTTTATTTCTCTATTTGGTATGTCAAATATTTCTTCAAATGAGGGTTAATAAATACTACATATTCACATGAGGCAAAACTAGGGATGTTATCTAGTTTCAGTAAACCAGAGTTTGTTTATGGTCATGTGATTTTACTAATAATATTTAAAGTTTTAAACTCGATCAGATTCAAAATCAGTTTTCGAGCATATTTGAGCGTAATAAGATTAAGACATGACAAATGAAGAAATACACCTCCATTTAATTATATATTCAGTTTCAAAGCATGTTTTAAAATCCGAGTTTTATAGGTGAGTTTGAACTGGATTCAAGTTGGTTTGGACCAACCCATTTGAAGATTTCTTTTCATACAACAGAAATATCAAGAGTTTCTGTTCCAAGTGACTTTTTTTCAGATTTTTTTTTCCAAGTTTTATTCAAGACAATATTATAATTTTTTTTTTTACAATATTTGTTCACTTCAAATAATATGATTAGTAATCGAAGGTGAGAATTTTAAAAGTCTATTTTCCTTTTTAGTGGAACTGAAAATGGAAAGATGTTTTATCATCTTTTTACCCTTAAATTCTTGCTAAATATCCAGTCTCTACCAAGAGCGCTCCTCCATAGGGAAAGTGACCTGCTATGAATTGTGTATTTACCTTTTACTTATTTTTTAGGTTAAACCAGCCTATCACAATAATCCCAGCATACCATCTTTCTGATATCTTTTAATAATATTCCCACCACACACCATCACGTCTATGATGTATAATCCTTCTGACAAACATATGACCACCAGTTATCTTATAGCCTATGCCTATACCAACCATAATGCACTTCTGGTCCCAGATTATTGTCAAAGCTTCAAATTTTTTTCTGCAAATCCTATAAATCCTGTGGAATCATTGATAAGTTTAATGACGAATCATGCAAATCTATCGGCTATGAAGTAAATACATATCCAATATTTCTTTTTTGGGTTTTGGGATAAGGATGACACCTATTTATAGAAAATATACATATGTATCATTGCTAACCTGCGATGTCAAGTGTATCTAATCATGTAACGCTTTATTAATAATTTTTCAAATACTAAGATGACACGATATAGCATTTAATAAGTAGTAAGATTGCAAAAGTTCATTGTGTAGAAAAATCAAAATCATATTATAAATATAAAATTAAAGTTCAATATGATAATTATGCTAAAATCAAACTTGCCATTCTGCAATATTAAGCTCATTAATAATTTATTATATACAATAGATAGACTATACCATTTGATGTCACTTTTTATTTTTTAACTACGCTTTAGTTTTAAATAAAAAGACTTTAAAGCAAAAAAATGATCAGTGGTTTCCAATTAACACGCACGACATTTCCGAAAGAACCTTTTCCTATTTATTGTACATTTTTGAAGGTCCAAATATTCATAACATGTGATACATTCTTTAATTGACATTAAAATTTTAGGATATTTCTATTATTTTGTTTGTGAAACCGTAAACTTAATACAGCTAGTATCATGTAATTCCGGCCCGAAGAGATACGTGAACATTGAGTATTGACATTGTATAAGTTTTTAACTCCGTTGTATTAAATCATTAAATGTGTGTCGTTCCTGTAATTACTGTATCGCTGTAGAACTGATTGATATTTTTGGTGATTTTGCGTTTTTTTGTCACAATTGCTTTAGAAAATTTTGACCAGATTAATTCTTTCATTTCCCATGTGTCAATTAGCTATATTTTTTAATTTGGACATTATATTGAGGTTAAATGTTAAAAAAATCTATAATTTTATTTACTAGACATTATTTACAATTTTACTTGAACGAAAAGGGACTAATTATCTGAAAAAAATTTCAAAATATTTACTTTAAAAAAAAAAAAAAATGTTTGTATTACACAAAAATTACAAGTAAAAAACTTGCCTAATCAATTCATAATTTCCACCTGGAATTCAACCCTTTTTTAGATGTTCATTTAGGAAAATTTTGGGTTTTTCACGAAATTTTTTTGGAAATCGATTTCCTTAATAGGTCGGTATGACTTTTTAATTTCCATTTGAATTAGTCAAAGGGTGAAAGTCAATGGTAGAACATAGTAAGGCACTAAGGCTGATTATCTGTCTCACGTACCCTTTCCTTCCTTTTTTCAGTATTTTTTTAAAAAAACAGGCCAGAATTAGAAAAATAATTTTTTAATTTTGGCCAAAAAGTTTATTTGTATATCATACAAAAATACATAAATTATATTAATTATATTCCAATTATAATTCCAGCCAAAATTAACGATAATTCTGGTCTTTTTTAATATGATGTATGTTACGCAAATTTTCATTGGTTATCATAGTTATTAAAACCAATTAACCAATTCTGCGGAGAAGGTAAATATGATTTATAAAACAATAAATCCTCTACAATATAATAATACTTTGTAAAAAAAAAAAAAAGTTTGTTCCATGTTCTACATTTACCTCAAATTATAGAATCATGAATCTTTTACAAAAGTAGAAATATAATGATAAAAATATAAGTGATAGAGACTTGAGAGTGTCTCATTGTCTCACTTGTCTCACTGTCTTCTTTTTGTTTATTGATAATAAAATTTATTGTATCCAAATTATAACGAATTTTATGAAACAAAATAATAATAATTCCATACGATTATTTATGTTATTCATAGTACGTGATATAGTAATGCTTTTTGATCATTTAAAAATGAGAATATGATATCAGAACAATAAAAAGGTATTTTAGTATTTTTTACCATTTTAATTACTAAAAATTATTTCTGCTGCGGGTATAACAATGTATAAATTAAATAATGATTGTACTTGTAAAATTTTACATATTATATTTCACATAATAACGTATTGTTTGAAACTTCCGAACGTACAGTCATCGTCAATCAATAAGAAAAGATCATATATTATTGAACTTCAAACGATCGTTTGATAGGAAAGTCCCTGTCTGTATACTTAAAAAAACTTTTTGGCATTATCACACAATATGAATAATTTTATTATTTAAATACAGTATAGAATGCGAAACCTTTGAAAATCAATTTATCATTTATTATAAGTAAAATAATCGATTCATTCAATATGATAATCAAATTATCAACAGTTAATCTTTTTATTCATTAACCTTTTTTATTTTTCATTATAATGTAACAAAATCATTTTTCGATGAAACACTAAAACTAACCCTTTGTTAGAGATCGATGATTTGCTGAAACTTTAATCACGTTAAATAAAAATGATTTACATTTCAAAAACCCGAAAATAGATGGTTTTTCCCTTTTCAAACATGCATGGCATAATATAATATTTATGTTGTATGATGTCGTGCAAATTGTATTTAATTACCAACAATTCAAAAATTAATAATAAAAAATGAATTTAAAGTATCCAATGAAATTTCGTAAAATAATTATGAACTTGTTATTTTTTTAAAAGAAAAAAAAAAAAAAAAAAAAAAAAAAAGCAAAAAGAATGTATAAAAAAAGAAAGCGTTCTAAAACAAATAACAGATAAAGGGGATTTAAAATTTTATACTCTCAATATTTGCAATATAAAATAGTATTCGTGTATATAAAACTAAAAGTATATTTTTTTTTTATGCGCCAATTATAAGGAGCTCTTAAGGATGGTTTTAACACATTCATATATTTTATTGGTTGAAAACACTGTTCGAAGGTTGTTAGAAGAACAATGTATCATTAATCATAATTTTATTATTATTCAATTATTGTGCGACGACACCAAGAACGAAGTAGAATCCTAACGGGTCAACCATATGATAAGTATTGTTAATAAATTATATTGTCCTCTATTGGAGTCATTGGGAGTCCATAAGATACGTTGTTCATGTTTCTGCATATTATTTAAAAAAGTCGAGGATTCATATATGTTTGCGATTTTCTTCATGATGGATTTGCTGTTGATTTCGATTGTTGAAAAAAAATAAAAACAATTTGTCTCCATTGTTGACTTCTTCTGTTTAACTTTTGGTTTCGTTATTTGTAACTTCCGATAATTAATGATATTAATTCGGAAACTCCTTTTAGCCTCAGTTGTTACAAGTTTCTTGCATCTATCAAGTTCCTTTGTAATACGATGACATCTTAATATTACATGTAATGCAACAGGTTGTTTTTGTATTTTTTTTAAAAAAAAGAATAAAGACAATTAGAAGATATTAGAGATTATTTTTATTTTTGAGATTGATATCGTACGGTTAATATTGAGTTTTGAAAAGTACATCAATTTTATCGAGAGAATTCCAAGTAATTGCGAACGAACGAGTTGGAAACCATCAAGAAATAATTTTAATTTAGAAAAGTGATTATTTTCTTTTTGATTCGTTTAAAGCCTTAAAAATGATATTCGGGGGCAATATATAAAAAAAAATGATGTGCAATACACAGATATGCAAACATTTAAGCTGGATTTACGGCAAGTTAAATTACTTTTATCCCCTTCATATCCATATTTAGATTAGGTTAAGTTGAACCAAAAAATTAACGTGTAACATGATCGTTTACGATTAAGTCATTTATAAAAATTGTCTTACCGTTTAAGGGTTAGGAGATTTATAGTTAGTATGATTGTATTATGTTCCCCATGTATTATTGGGGATAGTTTTTTTTTTAAGTCGTTTTTTTTTTCGAAATTACTAAAAATTACCTTCATTATTTTATAAAGAACATTATATCTTATGAATATCAAATGTAAAAGTGAACAAGTTTAATAAGATAAAAAAACATACATATACATATTATAAATATATATAAAATGTATTTTTTTCATATGAAATAAAAATACGCCATATGGATCAAACATAATGGCTGAAAATTTTGAAAATGAGGTATACAAAAAATTATTATTTATTTATTTTTTTTTTTTAAATAATAATAACAATAAAAAAATATATATTATTCATTTTCTAATAATAAGATTTATTACGTTTAAAATATGTAGCTTTTCTCCGTATTAAAAAAAATTTTATATGTTTTTTCTTTACAATAACAAATTCGGCGTAAAAAACTTTTATCGCAATTGAAAAAAAATTTGAAATCAATTAATAAAATCTGTGCTTGATTTGCTTAATTTATGTAATGACATGCATATTCGAATGTAGGATAATTATTTCGTGGATTACAATGACAATGTGAATCAATTATTATTCGAGGAAAATTACGACAGACTTTTTTATGTACAAAATGTACAAATTTAAAAAATTTAATTGTACAATTTACCATCATTGCATATGAAAAAAAAAAAAAAAAAATTGAAAGATCGAGTGTCTAATTCGATATTATTTTGATAAAAAGCGATCCAAACGGCTCTAATTGCAGGACCAAGACCTAAAAATTCTATATTTTTCCATACATCAAAATAATTATCTTGGGTAAGAGTATCGTACAACTTATCGGCATCACCATCATATAAAAATTCTAATAGGGATTCAAAAGTTTCAGGAGAAGGAACTCGGATTTTAATTATACTGTCATTTGATTTGACACCTTCAAAAACTTGTTGAAAGAAACTGGATTGTAATATTAACCATTCTTTATGAATCCAAAATGGTCTATCTATCCCATCAACTTGTAATTCCGCAATTGACGACGATTTATCATCAAAAAAATTTGGTCCTATTTGATGTAATTTGGATATAATGAAGGTAACAGGAATACCATCAATTAATGATGTGGCTGCGGAAGATAAGTATCGAATTCTTAATTGGGAAGTTGCTCTTGACATTTTTATTGGTTGTTTGTTTTTTTATTCAAGGTTAAACAGGTTAAACAGGTTAAACAGGTTGAACAGGTTGAACAGGTTGAACAGGTTGAACAGGTTAAACAAAGAAAGATTGTATTGTTGTTATTTTTGTTATTTGGAAAGAAATTGAATTTCCTTATATAACTTTTTTATCTTTTATAAGATTAAGATTAAACTGTCAAAATCTTTAAGTGCGAAGAAAAACCAGGTCATGAACCATCCTATATTTATTCATTTTTTGGTATCAAAAAAAAAATTATTGTTTCTTTAATTTACTGCGCATAGACAATATACAAGGGTTGTCGATCGAACGGTATTCAATTTAATACCTAAAATGGTATCCTTTGTTTCAAATTTTTTTTTTTTTAGGAACGAGGAACAATTAAATCTCCTGAAACACATGTTTAAGACATTTTAATCAAAAAAAATTTTAAAACTTGGAGAAATTTTATTTTTATTTTATTTTATTTTATTACTTATTTATTTATTTATTTATTTATTTATTTTACACACCTAACACACAAACATTTTTTTTTTTTTTTTTTTTAACATTCATTTTAATTTTTACAATATATAATGGACAATACAATATGTATAAAACCATTCTCCGAAATCCGAAAGTTATAGTCGTAAAATGATTTTCTGTACAGTCTTGTTTATTTAACTGAAACTCTATTTTGTTTTATAGTTTAAAATATTATGTATATAATTATTATATTATTATAATATATTATATATATTATTATATATTATTATTATATATTATTATTATATATTATTATTATATATTATTATTATATATTATTATTATATTCTAATACAATCATATTTTTAAAAATAAATTAAAATTGACTTTATTTANATTTTATTTTTATTTTATTTTATTTTATTACTTATTTATTTATTTATTTATTTATTTATTTTACACACCTAACACACAAACATTTTTTTTTTTTTAATATTCCGAAACAAAAAAAAGTTTAAAAAAATGACACCATGTTTAATTTTTTTTTTAGAATAATAAGTGACCAAAACCGCAGTAAAATTACCATATAATGCAATCAATTCAACAAAATATTTCTCTTTTGTACAATAATTTACAACATTCCCTTTTTAAGGAGGTCATACCCCTTCGATGTATGTAAATTATAAAAAAGTGATAACAATAAAATTATATTATTTTAATTGTCAAGTTTTAAAATGTTTTATTATTATTATTATTATTATCTTTTAAAGCTACGAATACGCCATACGCCTTGAATCCTTTTTTGAAACCTTTTAATCTTATCAAATAATATTCATATTTAAAAAAAAATAATAATAATAACAATAAATGTTCAATTTTGTTACAAGTTAAAAAATATACAGTATCTTATAACAAGAAAGCTTGATTAATATATTAATACCGCAGGCAAAAAAAAAAATTATTTGTTTAATAAAATAATAATGTAACACTAAATATTTATCATCATCCCCCTTAAAAATGTAAAAAAAAAAATTATTGCTCCCTGTGAGGTTCGAACTCACGACCTTCAGATTATGAGACTGACGCGCTGCCTACTGCGCTAAGGAAGCCAAATCCCTGTTAGGTTTGAAATTAAATCATATAAAAATATTATTATTATGAATCCGATTATCGTTATAGCGCCAACACTAGTATAAATATATATAAAATATTAAATTATTTTTTACACGTTGCCATGTCACACCCCCATTAGTGGCACTACTATAAAAGTTAAAAAATTCTTATTACTACAAAAGGAAATTTTGTGTGATGTATGTTACACATACAAATTCATATATTATAATCGATTTGAAAAATTCGTGTAATGTTCATCAAAATTTTTTTTTTTTTTTTTTTAAAAAAAAAAAAAAAATCTTCATCAAAAATAAAATATTTAAAAAATTTTCAGCAGGTTTATATCCATTAAATTGTAAATTTCCTCCTCTACCTCGGGACGAGCAATAAAAGAAATAAAAGTAACAAGAAATGCATCAGAAGAAACAATTTCCATAAAGGAATGAGAAACGATATCAATAGAAATTAGTTATTATAATACAGTTAAGTATTAGTAATATTGTATGACGCAGAAACAAAAATTTAGTACATGATAGAATTACTATGTGAGAGAGAACGTACCATACTTCGAGAAAGTTAAAAGTAAATTTCTATCAAAATAACAAGTCATATCAGCACCTAAGCTAGTTGATTATTATGTCTGGTAAATAGGAAAATAATTCAACTGTTTCCTCTTGAGTTTTCGAGCAACTTCTGTTAATGTTTACTAATTTTGACATAATTAACAGTTTGATGATTTTGATCACAGTTCAAGAATGAAAGAAAAATTTTCTTTTGCAAAAAGATTTGGTGGTGTATAGATGACAGAAATCGATGTTACAATTGATTTCCATCGCGAAAAATCGGAAAATAATAATACACGTGAATAATTTCTGGATCAAGATGAAATGTTATTCCGTCAAAATCTATTTTATGGTTGTAAACGCGAACTTATTGCTTAATCAGTCACAGTTAAGATAAATAGCGAATTCCTTATGTTATAAATCATAATTTACATTGTTATATCGCAAAGGTATTTTTTTTTTTTTTTGATATAAATTATTTTACAAAATAAGTCTATAAGTTAACGCACATATAATAGTAATTAATTCCAATCGCAAATCACAAATATAAAGTAAACACATTTAATTCATTCAATTCTGTAATTAAACTCTAGGAATAGAACAAATTATAATAAATCTTTACTTTTTATTGATTTTAATGAAAAGTAAAACAAGTGATCGTATAATAATGGCGCAGTAACTATTACTAATGTTATCAAGTTCTACCAAATAATGGTTCAATTCTCGCCACTCCTGGTAACATTAAAGACACAGCAGGATAAACTTCATCAGGTAAATCGCGAAATGCTATAGGATATCTGGTTCCATCAATAGTAAAAGAACACGTTCTTTCCCCCATATTCAAACGTACGGTAATTCGACTTTTTTCATTAAACTTTTGTCCGTACTTGTTTTTGAAAGGGTCCTTATCTTTTTTATGATGACAGATAAATCCATTCGATCCAAGAACCCAACCGTATGAGTGTTGCCCAAGCCACGAGTTGTTATTAACATTAAATCCATTATCTGCACAAATTCCAACCCAAAAAGATTTACACATTCTTTCAACCACGATATCCCACTCAACTATATCTTGTCCACTAAAAGGAAATTTTGTTCTAACCCATTCATGTGTATTAGATTGTGAGTCAAAAATAAAGGGATTCTCCAATTGTCTATACCTTTTAACCTTCCACTTAAAGGCATTTTTAAGCATAGAAAAGTAATTTCCAGCCAATAAAGCTTGTTTACGATAAACTTCTGTCAATATATTTGAATCAACTAAATCTTTAATAAGTTCATTTGAAAATACAAGTGGATGTATTACTTCTAAATTCACATAATTAAGTAATGTCGATGTCTTTGTTACAATTTCGGACCTATACTTTATATGTAACTCTTCCTTAAAAGGTATATTACGATCCCATTTTTGTGTATCGCTTGAATCAAGAATTCTAACAGTTTCAGAAGAAGGTAAATATAATTCATAAAATGCTAAAACCTCTTCTGAAATTTCGCTCGCGGCCCAACATGTGATATATCGAAATAAATCATAACCTGATGATAGGGAGAACATATTTGTTTCTTCCTCTTGATTATATAATAAAATATATTCCAATGCTTTGGAACTCAAATTATGATAATCGATAGACTTTAGTGAAACTAAATCAATTAGATCACATATAATATTAGCCAACTCTCTACAAGATGATTCTAAAATTCGGGATAAAATTTTTGACAAAATATTCATCTTATCCTCCATATTATTTTTAACGAATCTGATAATGTGAAGCATGAGTACTCCAAGTAAGAAATAATCAGCACAACATAAAGCTTCAAACACTATTTCAGGTTTTAGAGTTTTTTTTGATACTTTTCCGGTATAGAAAAATTCAACAATAACTTGCAAAGCTTTCGAAGAAAATTCTTGAAATTCTATTACATCTTGAGTAGATTCTTTCATTTCACTTAATAACATACGTTTAAATACTTCTGAACGCGCCACTAATATCAAACGATGAGCGTTTATTTCTTCTCCATCGTTTCCTTTTATTTTGATATCACTAAGTGATGGATCTTGTAATATGCACATTAAATCGCTTGACAGAGACATTTTCCGATAGTTTAATTATAATGTTTATTATGTTTAGGAAAGAGAGAAAAGAGAGAAGAGGTAAGATTTTACGAGTGATTTATAGTAGTTTATAAACTGCGCCTGATTTGCACGCTGATGCATAACTAAATTTTACTTCCGCACGCATTCCACTTTTCCAAATTAAAAAATTTCTTTATCTAAAGACATGACCTGATCATTTGATCATTCAAAAAAATTAAAAAAAATTATCTCTACACGATAACCATGTTTCTTTAATTAGTATTCGTTCATATAAAAATATTTTACATTATTACATTTACGGATTTAAAACGCGAAGTCGCGACTCGCGAACAATTTGTTCGTGTGACAGATTCACGACCATAATTCACGTGACTTAATGTGGTTATCTCGTTTATTTTTAATGTATGAAATAATAGATAATTTTAAATGTACTTTATTATACCGTAAATATTAAACAAACGTACTATCGCCGTTAAATTTATACATGAAAAAATGTACCGAATTTCAATTAAGGATTGTATTATATTTTAACAAATCTACAATTACATTATAAATGTAGATAAAGTACATGACTATTTTTGTATTATTTAGATACGATCACTCGTGAAAAGTTAGTGTCAATTATCGTGCACTTAAGATAATCCAAAAGGAAACCGTAACGCAAAAATACTGTATTACAGTTATCACGAAAAAGGAAACGCGTAACATTTTTTATATTATACTTTTGTAAGTATAAAAAATTTTACATATCCATACTTCGTAATTTTTTGATAAATTTTATTGATTTATTTTTCTTAATCCTTTTTTTAATATATTGAAATTCTTATTAATATTTTCTTGCTTAAAATTTATAATGATATAAATTATATTTCTTTTATTCTTCGAATAGTTAATACGTTTAATCTGCTACGTCATAGAAAGAGCATTATCCTTAAAGTTCAATTTTTGTCTTCTAGTTAATTACGCACCTCTACATAAAAATGAGCTTTCAACAAAATAAAAGGCCTTAAATGCTTTAAATGGCATTACAACGAATTCTTTATCCCAAAAAAATATATAAAAAGGGATATCTTTACCTAAAGGAGAAAAGATTAATCGAATGATTCATGTGACTTTGTGATACAGTGATGCATAAACGCTTTATGCTTTAATAATTAATGTTATTGTCGTTTTTATTGCCATATTTGCCATAGTGTGATATAAAATGCTCAGCCTTAAAATTCAACTGCAGCAAAATTTTTTCCCTCATCAACTCAATAATGCAACCAAATCCGGCGGAAGCATTTCTATTAAAAGATATAAGAACTCTAGTGAATAATACTTTATTTAGTGATATCAAAATAAAAGGAAATGACGGAAAAGAAATAAATGCTCATCGAGTGATATTAGCGGTGCGTTCAGAAGTATTCAAACGTATGTTATTAAACGGAATGAAAGAATCTTCACAAGAAGTGATTGAATTTCCGGAGTTTTCTTCAGATGTTTTACATGTCATTATTGAATATCTATATGCTGGAAAAGTGACAGAACACACTTTAACAATTGAAATAGTTGCTGAAGCTTTTCATAGCGCTGATTATTTTTTACTCGAACAACTAAAACTTCAAATTATTGAATTTTTCAATAATCATCTAAGAAATAATACTGAAAACAAGTTGAATCTTTCTGCTAAAGTTTTATCCCGACTATTGGAGTGTATGGAATCATCTGATAATGAATTTATTGATCTACTATGCGATTCAATTAACTCAGTTTCATTAAAGTCGATCGAATATTGTAATTTAACTGTCAATGCATTGGAATATTGTTTATCAAATGTCAAAAGAAAAGAAATCATGATGTTTTCCTTATCAGAATATGAGTTATTTCATTATATAATATTATGGGCTGCAAGCGGAATCTCAGAAGAGGCTTTATCATTTTATAAGTCATGTCTACCTTCTTCAGAAACAGTCAAAAGTCTTGATAGGAATAGCAATCCGCTTATTTATATACATAATATACAAGGTCATGCAAAGTATCAGTCAATGATGTTAACAAAAACATCTCCTTTACTTAATCTTGTAAAATTAGAACGAATTCATCCATTTATAATTTCAAATATTATTGAACCCCTTAATGGCTTGATTGATTCAAAGACTTTAATAGATGTATATCGGAAGCAGGCATTATTTGCTGGAAAAAGCGCTTACTTTGATTGTGTCTCATTTCAGTGGGATGATAAAGCTCATGGTAGTAATATATACCTAAATAATACGTCTCTTATTACATCAAACTCTTTGTCACATGAATGGATTAGAACGACAATTCCTATAAGCAGACAAAGTAGTATATTTGAGTGGAATATCATGGTTGAGGAAATGTGTAATGGTTTTTGGGTTGGAATTTGTACAGAAAAAGGATTTAATGTCGAGTACAATTCATGGCTTGGGAAACAAGCATATGGCTGGGTTTTTGGTTCTAATGGAGTTATTTGTCATAATACACAACAAGAAAATGGACCTTATACAAATAAATACGGAAAAGAGCTTAAAGAAAATGATAGAATAACTGTACATTTGGATATGGGAAAAAGAACTTGTTCATTTTCCATCAACGGAAAAAGATATCCTATTGCATTTCGTGATTTACCTGATGAAATTTATCCTGCTGTATCTTTGAAGGCACCGGGAAGGGCGAGAATTGAACCTCATCAATATAATTCAATAAAATGAAAAAATGTAAGGTTAGTTTATTTTATTTTTCCAGTTTTTAAATCTATTCATGTTTAAATTTCTTGATTATTTATGTTACAGTATTTAAAATTACAAACAAAATAAGAGACATCTTATTAGATATATTCAAAGTTAACAAATAATATTGTACGATGAAATTATACTAAAATAAAATATTCCCTTAAAATTAAAAATTTTATTGTAATGCAATTTTGTACATTTCCAACACATACGTTATTTAGTCACCGATACGACTATCTAATGTGATCATCATTTTTGTGTATTTATTTTTCATATGATTTACCTTTTTAAGTTAAATTACTAATGTTCAGCCTAATAAAATTCGTTCAAGTTTCTTTAAATTTCTAACATTTTTTTTCCTCAATAATGTATGCAGAAACACTATCAAATGATTTAAAATCTCTATTAAATAATACTTTACTTAGTGATATCAAAATAAAAGGAAATGACGGAGTAGAAATAAACGCTCATCGAGTGATATTGGCGGTGCGTTCAGAAGTATTTAAACGTATGTTATTAAACGGAATGAAAGAATCTTTACAAGAAGTGATTGAATTTCCAGAAGTTTCTTCAGATACTTTACATGTTATCCTTGAATATCTATATACTGGAAGAGTGACAGAACAAACTTTAACAATTGAAATGGTTGCTGAAGCTTTTCATGGCGCTGATTATTTTTTACTCGAACAATTAAAATGTCAAATAATTGAATTTTTTAAAAATCACCTAAGAAATAATAATGTAAATAAGATAAATATATCCGCTAAAGTGTTGTCCCGACTTTTGGAATGTATGGAATCAACTAATAATGAATTTGTTAATTTATTATGCGATTCAATTAATTCAATGTCATTAAAGTCAATAGAGTATTTTAATTTAAATTTTAAAGCATTAGAATATATTTTATCAAATGTCAAAAGAGAGGAAGGAACCAAGATATTCTCTATATCGGAATATGATTTATTTCATTATGTTATATTATGGGCCGCTAATGAAATTTCAGAAGAGGCTTTATCATTTTATGAGTCATGTTTGCCTTCTTCAAAAACTCTTAAAAATTTCAATAGAAATAGTAACGTCTCTCTTGATATATATAATATACAAGGTCATGCAAAGTATCAGTCAACGATGATAACAAAAACATACCCTTTACTTAATCTTGTAAAATTAGAACGAATTCATCCATTTATAATTTCAAATATCATTGAACCTCTTGATGGTTTGATTGACTCAAAAACCTTAATAGGTGTATATCGAAAGCAGGCTTTATTGGCTGGAAAGCACATTTGCTTAAATGATATCTCACTCCAATGGGATGACAATGCTCGTGGTAGTAATATGTACTTAAAAAGCACGTTTGTTGTTGTTTCAAATTCTCTTTCACATGAATGGATTAGAACAGCAGTTCCTATAAGCGGGCAAGATATATTTGAATGGGATATAGTGGTTGAGGAAATATGTGATTGTTTTTGGGTTGGAATTTGTACTATAAAAGAATTTGATGTTGATTACAATTCATGGCTTGGGAAACAAGCATATGGCTGGGTTTTTGGTTCTAATGGAGCTATTTGTCATAATACACAAGAAGAAAATGGACCTTATACAAATAAATACGGAAAAGAGTTTAAAAAAAATGATAGAATAACTGTACATTTGGATATGGGAGAAAGAACTTGTTCATTTTCCATCAATGGAGAAAGATATCCTATTGCATTTCGTGATTTACCTAATGAAATTTATCCTGCTGTATCATTAAGAACACCAGGAAGGGCGAGGATTGAACCTCGTCAATGAAATATTTTATTAATTAATTCTGAAGAACTTTTTTTTTAATATGACGATATTATTTCTGGATTTTAAGATTCAATATTAAGGTAAACCATAAGCATATTCAAGAAACTTTTAATAATAAATAAATCTGAAACTATAATTGATTATTGTTTTGATTCTGACTGAAGAGTAATATTTTCTATTGTGTTACTCTTTGTACATGTACACATTCAAATTTTATAATCTGATGATGTTCTTATCGCAATAATTGATTTTGAATACTTATTATAAAGAATATTACCCAACCAATAATTTACTAAAAACAATGTAATTATTACTCTTTTTTTTGAATCCACGATCACAACAGACTTTCAATAATGCAAGCGGAAATAATCCTATCAAATAATTTAAAATTCCTATTCAAGAATGTTTCATTTAGTGATATCAAATAACGGAAAAGAAATAAATACTCATCAAGTAATATTAGCGGTGCGTTCAAAATTTTATGGAATGAAAGAATTTACTCAACGTAATTGAATTTCCAGAGTTTTCTTCAGATATATTACATCATGTTATCCTTGAGTATCTACATTGTAAAAGTGACAGAACTTGACAATTGAAATAATTGCTGAAGCTTTTCATGGCGCTGATTATTTTCTACTCGAACAACTTAAACCTCAAATTATTGAATTTTTGAAAATTATCTAAGAAATAATACTGAAACGAGTGGAATCTTTCCGCTAAAGTTTTATCCCGACTTTTGGAATCTATGGAACCAGCTGCTTTGTTATGCAATTCGATTAATTCAGTTTTATTAAAGTCAATCGAATATTGTAATTTACATTGGAATAATATTTATTAAAAATCAAAAAAGAAACCATTATGTTTGCCTTGCCAGAATATGATTTATTTCACTATATAGTACTATGAGCTGTAAAAGCATCTCGGAAGATGCTTTATCATTTTATAAATCATGCTTACATTCTTCGGAAAAAAGTCTCAATAGGATTAGCAACTCTATTATTTATATACATAATATACAGTGCAAAAAACAATGCAAAATATCAATTAACAATAATATCCTTTACTTAGTCATGTGAAATTAGTACGAATTCATTCATTTATAGTTTCAAATATCATTGAATCCTTAATGGTTTGTTTAACTCAAAGGCCTTAATAAATGTATATAGGAAGCAGCTTTATTAGCGTTTGCTTGGATTGTGTATTTAAATAATACATCTGTTCATTCTGCTGTTTATATGTCAAAATACACAAGAAAATACTGTAGACCTTATCCGAATGAATACGGAAAAGTGTTTAGAAAGTAATAGAATAACAGTTACTTTAATGCAATTTAACAAAAAATAAGGAAGTTTGAAACTTCCAGTTTTTTAAAAGAACTATTACCGTATCGCTAGGGATGGAGGATGGAAAAAGTTCGGTTTGAGCGACTTGAATCGGTTCGTTCCATCCGGTTTAGTACATCGGTTCCAGATCGAGTTTAATAAAATTTTGATATATACTGACTCGGATCTGGACCGAAATGACAAAATGTTTTTCAGTTTGACTCTGTTCAACTCAACAGTATCGATTCGGACTTCGGAACCGAACCGAACCGAGCGAGTCGCCTCATCCTACGTACCGCACTGCACAAGATACCCCGGGCATAATATATAATACCTGACTTCAGAAGTTATATTGTACCTGGGACACCATCTAATACCAGCAATACTAGAAGGATTTAATATATGAAAGATTTTTTTATTTATAATAACCATTAAAATATGTGGAAATGAAAGACGTATTTGACATACTGGCGGTGGATACTTTACATGGGAGGTATTCTCAAAGGGGGATATCTTGCGACAAAATATAAACTTTCAGCTTTTATTTTGTTATTTGCTTGAGCGTTGGCAATAACATCCGCTAAAACCTTCTGGTTAAAGAACGACAACTATATCCTAATTGTTCACAGAATGTCCTTGTCTGCCATATAACTATATTGCGTCAGAATGATGCATCACATTTTCCAAAAACAAATATGTAAGAAGAACTCTGTTCCATTCATTTCTTCATGAACAAAGTATATAACTCGAACAAAAAAAAGTTTATTAAATAAGTTCAAACATTGAAAATTTCTTTACAGCTTATTCTAAAAATTAAAATGCTAAGATTTTTATTTAACCAACAAAATAAATATAATAATGATTTTCACGTGAGAATCATAGATATTTATTTATAAACTCCTCAATATAAATAGTTCAAACGTGAAATGATACAAAAAACTGACCAATTTAATGATATCTGTCAGCAAATATGGAAGCTCGTGTTGTATATGAATAACTTTTAAAGTATTTGACAAATTACACAATTCCAAAAACTGTCTTTAATGGAAAAAAAAACTTAAATACAAGTATATTTCTTGAATTCTCATATGAAAGAGATTTTTTTCCCTCCCAATAATGCAGACGAAAATAACCCTATCAAATGATATAAAATCATTATTAAATAACAATTTATTTAGTGACATCCGTCAAAGTAAAAGGAAATGATATAACAGAATTAAGTGCTCATCGAAACATATTAATTGTACTTCAGAAGTATTTAAACGTATATTATTAAATGGAGTGAAAGAATCTACTAAAGACGTAATTGAATTTCCAGAATTTTCTTCAGATATTTTACACGTCATCCTTTAATATTTATATACTAAAAAAGTGACAGAACAAACTTTGACAATTGAAATAGTTGCTGAAGCTTTCCATGGCGCTGATTGTTTTCTACTCGAACAACTAAAACTTCAAATTATTGAATTTTTTGAAAATTATCTAAGAAATAACACTGATAACGAGTGGAACCTTTCCGCTAAAGTTTTATCCCGACTTTTGGAATGTATGGAATCAACTAATAATAAATTTGCTGATTTATTATGCGATTCAATTAATTCAGTTCCATTAAAGTCAATCGAATATTCTAATTTAAATGTCAAGGCATTGGAATACATTTTATCAAATATCACAAGAGAGGAGGAAACCAAGATGTTCTCCTTATCAGAATATGATTTATTTCATTATATAATATTATGGACTGCAAGCGGAATCTCAAAAGAAGCTTTATCATTTTATAGGTCATGTTTGCCTTCTTTAGAAACTGCTAAAAGTCTCAATAAAATTAGCAGCTCTCTTATTGATATGCATGCAAAATATCAATCAACAATGATGCCAAAAACATACCCTTTACTTAATCACGTGAAATTAGAACGAATTCATCCATTTATAATTTCAAATATTATTGAACCCCTTAATGGTTTAATTGACTTAAGGACCTTAATAGAAAGCAAGCTTTATTGGCTGGAGAATATGCTTACTTAAATGATGTTTCATTTCATTGGGACGACCATGCTCATGGAAACTACATGCGTTTAGATAAATCAGTTATCTCACAATCTTCTTCACATCATGAATGGATTAGAATGAAAATTCCTATAAGCGGACAAGGTTTATTTGAATGGGATATTATGGTTGAGAAAATATGTGAGTATTTTTGGGTTGATATTTGTACAGAAAAGGGATTTAATGTTGACTACGATTCATGGCTTGGGGCACAGGCCTATGGTTGGGTTTTTGGTTCGAATGGAGTTATTTGTCATAATACACATAGTTAAATATGGACAAACCTTCAAAGAAAAGGATAGAATTACTGTACATCTGGATATGAGAACTTGTTCTTTTTCCGTTAATGGAAAAAGATATCCTATTGCATTTCGTAATTTACCTGGCAAAGTTTATCCTGCTGTATCTCTAAGGGCACCGTGAAGGGCAAGAATTAAAGAAGTTAAATTATAATTCATTTAATACCTTTTTTTCTAAAAGAAAGAAAGATATTTATTTAGCATTATAATATAAATTGTGTTTAATTAATATGTTAATCTCTTTACTTGTTTTCACTTTTTTGTTTAAGATAAATTTACGTACTGTATTTGTGGGGCAAATAGAAATCTATAAAATCTTTTTGCTGTATCAACGGACCATGGATTCTCAGCCTGTTAATTAATATGATATCGCTAGTTTCAAAATCGACAAATTGTAATGTACACACATATCATGGTGACTCAGTGGTGACTCGCTGTGAAAAATTAAATTTAATTAGTTAAGATAAAAATTATAATTCGTTGTAGACAATAGTTAAAATTAATTTATATAGTAAAGCAAAAATAAAAAATAAATAACATTTAGTGAATGAGATTTATTTTTTAAAAAAATTAAATCACAATCAAGATCTTGATCCATTTGGCAAGCTTTTTATACACTAAAATCACATATAAATTAATTATGACGTCGGATTCCCCTGGGCACTGGCCAGCGATTAATTCCTGTGCAGCCATTACATAACTTGGATCTGCGATACTTGAGACGACTTCTTTGCTATCGGGTTTAACTGGCATGCTTATGCCTTAACACCAGAATAACAAAATTTGGTGATCTAAAATATGTAAATTCTGGAAATTCAATTACTTCTTAAGTGGATTCTTTCATCCAAACTCCTAAGTACATCTTAACATCACTTGATAAGCATTATTTCTTTGCTATCATTTCCTTTTATTTTGAGTAGAGTTGTCTACTATAAATTTAAATCTTTTGGTAACAATCTGTTTTCTTCATGTGCTGTCATGCTGTCATTACCGAAAAAAATTCTTGAAAACATTATACACTTCACCGTATATAATCAATCATCTGATAAATACGCGTTCATATTGGTTTGTAGATCAAAAAAGGATAAAAATTTTAAAAGAAAGCATGTATCTTGTCAGCCAATAAAATTTTATATTCTAAAGTGATTGATTTGTAAAATATCATCTTTTATATGAAGTAATGTATAAATTAATGAAATGGGTTACATTACTTTCATATATGCAATTGCAATTGTTCTCTGATTTGTTAATTCTTTACGAGATTTATTATTACATCGGATGGATAAATATAGTCATTCTATTTCAATTTTAACATTTTTATTTATTAAATTTAATAATTTTGATATTTAACATGAGGTTCAATTTTCGCTTTTCCAGGTGCACATAATGATACAGCTGGATAAATTTCGTCAGGTAAATCGCGAAACGCAACAGGATAACTTATTCTATTAACAGAAAAAGAACAAGTCCTTTCTTCCATATCTAAATGTACAGTAATTATATCCTTTTCTTTAAATTTCTGTCCGTATTTATTCGTGGAATTTGATGAATTATGACAAATAACTCCATTCGAACCAAAAACCCAACCATATGCATGGTTTCCAAGCCATGAATTGTAATCAACATTAAATCCTTTTATAGTACAAATCCCAACCCAAAATTGACAACACATCTTCTCGACCACAATATCCCATTCAATCAAACCTTGTCCGCTTACAGGAACGGCTGTTCTAATCCACCCTTGTGAAAGAGAATTTGATGTAACAATAAAAGGACTTCTATATAAGCACATATTATAACCACAAGTACTCCACTGTAAGGAAGGAACTTCTCTCGAAATGTAAATGTATTTTCCGGCTAATAAGGCATATTTCTTACGTATATCTGATAATTTATTTGGGCTAATTAATCCACTGAGAGGTTCAATTATATTGGAAATTACTAATGGATGAATTCGATCTAAATTCACATAATCAAGTAAAGATGAAGTTTTTGTTATCATTGTCGGCTTATATCTTGAATGAATTTCTTGAATATTAAAAGGGATATTAAAATTCCATTTTTGTAAGTATGTAGTATTAAGATTGTTAACAATTTCCGAAGAAGGTAAACACGATCTGTAAAATGATAAGGTTTCTTCCGAAATTTCATTTGCGGCCCATAATATAATATAATGAAATAAATTATATTCTAATGTCGATAACATATTGGTTTCTTCCTTTTTGATCTTTGATAAAATATATTCCAATGCTTTTCCATTTAAATTACAATATTCAATCGTTTCTAATGGAACTGAACTAACTGAATCGTATAATAAATTAGTCAACTCATTATCTGACGATTCCATATATTCCAAAATTTGTGATAATATTTTAGCCGATACATTTACCTTATTATCAACATCACGATTTTTAAAAAATTCAATAATTTGAAGTTTTAGTTGTTCAATCAAGAAAAAATCAGCACAATGATAAGCTTCAGCAACTGTTTCAATTATTAGGCTCTTTTCTGTCACTTTCCCTGTATATAAATATTCAAGAATGACGAGTAAAGTATTCGAAGAAAATTCTGGAAATATTAAATCTTGGGTAGTTACATTCTTTCCACTTAATAAAATATTAAATAATCCTGAACGCGCCACTAATATGCTTCGATGAGCACTTAATTCCTCTCCATCATTCCCTTTTATTTTGATATCACTAAATAAAAATATGGACTTTTCTTGTGCATCAACAAAATTTGATTGCATTTGTTGTTTATGCAGTCTGAAAATTAAAGAATTTCCAGTCGAAATTAATTTTGTTATTGAAATACCAAAAATGAAAAGTTCATGTAACTTACAATGTTGCATTTGACCAATGTGACCATCAACAAAAAATAATGTAACGTAACATCTGTAACATTAGTATATTAGTATTTTTATTTATTTAATTAAAAAATTTAAAAAGAAAAAAAATGCAGAAGTTATAAGTCCTGTTCCTATTCTGCATTGTAGTATAGGACTACCCAAGAGAAATAAAGAAGCGCTTTTTGTGAAAGGAAGTGAACGTAGCGTTAGTTTATAAATAATAAATATTTAAAGCCACTATTAGTTGTACTTTTATTATTATTATTATAAACACCAGTACCTAAAAACCTACTTTATATTCTGATACAATAACTATAAACTCGACCAGCTCTGGAAACTGCTCTAGAAAAAGCTTGCTTACGGTTATCAAAGTTGACGGCCAAAAGGTTAGAACGAATTAAATTCGTTAAGGACGTCGAGAAGATGGTTTTTAAACGACCTATCTTGAAACACGGACCAGGTGGTCTAACATATATGCGAGTGTTTTGAACAAACCTTATGCGCTTATTCATGGACACTTACACGGAGAAATATAGTTGAAAGGAAAATGAATTCAATTCACGCTAAAATCGCTGCGGATTACATCGACGTCCAAATTCATCAACCTATTCGATATTAAACTGTCAAGACCAATTTCTCCTATGATCGGTGAAAAACGACGTAAATACATGCAAATGTTGGACTTGTAATTAAAATTCTATGTTAAATAATGGTATGTTATTATTCATAATTCTTGACTCACTACTTTAAAAGGATATCTATTTATCACTTTAAAAATTAAGGATGTTGACGTAATGGCTTTAAACGACTCATTTTGAAGCACAAACCAAACGATCTAGCGTATTTGCGAGTTCGATTGTGTAAACCCCTTACGAGAATCTTAATATTGAGATTGAATACATAAGATGTTCAATCAAATTCCACGTTAAATAATGGTATGTTACTATTAGTAATTATTGCTATTTTATTAACATCAAAGGAATACTTATTTATCATTTTATAAATTTCGTTATAGTACGCAACCCCCTTTTTGATATCTCGCTTTAATCCATAATCTTATGGAGTGTTCAGAGCTGACTGTATATACTTTTAAAAATACTATCCATTCAAAAAAAATCATTCATAAATGATCTAAATAGTTTAATTATACTATTTTTTTTTTGGTAAATATGAATGTCAATTCTTCCCTATTTTCCATAAATCCTCTTATTGAAAGCAACGACACTCATAAAATAGTGTTACCGTATATACGACGCCTACAAAAGTTCACTATGAATAGCGTAACGAATTGTTTGTTACAAGTGAACAAGATTTTACATGTTTCATTTTTCTGTATTAATCTTAGGGGGAAGATGGAGCTTTTGGAAGACCTTAGCTGAAGTATCACTAGTAGGGCTTGCCTTCGCAAGCCACCACATACTACGAGTCTGGAATATGGTTTAGCACCAACGTAAGTTTTTCAACTGGAACGGGTAGTGTCTTTAGTAAATCTCACTGCTAATTTTTTAACTTTAATTATTGACAGTGATTGTTAAGATTGAACGCTCTTCTCCATGAATTTGTAACACCAAAAATTTTTCGTATTGAAGTTCCGAGACCACAAGACCACAACGTAATTATAATTATGTATAAATATTAATCAATATTGAATCAAATTAATTTAATATTAATTCTTATTTCTTTTTTTCCCATATAGTATAGCGATGGATATAATTCGAAGATTGTGAACTTGATAATGCTTGACAACAATGTTATACTACCAGGTATATTTTGCAAAGTTTAAGTAAGTTTGTATTAAGATTATTACTTAAAATATAATATTTAACTTTTATAGATAAAATCGACGTGATGGATTTATCAGGACGATGTCATTGTCGTTGTGCGGTACTCCAAATTATCAAATAATATGGAAGATTCGCCAACAACTCTGATTGTGAAATTCCTTTTTGTCTTTTGAATATTTCCTCCACCTTACAATCTATTCGTTCCAAGAATTACAATTTGTTATTTCTCTGCTCTATGGAATATATACTGATCATGATATGGCTGAGCGACTATTACGATTACACGATCAAAAATTATGTAATGTGAAAGTGGAATGAACATAGCACCGGCATTTTATAAACTTTGTGAGAAACATGAAATAGAATGTAAAGTTTTTTTACTGCTTGTGGATGAATTACCAACATATGTAACGTCACTAAGGCTTGGAGATGTTGAAAGATTATGAAAATGTTGTGAATTATTTGTAGATACCATTACCGCTCACACTAAATTAAATGGTTTTCCTGATCAACGTGGAAGAAATTAAGCTGCTAATTTTAATTTTAGTAAAATATTATTTATTAATTCTAAATAAAATTTTCGTACTAGATAGTTTTAAATAAAAATTTTCGTACTAGGTAGTTTTTAAATAAAAATTTTCGTACTAAATAGTTTGATATTTCTAAATAAAAATTTTCGTACTAGATATAGTTCTAAATAAAATTTTTCGTACTAATACCACAAAATAACTTATTATATATAATAGTTCAAATATTAGATCAAATATACCAGAGCATGAATTTTAGAGTAGATTAATAATTAAAAAAAAAAATATATTATAATTGGACAATTTCATTTCAGTTTTTTTTTTTAATAATAAAAACATTTTATTAAGTTTAAATATAACCAATAAAAATACAAATATAAAATTATAAATAAGAATATGGGGAAACAAATTATGAATAGACGTGGGAATAAACCTGAATAACTCCTTGTATCTATGGAATTCTTTATTTTCAGATGCGATTCTCTCCTTAAACAAACAATCAAAACTAAATATGGTTCAGATATATTATCGTGTTTGTGTCTTTGTGTCTTTACGAGTTACAACTTATGACCGCAAACGCTGACAACACAAATTATCAATTATGTTTTCGTGAATGCGGCCATCGTGCACAAACCAAAGATAATCATCATATTCATAGATAGCCAATTAAATATTAACATCCTTAATCTGTTATCCTTACTCCGTTTTACCCGAAACTTGAAGTCCATCTAGACGCATTTTACCCATTCTATTTTATAACGCAGATTATAAAAGAATAAAACGGAATAAACGTCAATAACGTCATTTAAGGCTAGATTACTATGTAATCTTGTCTATAAATGAATGATGTAATTAAGATATAATTCATTGCAGAACGAAACATATAAAAAATACAATCCATTTACCTCGTTTAACAAATCACGTGATGATAAGTAAACTTATCGATCTGTTTTCTGCACAATGCAAAGAAAATTCTAATCAACGATTTTCTCTGCCTTCATATGTTTTTTCGTATCTTTACAAATTATTCCCGATGAAACTAATACGATACACTACTGCAGTTGGAACTTAGAATTACGTTCCTTCAAAATCTTTAACAACTGGATAAAATATTTGACATTATTTCCCCAAAGTCAATGATTAACCTCTGTCCACTCATCTACTGTCAATATATAATGAATTGACTTTTCAAATTTCAGAAACGGAGAGTTTTATTCTTCCGATACGGATAACTATATGGCATGTACTGTCACAATATGGCCATCTGCACAACTTAAAACTAATAGGAATGCTTTATTATAAATAGTATAAAAGTCAACATTCTAGTATAACCCACATGATCTCAAGAACCCGGTTGCTTATATGCGCAAATAAAAATTCGATTTCTTTTTTTCAAATATATAACAACAAGTCCATGTAATTTATACCTGAGGTTGTGGCAATGCTATACAATTAGAATAATATATAAATTGTAAGTTTTTTTTAAAAAAAAAGAGAGAATTGGTAGATGGCAACTAAAAAACTTACAGCTCTTCAATTCAATATTTAATGTAAAAGGTCCATAATATAGTTTTACTATCTGGCAAATAAATTATTCAGTTTCCTCAAAGTAACAATTATCTTTGTCAATGAAAAAAAATCGACTTTTTTTCGAAACTCCAGAAATAGTAAATGTACTGATTAAGGAAGAATGCAATATTAAAGTCAGACAATTTATTCATTTTCACCTAATGAGTCACTTGTTTTACAACGTTAAAAGCTTTCTTCCTCAGTCTCTTAAAAAGAAAAGATTTGTCTTATTAAATATTTCTATGATACTTCGGAATTCCGCGTAAACTATTGTGGGTAAAGTTAATGAGATAAGCCGAAAGTATGAGGTTGAACCTGGTACAAATATTATGGGTAATAACTGATATGAAAGATTTCTACCGGGTATGCTACTGAGAAATTTGAATGTAGATCATTTGATCACGTGATTACGCGGTTTTGTTTTAGTGATATACCCGAACCGAATCGATGAGAGAAAGTTGCTTTGATCTCATGTTGGACCATCAGCTATCTCGGAAAGATTTTATTTTGCGCATTCACAATGGAAAGCTCATGCGATCTTCAAAAAATGATAAAATAAAATTTTAAACTAATCTTGTATTTTAATGACTTATTAATGATTAAATTTATAATAGAATAAATAGATAAATAAAATGAATAAAATATAAACATTAAAAACTAACGTGTTACTATATCCATTAAACCTGAATTAATAATTAAAACATCTTTATCTAATATTTTACAGAAATCCATTAATTGATTTTACATAAATATGCCCTTTCTCCTATCAGCTATTAATATTCCTCTCTTATTCCCTTTATTGATATATCCAACATTAATTCTTTTAGTCTTTTAATATTTAGATATTATATATAACAAAATAAATAAAAAAATCCATCCATCAATTCATTATTTTTCCTTACTTATTCATAACCCCAATATTATAATTTAATACGCTAACTTCCTAACTGTAATAAATAATAATACTTTTGAGTCAAAATCAAATAATATTAATAATATTAAAACAAAATAAAACAAAATAAATAAATAATATATTTAATTAAACCTTCACTTCTCTAAGAGAAGTTAGCTCCTCTTTTTTCTTTCTTTTTTCCCTTTTTTCTTTACTTTCCTAATTTACATTCTTTTTAACTTGCTCTAAAAATCATCGTTAATAAATGTCTAAATTCATGAAATTGTTGTTCATTAGCAGTTTTAGGTAATAAAAATGAAACAGTTTTAGCATCATTTTCTTTTGCGGTAACATGTTTAGGTAATCTACTATTTTCAATCATAAAACCTTTGGTACATTTTAATACTAATTCACCTCTACGATAAAGTAATTTTTCATCTAAATTTGGATCGGAAAATACATCAACATCTGACGGTAACATTAAAAATGGTAGTGATATTGTCGAAATATCAAATCTGTTTACTGTTCTTAATATATTACGTAATCCATCTATTACACGTGAACGATATGTTAATTCTGATTTTTGAATTGCTATGAAAAAAAAAAGGAAAAGGTAAATATTTTACTTATATAAATCTATTGATAAATAATATGATTAAATAACTTACATTCAAAATCAATCACCAAATGAAATACTACATGAACTAAAGGTAAGTTGGAATGTCTCGTAATAAAGAAATCACCTAATTATATAAACATTTTTATTAGCAATAATACAATTAAATTTTGAATAAGTAGTATTCATACCTTCTTTTAAAGAAGAACTATCAATAGGATAATCATTTTCAATAGCTTCTAATTGAGTTTCAACCTTATCAAAATGAAACTCCGTAGTTTCATTACATCTCTCAAAAAATTTTTTATTGGCACTTTTTCCTAATTTATATTTAGGCCAATCTCTTGGAGTTAATAACAAAATGATAGCGGTTAAATCTTGAGAATATAAATTAGCAGCAGTTTGAGCTATATAAGCCATATTACGAGTAGGTTCATTAGAATATTCAAGTAATTCATCCATATCAGAAACTAATAATCTAAGATTATGAGTAACTTTAACTTGATTTCCTAACGATATTGTAAACGATTCAACTAAACGAGAATCATCCATAATATTATTCCCATTTCCATTGCCTTCTTCAAACCCAAAATTTTCCATAGCTCGATTAAACCATACACTTAATTTTTTAACGGAAGAATTTTGTGATTGGGTCGTCATATTTTTTTGTTGAAGAAACATCATTGGTGTCCAACCTTTTTTCTCTTGTTTTTGATTTTGGTGTGCTGTTATCTGCAATTGTCTACCGCTTGATTTGGTACGACGTAAAGATTGTTGTTGTGTTTGACTAATAATTGGAGTTGAAGAACGTCGTGGAATTGGAGGTATACTTGTTCCATTTGCTATTTGTGCATTTACTTTATCTAGATTTTCAATTAATAATTCCAACGCTTGTTCCTATATAATAGGATAATAAAAATCAGGAAAAGTTAAATCAAACAAAATTATTGTAAATAGATAAAATCAATTATAATATAATGTAGTACCAAGTTTCGATTGGTCATCTCGAGAGCTGTTTTAGCTTGATCGACTGTAAAGCCAAGGCCAAGTTCTTTTATCTTCTCTATTGAAAGTGAATCATATTCCTATAATGAAGAATTCAAAAGGATTAAATTACTAAAATAAATAATAATATATTCGGAAAATAATCATACTTACATTAATATTTTCATTACCATTACCCGTTAACTTTTCATCAAAATTATTCATATTGATAGGAGATAAAGTAGGTGAACATACAACATCAGCTAAACTACTAATACTTCCAGCCCTACTTCTATTTCCAGCAGATTTACTACCATTTGTAGATTTGTTTTCTAACTTTAATAATTCTTTTGATAATTTATCAGTTTGATTTTCTTTTTCTTCTCTTTTCATTTCATTTATAACCTCTGATACAATTTCTCTACCATCTAATCTGAATACCAAATTAACATCCATTGTATTACATTGTTGTTCCGTTAACAAACGTTGATGCGCTTCATATAATTTTAAAACAAAATTACAATATTCTTTCTTTTGCAATCTTTGAATTTCTTCTAATTCTGATATTAATGTTACCTTAAGAAATTCAACTTCCTTAAAAAGTTAATGTATTCAGAAAATTAGAAAATTTTTTATAAGAAAAAAAAAATTACAAAAAAAGTCAATACCTCAATTTGTCTTTCCATTACACCATCATCTAATCTATTATTGGATTCTGCCATAGATTCAACCTCTTTTAAATGTTGTTCACTAATATCTGATATCTTCTTTTCTCTTTTACTAATAAAATCTTTTAGCGCTTGTTTATAATTATACTCCAATTGTACAAAAGTATCAAAAATTGATGGTACTGGTGAATGAACTAATGTATGATATGCTTTAGGAAATATATCCTTTTAAAAAGTAAAAGAAATAAATTATATTTAAGAATCAGATTTTGCGACTTAAATAATTTTTCTTTAAAGAAAAAAGTAAAAAACTTACTTCAGCTGGAGCATCATTAAAACGAACTGTATGTTTTTGATATTTTGCTACAAGTTCTGATCTAATTTGGTCCGCTTCTGATTCATTTTTAACTACGAAAATAAAATTCATATATATTTCAATTAAATTTTTATTCTTTTAAATTATTAAATTCCAATTCATATCGTACGTACCTTTAGCATCTATTTCCATATCTTTACGCAAACTTTCCAAAATTAATGCTTCAATAGTAGATAAGATTGATAATTCTAAATAACATGGTATATTATTTTCCATCATAAATTGTCTTACTACATCTAATAATAATTGACCTTTTTTAACTGTTATTGTAAGTTTTATGGGATTATTATTTGGCGGTAAACTTAAATCTAAAACTATGTTTAAATTTTTCAATACTTTTGTTGTGCTCATGGTTTAGAATTTTGGAGAATTGTATGTGATCCTGAAGAAGGATTAATTATTAATTCGTATTAGATCCAAGGAAAAAAGATTAAATCTGTGAAACGTTATACTGTACTTATCCAAAAAAATGACGTACCTTGATTAAATTCTACGATTAACCAGTTTAACCGTCAAAAAAAAAAAAAAAATCTTGTAATAATTGATTTTTCCAATTCGTTTATATGAAATATATCATAATTAGATTTTTGCTTTTTGTGTTATATTTATTTATATCTAATTGTTTATTTTCAGAAAAACAAGAATTACATTACCTACAAATCTTGTTTAAATTATTTTTTTTTCTCGATTTTTAAATTAAAGTCTACTAATGCGAGTAATTAATTATTATAATTAAATTAAAAATTTAAAAAGAAAAGAAAAAAAAATTTCTTTAGCAGTTAAGAAAAAGAAAATTTTCGTTAAAAAAAGAAAAAAAAATTTTTCAAGATAGTTTTTAATTAGAATTTGCATCGTTTGTTTTGATTAATGTATAAACGTATAAACAAAAAAAAAAGTGGGTTTTTTTTTCTCATTCAGATTAAGAAATGATCCGGCGGATACCTGAACTACCTGAACGCCAATTATGCACGTGCCACTCTAATCAGGAAGATCGTGGCTTGACAAGTAGGGTATGCGCGATAAAGTACATGACTACATGAAGTACATGAACTACATTAGACGTGAATTGAATAATAATGTGGGGGAATCAATCTAATTGCGGAGAAAATAATGACCTACTGCGGATAACTTTTATGAAGAATGACATCCCATATCAACAATATATAAATTTGAATAAATTGTTCATCTTGAGAAAAAAATTTGATAGTAATTAATTAGACATTGAATATAATATAGATATTGTATGAATATGCACATTTGAACAAAACATCAACAAAACAAAAAAAAAAACATTGGAATAAAAATAATTATTCTCGCGTGTACATAATGAGATACGATACATGTAATATGGCATAATTATTTCTTTTTGTTTGCATCCTTCAAACGCTTTGGACTCTCTCTCTTGCATATAAAAAAAAAAAAAGGAAAATACTCTTATCAAAGCCTCAATATATTATTTCGGTTATAGGTTCGCGTAAATTGGATCTTTTAAGATAATCAATAAATTAACTGATATAGGTTTGTGCTTGGTCAACGTGTTTTGACTGTAACACCTTAATTATATTCTCGTGTTTGACTTGTAGTACGATAGAGAGATAATATAGTATTTACTGCGCATATATATATCACCAAAAATGTATTCATTCATAAAAATTTAAAGATTTAGCTTAATTAAGTTTAAAGTTTAAGTTTATTACGTTTTTCGTGATACATAAAATTTCTTAAGAGGATATGATAGGACAATTTATTTTTGACAATGGGTAAAGTTAAAAAAGCATATTGTTCAAAGAAAAAGTTATCAGTAGAGTATTAGCGGCGAAGTAATAATCTAAGTTTTTTAAAAAAAATCTTTTTTCAAGTGAACGCCAGTTCTTTTATTAGCGAAATGCACATATTTTAAAATACAAACATTTCACCTATTAAAAGATACATATAATAAAAAAACTAAACCATATTTTTCTATAGATCGACTTCTTTATTTACCAAATTAATTTTTTTTATTTATAACACAAGAAGTTTATTAAAAGTATTGTTTGTAATAAAACAATGAGAAATTTTCAAATTCAGTCAATAAAAAAACAATATTAATTATTATAATATGATATGGGAATCGTTTCTATACTAGTAAGCTTTTTATTTTATACTTTAGGAGAAATTAATATATATAGACTTTGTTTGTGAACTTATTTATTTCTCCTTTGGAGCTGTTTCATAAAAACTTATTTGCTGTCAGTCAGTCATTCAGGAAGAGAGCAAGAAAAATAAAAATCATCAAATAAACGTTAAAATAATATATATATATATATTTATATTTATTATATATATATATATATTCTTACACACACACATTATATTTCCTTTTTCCTTTATTTTTTTTTTTTTAAAGGGTATGTTATTTTGTACAACAAAGCAAAAAGCCTTGGGATTCTTAAAACATATAAATATAAAGGTTCTTTTTTTTAAAAAAAAAAATAGTTTTTCTTTTCCTTTAAAGGAATAAAATTTGAAACATATTTTTTTTTTATCAATAACTTCGGAATAAATAAAATAAGAAAAAATGTCGACAGCAACATCATCAAGAATGACTTCAACAATTCCACAAAATTCTCCTTATCCACAAAACGCTGGATTTCCACAAAATACGTATCCACAAAATTCATTTTCATCATATTCACAAATCCCAAGAAATCTACCGCATCAACAAAATCAATATCATCAATCCGTTATGCAAGTTCAAGAACATTCATCATCATCATCATCCTATTCATCATCTTCTCCCTCAACTTCATCACCAGCATCAGCATCATTTCCATTAAGCGCACTTCCACCTTCATTCGAACATAGTCATTTAATAGACGGCATTCCTGTAACATACATTCTCGAAAAATTACATTTATTAGGTCCAACTTATTATAATGATAAAAAAACTGCTTATGCTGAACTTCATATTGATTCTCTTCCTAATACTTTTTTCGTTCATAAAGAATATCTTATACTTCAATCAATCTTTTTTCGTCAAATATTTGAAAGAGTAAAAATTGGTGATTGTATAACAATCACTCTTCCTACCGCTCCTGAAACTTTTCAACCTATATTGGAATATTTATATACTGGTGATGAAGACAAATGGTATGATACTATGACTATAGAGAATTGGTCAAATATTTATAAGAATGTCCAATTTCTTGGATTATGTTCTGAAGCTAAAGCTGTTTGTATGACTTTCTATGAAAATGAAATTGAACCTACTTTACATGATGAAACTGATTGGTACACGCCACATATTAATGTGGCTAAGTAACTATCTCTATTTTACTTTATTTTTATAATTAGTTATTAGTTTGTACAGATTATTTTAATTTTATGTATATTACAATCTTTAATTTCTTACTTATTCAAAAAAAAAAAAAAAAAAATGTAATTTATTTGACAAAAATCTAATAAAATTTTTTAAAAAAAAAATTTTTTTTTTTAATTTATAATGCTGCGGCGTATGAAACTACCTTGTGTAACATATTTTAATATAAAATTGATGATTCTAAAACTTTCCCCATTTTCCGTTTCTTTTTTTAAATATGCTTACCTTCGTTTTTATCTTATCATTATTGATTCTTTTACTTTTCTTAATGAGATTATATAAAGTATTACCACTACATAAAGATAAAATTACTCGATCTATACATCTTCCTAAACCACCATTTAAAACTTGTATAGTATTAGGATCCGGTAAATTTTCAATCTCTCTTTGATAATCTTTTCTTTTTTTCATCTTAATTAATTTACGTTTAATTTATAGGAGGTCATACAATGGAAATGTTACAATTGGCGGAAGGATTGGATTTTCAAAAAATTTATCGACCAAGAATATATGTTATTGCAAATAATGATCATTTAAGCTTAGAAAAAGTTCATGAATTCGAAAATAGAAAAACTGGTGATAAAAGTAATAAATATGTAACTTACGCATATTTCAAATATATCTTGTTTTTCTATATAATTATATATAAACTAACTAACTAAGCACATTATTTATTTTAAATGAAATTCAATATAAGTATAAAGTTCATAAAATACCAAGAAGTAGACTAGTAGGACAATCATGGTTAACGACTCCGTTCAGTATTTTTAAAGCATTATTAGCAAGTATAAACTTAATATTTGAAAGAGATTCACCTGATCTAGTAAGAAATTCAAGTATAAAAATTTTTATTGATTAATTTGAAATTTTACTTATTCTTTTTTTTTATTAATAGATAATATGTAATGGACCAGGAAGTTGTATTCCTGTTTGTGTTATTTCTTATCTTCCAAGAGTAAGCTACAAATATTGAATTAAATATTTATTATAAATAATATATTATTTAAACCTATTATTCTTTTTTTTAATTAGATAATGGGACTAAAGTGGATAAAATTAATTTACGTGGAATCATTTGCTAGAGTTAAAACATTATCATTAACAGGAAAATTATTATATAGATTTGTGGATAGATTTTTGGTACAATGGATTTATCTTATAGAAAAATATCCTAGAGCTGAGTATATAGATATTTACCGGTTGAATGATGACAAATCGGGAATTAGTGATCATTCAGCATCCACTGAATGACTTCAAATGATGGGCAGTCATTCGGGATAATCAAATAGTTATTATTTGGCATACAATTCGATTTGATGTTTAAATTTACAAACTGATTGATAATTTATTAAATACTAGTATATCATTCAGTATACAATTCAGTATGCCGATTGACATTATTTATAATCTGATTTATTATAAATTAAAACCAGTATATTACCAAGTGAATCAAATATTCAAAATTTATATTTATACAATAATATTATTATTCCTTACTATACATTTATTATAATAAATTTTTATTAAAATTAAATTAAAACAAACTTACGCACTATCTAGCTATTGTTTTCATTATCATCATTTGATTTTTCTTGGCAATTATCTACAAATATTCTTGTATAAATTAATTATTTATACAAGTTTACACAAATTGACTGATCTCACAAAAACTATAGCCTAAACTAAACAAGTTGTACTAATTAAAATTGCTCAGCACCATTGAAAATGGCCAGAAAAAAGAATTTGAATAATACTATTTTTTTTAGTAGAGAAATTTTGTGAAATAAAAACAAATCAAAAAACTTATAAAAATATAAGTGAATTATATACTACTTTAGTGTAAAGTATAATTATTAAATTAATAGAATCAGCTCAGTTAAACTATTAATAATATAGAATAAAAGTTAGAGTAACAAATAAAAAAATATAATTTTTAAATATTAATTAAAAGAAATGTAATTTTTAAAAAATAATTATTTATAGAATTAGGCATTTCAAAAAAACAGCTTTTTCTAATTTTAAATTAATACATGATAAATTTGTTTTAAACATACATCTATATCTAATATTAAGTTAATAACTAAATACATGCAGCAAAAAAATATATACAAAGATTTATTATTAGTAAAAATCCAATAATTTACTTTTTGAATAAGAAATTTATTTAAAATAATATAATTTTAAGTAGGCCATTAATATAATTAATTGATTAGCAAAATTTTTATAAAATTCCTCAAATACTTTTATATAATAGATTATCTAATATAGGTATTTGTTATATATTCTTTATATTAGCAAACAATACATTAGCAATTCAAATTTTAATTTATTAGAAAAAATACATTATAAAATTAAATTATTCAACTAGTTAATAAAAATGGAAAATTTTAACTGAAAAAGTTAATTTTTATATACAAATCCAAAAAAAATATAAAGATTGCATTAAAAAAATTTTTGATAAAAAATATATAATAGATTTAAAATCTTATGTATAAAAGTTACTTATATAATTTTTCAAATTAAATAAAATTTTACAATTTTGAAATATAAAAATCTTTAATATAATTAATATTTTTTTATTAAATTAATAAATTTAAATAAAAAATAAATTATTTAAAATAATATAAATTTAAAATAAACTTTTTAAATATAATAATTGTATATTATTATACAGACGTACTTACCGTATTTTTCCAATATTAAGCACCACTTTTTTGCAGGAATTTTGTGCGAAAAGTTTAGGGGTGTTTAATTTCGACAGTTTAGAAAAATGCCTTTTAAACGTCTTTAAATTAATTTAAAATTCATTTAAAAAAATTTTGCAAAAAAAAAGTTTCAGTAGTTAAATTCTTTTATTTGTAAATATATTTTTCAATAATAATGTAATTTTGTAATTTTTGTTTTTTTCGATAATATAATAAAATCAATAAGTAGTCGGAGAGGTGCTTATTTTCAGTTTATGCTTGATATCATGCAAAGTAAGGGAGTGCTTAATTTCAGGGAGATGCTTAATATTGGAAAAATATGGTAATAATAGTATAATGTAATATAAAATATTACATCAGATCATTATTAAGTACCTATTATATAAGCCTAATAAAACAATTATTTGACATATAGTCAATGGAAACAATATCAATACATTGAATATATTACAAGTAATATAATGCAGACAAATACTATCTGATTAATAGGCTAAAATAATTAAATTTCAGTAAAATAAACTGCAAAAGAGTTCAAATTAAATCTTTTACTTGAACTAACTTTATAATGCTGACCTGAATTAATACTAGTGTAGCTAAAATATTAGTACATCTTAATATATGTTATTATAAAGAAATTAAGAAAAAGTATCAGTATATGTTACATTGCAAAATTATATACAATATCGATATAATATAATTTTTTTATTATACATGAAATAGGATAATAAAAATTTATTAGTACAGAAAATTATCAGTATACCAGGAATCGGTACATAAAGGTTTGACTATATATAATTTCATAATTGTAACATTATAGAATCCTATTTATTTCTAAAATAAATTACCCCAAATCTTAAGATAAGGTTTATATATTTATATATAAAATTTGTTAAAAATCCTACTATAAAAGAAAAATTTATGTTATATTATTATAATTTTTTTTTTTTTAGTTAAATAATTAATAGAATTTAAGTAAATCCTAAAGTAAAGTTTCATATAAAAGTTAAAATTTTCTACAATAATATTTATTAATAGAAAGTAAAATTCTAGTACTATTGTACTTTACATATATTTACGATAAAAATATGATTAGTGAAATTACCGAGTAAATTTTACCAATTATATTACTTATTGTAAATATTAGTATGAAAATTATTAAATACAATAATTTATAAATTTTTATATTTTAATAAAAGAGTTGATTACCCTTAGTGCAATTATATTGAGATTATAGATTTAATTTTACTAATCACAGAAATTATAAAAATTTTACTGTAGATACTACCACCAATAGCATAAAAGTATAGGGATTAGTATAGAAGAATTGTATTATAGTGAATTAGTATATACTGGTTAATGATATATTTCATGATATTCTCTTAATGTTTCTTAAAAAATCATTATGAATCCTATTATCCTGTTTGAATGGTCACTATTAGCATACCATTTGGATAAGTTTTTGTTTTGATAGTCATTTTACAATACCATTAAGGATGTAATGAACTTACTGCGAGAATTCATTATACTAAATGGAGTTTATAAATGGTAAAATCTCAAGTGTAATATCTTAGTAGTAGTTTACCTTTTAATAGGTTTAGATTGATTGAGATATTTGTAAACTAACAAATATATAAGATTCTAAAGTAAAGTTCAATTTTTCAATGAATTTGATATACTGGTAGTGAACCTTAGATGGCTAAGTAAATCACTTTTAATATAAGGGAATTCAATACCTTTAGCAGCATATTATCCTAGTAGTCATTACTATTACTATTAGAAGATTTACAGCTGTGATAAGCTGAAATAATAATTGCAGCTTATAATAGACTTTGAATGAACCATATCAGTAATTCTAGTATTGTAGTATTTCTAAGTTAACCACTATAAAAGGATTTTTAGATGTTCACTCCATTATATCTGCTGTATATGTTCTACACTTTTTTAATCATATAAATGGATTGTATTATAGTTATGAACTCTACTACTACTGAATAATTTAAAAGATACTAAATTAAGTTGTTCTTATCCAGTATATATGGTATATATCATAGGATATAGGAGAATTCTACTTACTTATAAAATAGATCATCTCTAGACTTAAGATAAAAATTATATATAAAATTCTTTGCAGATCTATATAAAGCCATACAAACTTGATTTTATAGTTTTTATAATATAAAAATTTCATCAATAACCCGGCAACCCAGCTTTTAATTTTTTTTTTCAAGAATTTTATATGCAAAATTTTTTTCAATTTTTAAAAAATTCTCACCTGATATAGTAATAATATAAAAAAATTTTTTTTAAGATTTAACAAAACTGACCCAGCCGGACTATGAAAACTATTTTTACCACTTTGTGTCGCCTAAAAGAAAATTTTATGTTATATTATTATGATTTTTTTTCTTTTTAACTAATTAATTAATAGAATTTAAGGAAAAGTAATAAAAGGTTAATTTTCTATGTGACTTTTATTATAAGTAAGTGGGACTCTAATATAGAAAATGTTATTCCATCCAAGACTTAAAAAGTGTAAATAGTTGGGTTTAACTATTGATCAACAGTTCTAATGCCTAAACATAACTGCTTAAATAATCAGTATTTTAATTAAAAAATATTCTTAAAATAAAAAAATAAATAAAAAAAAAATTATATTTTAATAAAAATTTATATATAATAATTTTATAAGATACTCATGAGATATATCTACCTTTGCATTTAGTACATTGATAAAAAATACCTGCTCCTTTTAAAGGTAATTTTTTTTAAAAAAATAAGTAATTATTATTATAATTAAAAATCTATGGAAATCTATAAAAAATGTAATTTTAATATTTTGTTATTTAATTTTAAATGTCTAAACTATTTGGTTTTATTAAATAATTCAATTTAGTATTATTAATACTACATATAAATAGTATGTAAAAATATTATATTTTGAATAATAAGATGCATTTTAAATTATAAAACATATTTTAATAAAAAAAAAAGATAATTGATTATTTAAAATTTATTGTTTATAATAAATTTTTATTATTTATTATTTTTCTTAAAAATATTTAATTATAATAATACTATAAAATTACAATTTTAATCCAAATTATAAAAAATTTTAACTAATAAAATTATACTTATTAGTGCAATTTATTTCAAATTGGAGTTATTTATATGAAAATTATTCAATTTTAAAAGTTATTAATAACTTTTTTATTTAAAAATCTGACTGGTAGTTTAATAATACTTGTTTCAAAAATAAAGTTACTGGTTTAGATTTGTAAAATTTTAAATTTTTAAAGTTCTAAAAGTTTTTAATTATCTTAATTTTATTGTTAAATATAAACTTTTAGTATCATAATTATAATAAATTAATGAATTTTGCTTAAAAAAAATAAATAATTTAATTTATATTATCTTTAATTGGTTAATATCAAATTCAGATTAAATTAGAATAAAATAAAATGGCTAAGTAAGTTCCCATAATAATAAAATTTTCCCATCTGGGAAATCCTAAAAGCACGTGTAAAAAAAATTTCTGCATAAATCTTAAATTTTATATCAAATATAATAAATAATTTAATATTAAATGATATAATAACAGATAATAAACCTTTGTTTTAGAATGTTTAGTTTAGTATAAAGTGAATTCATTATATACTGAACTAGTTTTTGTTCTAGGTAATTTAGGCTAAATTTGTAGTACTAGCCAGAATTATAATTTTGCTTAACATAAATTTTCTAGAATTAATATATAGTCACATGACTATTTGTAGAAAATATACTGGATTGGCATTTTTTATGAAAATTTAGTATAACTAGAGTAATTAATTATAAAAAAATTCAGGAAACTTTGGTTCAGTATAACAAATTTATGTTATGGTATTACCACCCAATAGAATAAGGGATAAATCGGTGAAATCAACTTTATCAAGGCGATAAATATATAAAGTTTCGATGCCAATAGAATTAAAACAATAGTGATCGTAAATTTACGTTTATATGTAACAAGTAGATTATTGTTATTATTTCTGGAAATAATGGAATTGAAGTTGTATCTTTGAGGAAGGAGAGAGAATTAGAAATAAGAGGTACAAGTAAGAGATACAAGTATAAATATTTAATAATGAAAAATTTTACCGAATTTTATTTATATTAAATATTTTACTTCACAAAATATTATTATCTTAAAATAATTTCACGAAGATAAATAAACTATAATTTTGTATAATATTAGAAACTTATTAATGTAATTGTGAAGTAAATTCCTTTATTGACATGAGAAATATTGCAAATAAATCTAAATTCTTTAATCATACAAGCTTCACAATTCATTTCCTATAGTTACCCAGTAATCTCTCAAATTATTTTTACGTCCAAATATCTCCAAATAATTTCCTAAAAAATGCATATTGTATAAATAATGAAGAAAAAGAAGTTTCTAATGGATAATAAACGTTACCATTTGGGACCAACTCTTCAATCATTTCATATAATTCTTCGGGTTTTTGACTTTGTCCTCGTCGTTCTGAAAATATCACATCCGAAGAAATCGAATGATTACATCCCGGAGGGTCTTCTCCCTATTAAAATGGTTCAACAAAATTAATCAATAAAATAAGAGTAAAACACATAGAAATCTCTTACCTTTCTTCCCATTAAACATGTTTCCTTCGCGTGTTGTAGATAAAATCCATGTCCTTTGGCCATTCTTCTATTCACCGTTTGCTTAACCCATGTGATGTCATCGCAGTACCTAAATTTAGAAATAACGTGACAAAGTGAATCACAAATAAAAAAATTAAATCACATTCTCAACTTACGTGTAGCCCCATTTTTTCATCATTTCGAATGCCTTAGAATATTTATTATTAATGACCCAGATAAACAAGAATCCATTTTTCTGTAATTTAGGAATTGGCAATTCTTCGATACAAACATCCGGTAATTGTTGATAGGCTATAGCTACCTTTATAAAATACATATATACAAAAGAAAAAAAAATAAAAGATAATAACTTTGTTTGGTGAGAACAATTACACGAACCTTTAAAATCCGTCATTCACTTGATGCTATAAGAAAGAATGATAAGAGAATTCATATAATACTCTACACCGCGTGTTGGAGCATGTGTCGCTAATTGCCATGGTGGATCCATTAAAATTACATCAAATTGACATTCTTTAGCAAATTCCTATTTGTGGACGAGAATTAGTTATAGAAAACGCGTAAAAGAGAATTCTAAAATTTTGAATATCTTGTATTTTGGTACTTACGTCCCATTCAAATGTTAATACATCAGCTTTAATAGGTACGCACCATTCCGGAGCTTCAAAATCTTCCCAACAAATCTCTGTAATTATATAAAATTAGTATAGATATATTGTAAATTCTAACGTTAATCATTTCAAAATTCTAAATCAATAAAGTCAAAATGCTTAAAAATTCATACCTTCGGCAATTTCTTTCTTTAATTCATTCTTTTTTGTTTCTTTATCTTCTTCATTAACACCATTACTTCTACTTCTATTTTTTGTAATTGCTTCTAAATTCGTAATTTCTTCTATTAATTCATCAATTTGTAGTTTTAATTCTGTTTCCTTCTCTAAAAGAATTATTAACCTTGCGTCTAACGAGGAGTCTTTTGATAAATTATTAGAAGAATGGTTAGTAGTACAACCAGCTTCAAAAGGGTATGCAAAACAAGTTTCGTTGTTAGCAGCTATTGGTGACGTTAATGTTTCGTTTTTTGACATGGTCAATATGGTCAATAAAGTCAGTCACGTAAAAATTAATGCAAGATCTTTTTGGGAAAGATCACTTTTATATGTTTAACACGACATCACGTGCAAAATTATGTTAGACACAAATTTCACGTGATTACAGATTTTTTAAAAAAAATGCTCACCGATCTAAAATACTCTTTTCTGCTCAACTATGTCAACAACTTTACAAACCACTAATTTTTATAGAGGGCCTCATGCAAGTATTTCAAAAATACTTCTAAATTCTTCATCATCTCTTTCATTTATTAAGGATATTTTAAAAGATTTTATTTCTTCTGAAAATGAAATTGATAAAGAGTATACTTTTAATAAAGGATTGGCAATATTTTATATGTTGCAGTACACAAGTAATAAAAAACTTAATGATAATCGACTTTGGAAAAGTGATAAAGTTGAATGGGTTAGAGCTTTACTGAGTGTATTTGAATATGAAAATAATTTCTTAGGATTTGTTGGTTTGGCTGGTTTCTTGTAATTATAAAATTATGTTAAATTGGATTATTTTGTGTGAATAGTGGCCATCAGCTACCAGTTGATTTATAAGCAAGACTTGAAAATAAACAATATTTTATTTTATTTTTTTATTAAAAAAATTCATAGGAATGGGTATCAACTTTTGAAATCAAATAAAAAAAGAAAAAAAATCGGTGAACTTATCTCTGAAGTAGAAAATGCTTTTCTGAAAAGTATTGATTCTATAGTTGATCAAGTCAATGAAGGTAAAATAATAATTTTTTTTAAAAGATGTACCATAAAATTAAATATGTTAATTATTTTGTCTTTTTAATTTAGATGCAAAGAAAGAAACTATAACATATATATGTGCACAATGTATTTCGTTCATTTCGATAGCACAATTGCGAGAATTAAATTCAAAGGTAATAGATATAAGTTAACTTAATTATGACAAAATTATTAATTTTTGTTTATACTAGACAAGATTGATGCATTTGTTGATGAGTGTTGTGTTGGAAAATCCTCGATTATTTCAAGATGGAAAATTTCTTGATGAAATTGAACAAGATATAACTAAAAATCAGAGTTGGAATGTAAGTGAATATAAATATTTTGGTTTTTTAAAGTTCTTTATTATATAATTATTAATACTATTAAGTAAAAAAAGGCTAAGTCGTTTAAAGTTCTTGAAGAAAAAGTTAACGACATATTTTTCAAGGAGCTATCAAAAATTTCATTGGCAATATCAAAATTAACTCAAATTGTCAACAATAATGATATTTCTTCTTTACTTTTAAGGTATTGTAAATCTATGAAAGAAAATTATTTTATATTTCTTACTGACTTTTTACAAAAAATTTAATTAGGATTAATAAATTTTCCATTAATCTATATAAAACATGGGATGAGTCTCCTACGCTTAGTTTAACAAAAGAAGATTCCTTAGGTAAATATATATAAAAATTTAAATTGCCATATTTTTTAATTTAACTGAAATTATTTTATTATGTAGAACCTGAAAATAAAGAAAATATGAAACTCCTTTGGCAAGTTTTTAAGTTTATTTTATTTACAATTACAATGATATTTAAGTCCATTGCTGATAGATCATTATTTGAGCCACATATTTTTGAAAATCAAGGTAAGTTAAAAATATACAAATATATGTTTTAATATATTTATCTTGTAATTTTAAAGTAAAGTTTATTACTTTGTAGAAAGAATGATGATTTTATTGGCATACTCTTACCTATATTTTATAACATCAAAATTTTCATTATATGGATTTTCAGTATATAAAAAAGTATTTTTTAATATATTAAATCAAATAATTGTAAATAATAATTCAGGAGAAATGATTGATATTATAAAAAATATTGAATTAGATATGAATGTTTATAAACCTCATGAAAAATGTAGAGTCGTTTATTATTTACTTGTTATTGAACAAGTTATTAAAGTATTAGATGATAATTATTTGGAAAATCATATATTACCAGCATTTGACAAGTATCCTTTCTTAAAAATGATTTTATTTTTTCTTAAAAAAAAATTATTCTTAATAATTAAATAATTGGATTTACAGAATTTTGTTGAACAATGATGATGATAATATATTTGAATCAGCAAATGCTGTTATATTATCAATATTTTATAATCAGAAAAGAGTTATTAAAGAATTAAGTTTATATTATTGTAATTATATATTATCAGTAAGTAATATAGGGATTTTTTTTCTTTTTAAAAAAGATAAATACAAATTAATTTATTTTAATTTTGTAGATGTATCCATCAAAAATCGATATTAGACAACTTAGAATTGCTTATACAGCTGTTTTAAAATCATTATCAGATATTGATGATACTTTAGTTTGGTTATGTCTAGATATACTTATAAAAAAAATTGAAAGCATTAGTAATCCTAATACTGGTAATTAATATTTTATAAGAATAACTAGTTTTTTTTTTTAAGAAAATATTAAATATTAAAGATTGTTTATTTTTTTTTTATTAGGTTCAATTTCACAAAATACAACAAATAAAGATTTAGAACAACAATTAATAAATCAACAAGAACAAATAAATCAAAAATTAAAAGTATTTGAACAAAAAAAACAAGATGAACAAGAAAATTTAGTTAAAGCAATATTATATTTAAAAAAAGGTCATTTACTTTTAACTTTAATAGATCAAATTAAATCTATTAATTTAATATTTATGGAAAATTTACTAACAAAAATTAAAGAGTTTTTTAAACAAGAAAAAGAAAATGAAATTAAAAGTAATAGCAATATTGGATTATTTGCTTTACAAAAAGTTTTATTTGATGTACTTAGTAATGAAATTGATTATACTAAAAAAAATGTTGGTGTTAATTGGTGGTTAAATGAAGGTAGTAAATTATTGGATTAAATAAAGGGTAAAAATTGTTAACAAAAATTATAAATTTTTGATATTAAATTTTACTTATTCATTATATAAGAGATTGACCATTTTTTTACAATTTACAAATACAGTATAAGTATTACTTATCCCCTGCCATTTACACAATAATAAGTGTTTTATAGTATATTGTGAGTATTTTATTGTTGAATCTTATTTTTCTTTTGCTTGGTTTTTTTTTCATTTTTAAAAGATTTTAAAAAAATAAATTTTTTAAATTTTAAAAAGCTTCTATTATACTTGAAAAATAATATTGAGATTACAAATAAATTAAAAGAAGCAAATCTTTCCGAATTACTCAAATTTTCAAATCAGTCCATTATAGTATAATTAATAGTGCAAAATTTCCTAGAAACGGATAAATAAATATATATAAAATTAGCTACCCAGTAGGTATAACTACTACATTTGCATAATCGTGTAAATGGTGCCGATCAGGGGATAATATGAAATGTCCAATAATTTTATCAGGCGTCATTTATAAATAACTGATACTAAAATTAATATATTGGTATAATTATATTTATTTTAAAGATTAAAAGCAAAAGAATATTTTGATAGGCCATAGTGGGTAAATTCAAACATTCCTACTATTAAGTATTTGTATTTATATTAATAAGATCTTTATATATCTAAATTGGCATAATGTACAGTACATTAGTTGAATCTTATATGTACTGGCTAGAAAGGTATTTTACATGTGAAAAGAAGTTATATCAATATTACATTTCTTTTAATGCTTTTTCATTTACCAATTCGTTTAAATAATTTTAAACTTTATTTCAAACTTTTAACTAATATAAGGTATTCATTAAATATATCCATAAGGTATTTCAATTTCCCAAGATTTTCTTATTACCTCTACACAATCCAAAGAATAAAGATAATCAAAATCATTCAGCACATCATCATTAAGATAACCGTCCATGACTTTTAATAGTTCTAAACTTTGTCTTAATTGACTCCAAATATATAATAAAAGTGGTGGTCTATCAATCCACATCTTTAATAATTTATCCAAATTCTCAATTGATAATAAAGAATTATGGTAATAATTTACTTCATCCAAACATAAAATTGTTAAAGAAAGAGGAGCTTTATCTGCCAACAAATTGAATAATTTGTCTATGTCAGATGTACAATAAAATATTATTTTAAGTCCTTTTAATTTTAAGCTAGAAATCAATAGTTGTTTTAAATCATCTAGTATTGAATCTTGATACCAGATTGTTACGAATTCAAGATTTGGACAATTATTAATGACCGTTTGAATATATTTACGTAAAGATAAAGTCGTAGGCGGAGTATTAATATAATTCCAATGAATCCTAACAAGAGTACCTTCAGTTTTCCCAATGAGATTTGTGTAAACTTCAAATGGTGTCAATTTATTATACTTAATTTCCAACACTTTCAATTTAGGAAAATAAGCCGCATCTGATAATCTTGCATCAATTTCTTCAAATAATTCCAATTCCAATCTTTTCAGATTTATGAAAGAATAGAAAGCATTATATGGAATACATATTTGACCACAAAATCGTACATGCATTAAAGTGTTCGCTTGTATCGCCAATGCTTCTCCGATTCTCTCATTTTGTACTCCTTGACTGTCATCAGATCTCAAATAAACAAATTGTAATTCATGTTGTACTTTTATTAAAGTTGCCAACCCTTCGATATCATCATCACATGTACTAATGTAAAGCCTTTGTATCTTATGACACGTTTTGGAAAGTTCAAAAAAAAATTCTGATGATGTGATGGTATCACAATGTAATTCACACAAATGCGAAAGGCTTGAACTCAAATAAATATTTTCAATTCCACGTGGACAATAAGGGAAATCCAGATGAACTATTTTTGTACATCTGGTCAAAAATAATTTAATGAATTCTTCTTGTAAAAGTTTTGCATGCGACATGCATCGTATTTGTTGTAAATATATATACTGGCAGTACTCAATATAATTAAATAAAGGCGAATGTTGCGTTGGTGGAGAAATATCTATGTTGTTATTCTTGATAAGTTCCTTTGATTCATCTGTTAAACATGAAAAATACGTTCTTGATAGACTAATTATGATATGATCGTTGTACCCGAAATACCAAGTATTTCTCCACAAGATTGGAACAATAATTCTACAGAACAACCGATTTACTAATAGACATGAATATAAAGTTTTGTAATCATCATATATCGATTCAAATATATCCTTGATGCATTCTTTTGGAAGCATTATATGAACAATTGAAAACGTATTTAATCTGTCGATCATTCATATGATCTAATTTTATTAACCAATCATTTTTAAAATTTCAGTCTATTCTTAAACATTTGCATTTTTTGTTAAATTACATAATTATAATTATAATAATAGTATAAAAGACGAGCTTTTATAAATTAATTTTAAAAATATTTTTTTTAAAAAAATAAAAATATTGGTTGTACTCCGATACCCAAGTAATTAAGTAATAATTAAATTGAAAAAGGAATATATATAATGCGAGAAAAAAAAATTCTTCTACATGTAATATCGTAATATGTGAAACTGGGAATATACTGTACAAATACAATGATTGAAAAAAGGGGGGGATAAGGAATTTCTATTATATTTGTTAATTAAGTTCTTATATTAGCTATTGACGTCTATATGGATATTGACGATCATTGTTCGTTGGATAATTATAAGTCCTTTGTCCATTATATAGAGTTTCATCCGAAATCGGATAATTATAAGTCCTTTGTCCATTATATAGAGTTTCATCCACAAATTGATTTCGTGATGAATTTGAATTTGGTGAGCTAGGCGAACTTGGTGATCTTAAATTCATTGAACGTGGAGACACAGGAGACACAGGAGATACTTGAGATCTGTCAAATACAGTTGGTCTTTGAGATGATTGTAACGGTAGTGGGTGTATTAGACCTGTTCCAGCATATGTATAATCTGGAGAACGTGAACGTTGCTGTTGATGTGCTGGTGTTGGTGTTGGCATAGGTGGTGCGGATCTTCCCTCATAACCGTTATATGGTGTTGGATCAACCCAATTACTACCATTGTGTGTGTTATAACTATTACCGTAATTATTATTATAATTATAATTACTATAATTATTTGAACTTGAATATCTATCATCTGGAGGTAGAGAAGGAACACGTAGTTTTGACGTTTGAGGTCGTCGCCTTTTACAGCAGCGATATGCGCACTGTATTAAACTACAAATAGAAAGTAATTAATTATGTAAGTAGTTTAATAATATATATGAATGGTATGAATAGTGATTCATAAGATATTCTATTTACGTACCAACATAACAAAAGTGATCCTATTATTGCCACAATTGGAATTGCAATTTTTTTATTTTGATTAAACCAGCTTGAAAGAGTATTACCTAGTTATATTGAAAGTATTAAAAATAATCGTGAAATCTTTCGTGCTGTGGTCACATATATATAATAAATACACTTACCTATAGACCCACTGTCACATTGTCCTTTGTTACATTTTCCTCCAAACCCACACGGAGTACCATCCACGAAATACCCGCTCATTTGAAGACATGAATTTGTATCATTCGGATTAGCGCAACTTATAGTGCAAGATGTATCGGATAAAGCTGAGCAAGCTTTCGTAATACCCATGCGACTACCACGTAAAAGGCATTGATTATCTCTGGATGTACATTGACCTCCGGCGCATGCAAGATTAGGTGCACAGGTGGTTCCATCTTCAACATGTTTATCAGGTGGACAAACTCCAGATGTTCCACTACAAACTTCAGAAATGTCACAATTATTTGAACCGGCAGGCCGGCAAATCTCATTAGCAGGTTTATATTGACAATTTCTACAACACATATCGTTCTTGTCACTAATGGAACAATATAATCATATTAATAAATTGACTAAATCAAATTACTATATATTAGATATATGAAAATTATTTACTTACGCGCAAACTGCATTACTCTTCAATTTACATGTTGCACCGTCGCAACAGGGGTCATTGGCACAATCGTCACTAGTACCACCTATACATATGTTTTAAAATTAAAAATCTAATGAGTACTGTAACTTTGTTAATCATAATTTAGATTTACATCATAATAATCTAAAGCTATAACATACAATCGCATTCTTCATTGTCTTCTTTCAATCCGTTGCCACACATAGATTGACTAAGGATGGATTTGGTGCCGGGATCTATATTTTAATATCAAACTAATTTCAGAAATTTTATGTAATAAAATATGTACATGTTTATTGAGTCACAAACCTTCAAGACAACCACCAATATTTGGAAGAGCTTGGCATATATCAGTAATTGAACATGGACTATGTCGAAAATCAAAGTTATCTGAGTTATTATAAAAATCTTAATAAAATTTGATTAATCATAATCAAAATACCTGAATTGATCAGTAACCACGTTACTTGTTGGATTCATTAGATATTGATTATTAGCACTACAAACTGTACTACTCAATGGACAACAGCCACAATTATTGCAAGGACAATTTTCATTAAGACAGTCATGAATAGCACCTAAGTTAAATCAACAATAATTTTTTCAATGATTTAAATATAAAACAAATTGACATTTCTAAAGCAATAACTTATAATTACCAAATCCATGACCAACTTCATGTGCAACAACCTTCCATTCATCTTTGACAATAGTAGAAACACCAGTACCAGATACAGTTGCCTTTCCTAACTGACCTTGATCTGTAAAGATAACACAATATAGAATCAATATTAAAATCAGCTAATTTAATAAAATTATTATCATTATTACTACTTTACCTTGTTGAGTTGCTTTCGTTTGACATAATTGTCCCAACCATGCAACACCGACTTTAGTACCAGTACTAATATTTATAAAACGTATTAAGTTAAACCATTAAAATATTTATTTATTTTAATAAAAAATATTGATTTAACTTACTTGCATTTGGACATGAGATGCCATAAACTCGCACCATCATCAGCTTTTAATAATAATAGATACTTTAAATATATATACAAATATATCTTAAAAAGACATAAATTTTGTTACTTACGAGTTTTACCCCTCCACCCGCTAAAGTCGTTAAGACGATCGTTTATAGTATAACTTTCGTCACATAGTCGATTAAATGGATATGCAGGATCGGGAGTTGTGGGGCAATTTTTGTTTAGGATCTCAATTTTAATAAGACCGAGAGTCACATTAAAAGTTTTTTCATAAACGGCTGAGGCAGTGCCCCAATCCTGAAGAATTTGTTTTCGAGCAGCATCAGGGGAGTTATAATTAGTGACTGTAATTTTATTAGTTTTTATTTAGTAACTACGTTAATATTAAAATTATAAAACGATAATTACGTACATATAAATGCAAAAACTTTTACTAACCATAAGTACAATCAGCAGCCGCTCCCTATAAATAAATCAAAGATTATATTTCCGATGAGAACACGATCAAATTAGAATTATATAATTAAATTATACATGCCATGTAAGCAATTTTTCTACCAGTAGGACAACCGGTAAGGTCTCTTTTCGTCAATGTATGATCTCCAATTGAAAAAGTATTCCACCATGGTTTTAATTGGCCGGATTTCCAATCATTAGATCCAATTATCCGATCGCGACGTCTATTTTCAACGCTAACAATATCATCCATTGCACAAGACCCTACAAGACTTTCGTCTTGCAATGACCTTTTAGTATTTTTAATGTCCGAGTCACGATAAATGACCATAGTAGCCGATCGATGAACAGGATGACGTGCAGATGGATTGGGTATTTCTGGATCATCTTTAAATTGAGTTATCTTAAAATTTTCGGTTGATTTTATACTATACAATTCATTATTTAAACTAAATGTTCCCTCAAAAAGAGGATGTCTATTATTTTTGCTACATTTTACAAAATAAAATAAAAATTAGAATTTATTTTAAGTTAATACGTAGCAGAAATTTCAACTTACCTATACTGAGTTACACTAAATAATAGTAAGAATAAAAAAAATATATATATATAGTTAATAAATATTCACTAAATATCAAAAAAGAGGGAGAAAAAGAAAGGGAAAAAAATTAACAATTAAAGGCAAGTTATCAATGTAAAAGACTATCAAGTAACTTCAATTGTTTTATGTGGCTTATTAATTGTGGCTTATGAATTATCATACTTGTATGAAATAATTTTCATAGTGCTATCCTTCTGAGCTATTTCTCATAAAAATAAACTTTAGCATACCCGCCATCATCATGAACTTGGATTCTTGCCCATCCGAGAACTCCTGATGAATAAGATAGTTCCTCTGATAAGCTCCTCCTTCTCAGTCCAATCGTGTCTTCGCTTAATCTGGTGTCAGTTGAGTCTATGTCCAGCAAGACTCCCTTATAAAGTCTGTGGTCTTCGGGTCTTAGTCTCGTTGTTGTTTTAGTATTATTAGAATGATGGATAACAATTGTTGCTTCTGGGTGAAATAAATCTAAATTAGGTTCGAGGTGAATGCTAAACGTACGATTGAATGCAATAAACTGAATTCGCAATGAATCATCGTGTCTCAATGAACTATCATCATATATATCTCTGCGAATTATTGATGTTTTTTCAAAGCGATCCCTAGGGAGTATTTCCATGGAAGGATTAGTGACAAACTCCAAATAAGTCAAGGGCTCCTGAACCACACTATGTGCTAAATTTAATGGTTAAGATGTGAGTATAATGAGTTAACGAATTTTGCTTCAAAAAGAAAATATTAAAGTCTGGGACAAAAAGCTTCTCACCTCTAGACAATAGTAGAACAAATAATGAAGTTATAAACCAGAGTAACAAACGAGACGAGGAGGGTATGACCTCCATGTTAAAGTATTATATTTTATTTTATAATTTGGTTTAAGAGGAGGATAAATTATAAAGAACGGAAGCTCTCCGCAAAGAAAGAGGTTGGAAATAGAAAATAGCAAGTTTCGGAAAGAAGGGAAATATTTTTTCGCTGGTGAGCCACAGACCTTTTTGGTGAGAGTTAAATTTATTGATATATCACTTTGCTTTATTTACCACTATCTGCTTTTTTGTATGGCGGGTTTACAGCTTCTTCTAATAACTGCAATATTTAATATATATTGAGTGGTACAAAATTATATTACTGGTGATAAAATAGTCATTTTGAAACTTGTGCTGCTATGCTGCTAAAAATTTAAGTGTTTAAATCTATTTATATCCGAATAACCCTTTTCTTGGCTGCATAAAGTATTTCATATTTAGTTTTAGATGATCTTGGTAAAAATTACAAACTACAATAAATTTGTTTAAGAAATTTCATTGTAGTAATGAAAATCTCAGTGGATGAGGAGTAAACCCGGAGGAAAAAGCTAAATAAAATTTATTTTTAGAAATTTTATTTAGAAATTTTTTTTTGTTCCACAATTCATGTGATCAGTGTTTATGTGTCACAAAAATCGCTCATAATCTTATTAAAGCAATAACTGGCTTTTTTTTCGAAATTTTTCTTTAGTTCCTTTAAGGTGACTAGGTGAGCATACTGTGAGCATATTATGCACATGACCTATAAAAAAATTTGCAGTGTTATTACCGTATTTGATGATTTGATTATATGACGACATATATTGTAACACATTATCTTCAAAATTCACGTTTTTTCTCTCCTAGACTGTTTTCGCAACAAAATATCCATATTTGTGTTGTTTGCTTTGTATGCAACGGTAAGTATTTGTTGAGTAGGGTTTAGATCGAAGAGCTAAAGACGTATAATTTTTGTTGATTTAACATTTATATATAAAAGATAGTCATATTTCTGAAAATACAGTTTCCGTATTGTAAATATTTTCGCGTTTGGTTTGCATAGCAAATAAAGAGAATACAAAATAAATATGACACGCAGTAAAGCAGAAGAAGAAGTAGATGTTGCTGATCAGTTTTTGAACTATGACGGAGAGGTAACGACCGTTGAAGCGGAGGGAACTTCAGTTGACAACGCCGAACAAAATACTTCGACTACGAATAAGACACAAGAACAAGAAACAGATACTTCTAAAGGTGAAAATCCGAATGAAGATCCTTCAAATGAAAAAGAAAACGAAGATCCTAAAGAAAGTGCGGCTCAAGATCAAGCAAAAAGTATTGAGAAAAGTGATAAAGAAGATGATGAGTCCGGAGAAGTCTATGAAGTAGAGAAAGTACTCGATCATAATAGGAGAAGGGTAAGTTATAGACGATTTTTTACGTTAACTTATGTTTTTTATAATTAATTTGATTTTTTTATAGAATAAAACATATTATCTAATTAAATGGAAAGGTAAGTTATTTAGCGATATTAGATTTTTATCTTTGTAGTTAATTTTATTTTTATTTAATTATTTGTTATTTATCTATCTATTTTAAATAAAGGGTATAGCGAAGAAGAATCTACTTGGGAAGCTGAAGATAATGTGTATGAATAATTTATTGATAATGATTTTTTTATATTGAATATAATTGGTAACGAAGTTTATAATCTATAATATTTGCATTAATAGTTTCGCTGAAGAGTTAGTAAAAGATTATTGGGCAAATAATAGTGAAGAAGCCAAGCAAAAGGAGACCAGAAAAGGTAGGAAAAGAGGTGCTGCTGCTCCTCCTCCTACCCCTATTAAAAAAGAAACAAAGAAAGCACGTACTTCTATTACACCTAAAAAAGCGAAAGTAGCTAGATCTAAAATAGATGAAGAATTCGATCATGACGAAGATTGGGAGAGCTCAGTTTCAGGAGTTGAAACAGTTACTCGTGATGATAAAACTGGAGAACTACTGGTCTATTTGAAATGGTAAATTGTATTTTATTATTATTTGTGAAAAAAAATAATTATAATACTAATATATTTATGTGTTGAAGGAAAAATGGGGATACCTCGAGACATCCAGCTAAAGAAGCCAATATTAAATGCCCTCAAAAGGTAAATTTCATTTTACATTATGTTAATTCAATTATATAATTAATAAAAATCAATTATTTTTTTTTAGATGATAAAATTTTATGAACAGCGCCTGACTTTTGCTGCTCCACAACCCAAGTCTTAATCTATAAAAGGAAATAAACAAAGTTCAGTGATGAACTTGTTAAATATTAATTAGACATATGAGATCACTGCTTCGGTTTGGCTAATCTTTAATATGCATTTTATTTCTTAATGTGGCCTGAGTGTAAATAGAACATTACTAATTGTGTCTCCCGCTTTTATATTCGATTTTATCTACTTTTTTTCTTATTCTTTCTCGGGCGGAGTTATTTCTAATTGATGGATGAATGATAAGAAAAAATTATAATAGTTATGTACGGCAAATGTATGGTTGATATGCAAAATAAAAAAAAAATCAAAAAAAAATAAATAAAATACTTCATCTATTTTCCCAAGATTTTTTTTTTTTTTTGTTAATTTGATATTAATTAGAATTTTTTATTGGCTGAAAAATTCATGGCCAATATCGGTTTACCACTTTGAAAATTTCGACGCGTTCCTGTACCACTTTCCATATAATTATACAACTATACACCTATACAAATCTTAATTTGATATAATTAGTATAATTCAAATTTTATTTAGTAAGCAGATCAATTTGTGTTACAATGAAAAATAATTCAAAAAAAGATTGATTTTCAAAGATTTTATACATATAATCTGCCTTTTTTTCGCTAATGATATTAAGATCCACAACATTTGGTATTCGTTCAAATTTTTTATTCAATTCTAATAAATTTAAAATTTTATCAAACATAAATATACATACTTTTCAGAGAATTTCTAATTTAAAACGAATAACTTTTCAAACAATTCAAAAAAAAGATATGCATGCAAAAGTTATTATTATCGGGTCAGGCCCTGCTGGACATACTGCTGCACTTTATTTATCAAGAGCAACTTTGAAACCTGTATTATTTGAAGGTTTCCTGGCAAACGGGTTTGCGCCGGGTGGCCAAGTAAGCAATTACTTCTGAAACCATTTTTTTTATTTATTTTTGTAAACATTCTAATTTAACAAATCCTTTTAGCTCACTACTACAACTGATGTAGAAAATTATCCGGGATTCCCTGAAGGAATTATGGGTCCAGTTATGATGGAAAAATTTCGCGAACAAAGTTCAAGATTTGGTACAGAAATCATTACTGAAACTATATCAAAAGTTGATCTTTCTTCAAAACCATTTAAATTATGGCGTGATGGAGCTGAGGAGCAGGCATTTGATACAGCTGATTCATTAATTATAGCTACTGGTGCAGCTGCTAAAAGATTACACCTACCTGGTGAAGATATTTATTGGCAAAAGGGAATTTCTGCTTGCGCCGTTTGTGATGGTGCTGTTCCCATTTTTAGGAATAAACCTTTAGCTGTTATAGGTGGTGGAGATTCTGCAGCAGAAGAAGCTTTATTTCTTACAAAATATGGATCTCATGTTTATGTAATTGTTCGTAGAGATAAACTTCGTGCTTCTAAAGTAATGGCAAATCGGTTACTTTCCAATCCAAAAGTAACAGTAATATGGAACACTATTCCAATTGAATGTAAAGGCGATGGCAAACTTCTTAATCTATTGATCACCAAAGATACCAAAACTGGCGAAGAAAAGGAATTATCCATAAATGGTTTATTCTATGCCATTGGTCACGTTCCTGCTACTGAATTAGTAAAAAATCAATTAGAATTAGACACTGATGGCTACATTATGACTAAACCTGATACCACTTACACTAGTGTTGAAGGTGTTTTTGCTGCTGGTGATGTTAAGGATAAAAAGTATAGGCAAGCTATTACTAGTGCTGGATCTGGCTGTATGGCTGCTTTAGAATGCGAACGTTGGTTAAGTGAACACTTCCCTGAATAAATTAACTTATGTACTATTATATATAAAGTTTCTTTAATTACTTTCTAACTCAAACAATAACATGAGATTTGTGCATTTAAGCCGTTTTAATTATATTAATAAATTTTAATTTTTAACATATGACGCATGTCTTCTCGAAATTTGTAATAAATATACGCAGTAATAAATACAATCAATCATTTTTTTTCTATATGTAAAATACAAAAGTTTAAAAGCTAAATCGTCAATCAAACTTCACCATCCTCGGTTATTTATTCCCGGTAATGCGTCTCGGTTTCTTATAATGGGAGTTCTTGGAGGTTGTGAAGGTTGTGGAGATTGTGGTTGTGGAACTATGAAATTTCTTGACATAGGTAAAGATGGCCGAAAATTTGTTGATATTGTGTAATTTGAAGGTGACGGGTTTTGATATTTTGATGCAGAAGCAGCCGATAATGCTCTCGATCCTATGGTTTAAGTTTGTATTAACAATAATACTATAAATACTTAATAAATTTACTTACCGGGATCTATCCTCAATACATCATGTCGCGCAATTCTATTACTATTACGTAACTCACTCCACGTCATACGCGTACTAGAAGCTGTTCCGGGTCGAGAAAATGTTGTATTAGAGATTTTTCGAGGATATTGGTCGCAATTACTTTCGGAAAAAGAAACTGAATAACATTTATTAGATGGTGATGGCATAGCTCTAGCATCACGTCTATTGAATATAGTGATAGCAATTTCATTAACTGAGAAATATATATCCATATCAACTTTAAATGAATGTCGATCATTTTACCTGTCACTGATACCGTCGTAACCATCAACGCCATAATTCCATGATATCTGATTACTATAAGGGAGTCCATTATTATTTTGATGTTCAAGTTGGGAAGAATAATTATCGTATTTTTGTTGCGACTGCTGTTTGAAGATTAACGGCCTCATCGGTGAATTTATTGAAGTCGATAATGTTAACCGTTTAGGTGGGTTTGGAGTTTTCGGTTGACACGTCTTTAGAAAAAATTGCTTAATAAACAGGATCAAAAAAACAAATGCGAGTTATAACAATAATATATGTCCACTACCTGACTTGGCGAAATATCAAGATCACGATTTTGAGTTGGTGATTTATGGAGCTTTAGCGGACTAAAATTCATGAAAATCACTATTAAATTGTAAAATAAAATCCATATAATTCATAAAATAAAACCTGTTGTTTAATTTTATTGGTGATTCTATTGGCCTTTTTACTGAAGTACTTGAAGTGTTTGGTCGAACTTCTTGCAATTGAGATTTTAAACGTCGATTTTCTTCTTTAAGGTTTTGTAGCTCACTTAATAATTAAATTGAGAATAATAAATGTAGTTTTATGAATTCAATTATCAACAATAATCTTTTAACACATTACTTTTTCATGTCTTTGTATTGAAGTATTTCATTTTTCGCTTTGTCAAGCATCTGTCTTTGTTTGTGTAATTTATCTTTCAAAAATTCAATTAATGAAATTGTATTGGTTTTCTGAAACTAATTGAAAATATTACGTTAATTAAGATTATCGATGTTATCTAAACATTTTAATCAAAATCTCACTCGCATAACATCGGCGGCTTCATCCAGTATATCATAAGTGGTCCGAAAGAATGCACCAAGATTAGGAGGGAGCTATGCATTCAAATAATAACTAAATTTCATTAGGGATACAGTATCTAAATTAAAGAAAGAGTTTAAGAACTCACGTTATCGGTCAACTCTACAGCTGCACACCGTGTATTGCAAACAGGACAAGTGTGTTCTGTAACATTAGAACTATCTAGAGAACTCTCAAATATTATGTAATGAAAACTCCCACAAAAAAAAGTATCCGAAACGCGTGTAAAATAGTCATACCATGACTTGCTTCGCCATGCTTATTTAAACACGATTTGCATACTACATGTCCGCACTCTGTTAACCAAAACCGTATTTGGTCTTCTTTTGAAGACGAAGGATATGTAAAACACGCGTTGCAATGAAGAAATTCAATATACATTGTAAAATGACAAACTATAAAATGTCGCGTTATCGCGTCTAAATGTCGATCATCTTTATCAATGTTGTACAAGATCTATAAATCAACTGAAAAGTTAAATATCCGTAAATGTCTCTACAAATTTTGCGAAATAAGCCTAAAAGGCCTTTTTGGAAACTTCCTCAACACCGCTTGCCAGTTCTCTCTCTTTATAAATCATTGCTTAATACTTCTAGATCATTTCCTGATGATCTTCACCAAAAATATTTATTTTACAATATTCGTCTAAATTTTAGGCTAAGGAGGCATGAAACTTCGATAAGTAAAACCGTTGAATATTTAAAAGAAGCTCAAGAGGTAAAGTGAAAAGTCGAATTATTGAAAGAATTTACCTGTTAATAAACTTGATATTTTTAAAGTGCAAGTCCATTATAATAAAAGCACTTAAAGGAAATCAAGAGGCTTTTCAGCACATTGATGATTTAGCTTGGGGTAGGAAAGGTAGACTTAAAGAAGTTCTGGATATCGTAAGTTAATTTTATTCAATTTTATCGTTCTTTACAATAAATGTGACTAATATATTTCCATTATATCAGTTGGCAAATTGGAAGAGAGTAAGATCATGGCATGTATTCATTATTGTTTCAATCAAACAATAATTCTAATATTCTGTAATTTATATCTTAATAGCCTAAATTACACAAGTTCGTTTTGGATACACGTACTCATGGTGCTCGTACTCTTGATCCTCATCCTGCTTATAGAATTCCTTTAGATAAGCGCTTATATACTCCACCAGAATACAAAGAATTAGAAAAGAAATTGCCAAAGAAAAATCATTCTTTTGGATCTGATTTAAAAATACACACAGTAGTTACTCAATTAGGCTATAAGCTTCAGCGAGTGCGGGGTTTGAAACAACCTACTTGGATTTCCATGATGATGAATAAACGTATAAGAGCTCATCAGAGACGTATTGATAAATTTCATCAGCTGGAAGAACAACTTGAAATGGTTAGAATAGAACAACATATGTTGAGCATGTTAGATCCAAAGTTAGCCGAAGAGGAAAAAGGTTTTGGTAAGTTTACTATATATTTAATTTATATTTCTTCTTTATTATTTATTATTTACCTTTTTACAGAAGAGAGAATACTTCAGGAATTAAATGAAAGTAAAAAATATCACGATAAGATGATAAAGTTGCAAGCAAGAAAAGAATTGGATGTAGACATTTAAAAGTTATTTGTCTTTTTTAATGATTTTCAAACAAAGTTTTATGCTATATATTATTATATGTTATAAATTACTATTAAACATATTTGTTTTACATATAACTGGTCTAATCTTTTAATTTTAAAAAGTTTTGAATACTATGATTCAAAGCATCAATTTCGGCTTGGTAATTTTTAAGCTATTACAATAAAGTAAATCAATTCCTACATTAGTTTAACAAATAGGTAAGAAAAACATTATTAAGTTAGTTACCTTAGTTTCATTAGCTTCTCTTACATCTTCTGGAACCTTGTTTTCGTAATCGGGGATTGAAGTCTTTTTCTGAAGTGATGATAGAGATTGAGTTGTTTTCTCGAGCTTATTTTGGAATTTTGTAACTTCAGCATCAATATCGATAAATCCCTAAATAAACACGTAAATTGATTTATATATTTATGTAATATGTACAAAAAGGAAATATTATTCTTTTTACCTTAACCATTAATAGTACGTTTATTTCATCATTTACTGTGCTTAAAGCACAGCCAGCTGGAATAGTTTCGCCTTTCTGGAAAACATGCACAGATTTGGCACTTTTTACTAAAGTAATAATGCTTTGTTCATGTGAAGTTAGCAAATTTGCAGTTTTCTCAGAGGCAGTCTGAACGAATACTAATATGTTTTAGAGATATGAAGATTATAATGAGATTTAATAAGATAAATATTTCAGAAAACTAAACAAATACACTTGCATGAGGCATTAGACTGAATATTATATTCAGCTGTTAGAGACCGAGCAGCTCTTATTACAGTTAATACAAGTTCAAATTGTTCTTCTGACTGTAGATTATGATACTCTGGTTCCTATGCAGATATGTTCTTTGAGTGTTATATTAAAGCTATTATAACAAATGTTTACAAATAAAATATAATTTATCATACCTCAACAGGGTATTTGGCCTTAACGATCGTTGGAATATTGTCTGCAGAACGTCGAGGCAAACGTTGATATAATTCTTCTGTCACAAATGGCATAAATGGGTGAAGTAGCTTGAGACCAGCTTCTAAACAAGTATATAATGTGTCCTGAGCTGATCGTTTACGATTTGCATTGTCAGTAATTGATGTATCGGCATCTGTTAATGGTTTTATCAGTTCCTATATATTTAAATATAAATTATTAATTCATTTTGCAAAAAAAAATGGAGTTAAAAAATATATTTACAATATAAACATCACAAAGTTCATATAACCAAAAGTTATGTATTGCAGTAGTAGCAGCCATAAAGTTTCTTTCATGTAAAGATTTGTTTGTTTCTGTTGCACTTTGATTTAATTTGTGTAATATCCATTGTTCGGCTAGCGACTCTTTGCCAGTTTTCTAATATAGAAAACATTTGAACAAGTTAGTTGATTGTTAAATTTAATATTGACTCAAAAATAGCATACTTTAGCATTTTCTCTTGGTATGAAATCGTCTCCTAATTTCATTAATGCAAATCTAGTTGCATTCCATAATTTATTACAGAATTTTCTATATCCTTCCACACGAAGAATATCAAGGTTTATATCACGACCTAAAAATTTATTAATAAAATTAAATAGCAAGATGAAGTATAAAATAAAATAAAAATAAAATCAAAAAAAAAAAATGAAATGACTAAACTATATTTAATTACCTGCTGAAGTGTATGCACACAACGCGAATCTCAATGCATCAGTACCACATTCAGGAATACCATTTGGAAAATCAGCTTTTTGACCAGCCTTAGCTTTTTCAATCTCGCGTATATCAAGATTACCTTCATATAATTTAGCATGTAATTCCTCTAATGATATACCTTGAATTACATCTACTGGATCAATTACATTGCCTAAAGATTTACTCATCTTTCGCCCATGTGCATCTCGAATCATCGCGTGACAAAAAACTTCATTGAAAGGAACATGTCCAGTTAGCTTAATACCCAACATAACCATTCTAGCTACCCAGAAAAATAAAATATCCCATCCAGTTTCTAAAAGCGATGTCGGATAAAAACTTTCTAAGTCGCTTGTCTGTGTAATAATATTATGTTAATAAAAGTAATCATCAGACTTTTGGGAAAATAAGAAATCTACCTTATCAGGCCAGCCGAAAATAGAGAATGGCCATAATCCGGAAGAAAACCAAGTATCTAACACATCTGGATCTCGTTCTAAGGTCAACTCAACATCCGGAAATTTTTTATTTGCTTTCTCTTGAGCCTCTTCTATATTACGACCTGATACCCAATATTTTCCATCCGAGGGCTGGCATTTTTTTTTTTTTTTTAATCAATCAGATATTTTTAAAGCTTGAATAAAAAGATTATAAAGCCTACATACATCTTGGTCCTGGTTCGATAATTTTATAAAATAAGCAGGAATTTGGTGGCCCCACCATAATTGACGCGAAATACACCAATCCTGAATATTACCAAGCCATCTGAACCACTCTTTTTCTGAGGTATAGGGGGAAATGCGCAATTTTCCATCCTTCACTGCCTATTTCATTTGTAAATATGCTATTTTAATAAAAAGCAAAGTACAAAAATATTTATCGTAAGGAAAGTAAACACAAACCTTCATTGCGTTTTTTGCCATATCAGAACAACTAACCCACCATTGAGGTTTTAAAAGTGGTTCGATAATGTCTCCTGATTTACTATTAAAAAAAAAAATTTCTTGTTTATTAATGTTTATACTACTGAGAATGTAAAAAAGAAGGCAATTTCGGGTATAAGCCACTTACGAGCAAACAGGAACGGTCATAGGGTTTTCTATCGTTCCAACGTATAAGCCTTTTTCTTTAAGTGCATTAACAACTGCCTCACGAACATGAAACCTTTTCATTCCCTATAATATTACAATATTAGATTTAATAAATATTAATAAATGAAATAAATTATTATTGCTTACTTGGAAAGGAGCACCGTTTGCATTTAAAGTACCGTCATCATTTAAAATATTGATAAATTCGAGATTATGTCGTTTACCAACTTCATAATCGTTAAAATCATGGGCTGGTGTAATCTTGACAGCACCAGTACCGAATGTCATGTCTACTACAATATCGTCGAGGACAATAGGAAGTTTTCTTCCATTAAATGGATGAACGGCGAACTTGCCATGAAGATGCTTTATTTTTAATAATCAAGAAATTTCCCTTAATTAGGAGTTGCAATAAACTTATAATTACTTAATTACATGTTTTAACAAAAAAATTAACCTTATAACGCTCATCTTTTGGATGAATAGCAATGCCGGTATCACCAAGCATTGTTTCAGGACGAGTAGTAGCAACAACAATTTTTTCATCTAAATGACATATAAGATATTTAATATATAGATTAATTAATATAAAATTATAAAATAATGATAAATACCAGAATTTTCAATAGGATATCCAAATGATGTTAAAACACCAAATTCAAATTTTTCCTCTGGATCGTACCCTGGAACTGATAATAGTATACGACCGGATATTTCTTTATTTTCAACTTCAAGATTTGATAAAGATGTGTTAAGTCTAACACACCAGTTTATCAACCGAGTTGATCTGTAAACAATTCCTTCTTCTTGCAATCGACAAAAGGTTTCAATGACAGCTCTACTTGGTTTCTAAGAAATTTGAATAACTGATATATATTAATATTTAATACCAATAATACCAGTAGAACGCGTCAAATTGAAAATTTTATGCTAACTTCATCCATTGTAAAAACAGCTCTTTCCCAATCATAAGAACCTCCAAGTCGTTTTAATTGTGAATGGATACGATCGCCATATCTTGTTTTATTGAATTAGTCAATTTAAATATCATAAAAAAAAAATGAAATCCAATGACAAATACATACTTATTTTTCCATTTCCAAATTTCATTAACAAATGCTTCACGTCCAAGATCATGACGTGTTTGCTTCTTTTCAACCCATAACTTCTTTTCAACAACAGATTGTGTTGAAATACCTGCGTGATCAATCCCTGGATTAAATAATACCGTTTTGCCTAACATTCGATTCCTAATTAAAATATAGAGTTAAAAAATGTGCGAAATAGATCTAAAATCTATTACTTATATACCATCTACTTAAAGTATCTTGGATAGCTACGGTCAAACCGTGGCCAATATGAAGGGAACCTGTCACATTTGGTGGAGGAGCGGGAACAACAAATATCCCTTCGGGCTTAGGTTTACCATCCGGAGTCAATTCAGGTTTGAAAAAGCCTTGATTTTCCCACCATGCATACCAAGCAGCTTCAACAGCTTTTGGATTATAAGCGGAAGCCATTGGTTTGGACATATCTTTAAAATAAATGAAAGAACTCTGATAAATAATTAATTTCACGCGTTATCCATTCAAGAATTACGATTATAATACCTTTCTTTTCACCAGGGGGTGTATTATCAATAAATTCGTCTACTTTCCTGGAGGCTTTGTCACTTTTTGGCTTCTTCTCTTTTTCCTTCTTTTTTTCACCTTCAGTTAACTAAATATAATTTAAAAAAGTATAAACAAAATTTATTGTATAATATGTTAGTAATAAGTCACTTACATGTGTAAGTTTTGCTTGTTTAGCCGCATATTTTGCAAGTTTTGCTTGTCTTTTTGCCTCATTTTTGTCGGCATTTTTTGACTTTGCCGTAGTAGACACGGGTGTTGTATCAGACCCTGCGGGAGTTTGACTAGATTCAGAACTCGGTGTTTGTTCCTTAGTGTCATCCATTTTTGATTCGAAAACGGATATTTTTTTTTCTGTTAAAACTCGGCAAACGTGGTATTCGTGGTACGACACATTTTCTGTCAAATTTGTACAACCAAAAGTTCTAAGCCCAAATTTAGAATTAATGGTATTACGATTATTACGATCAAAATCTTAAGATTTTATTTTCAGTAGTATTTTTATAATTTTCATATTTCCCTTTAGAAAGATGTCAAACGTGGATAAGGCCGAAAAGAAAGTTGCTTCAAAAAAGTCTGCTAAAAAAGCTGATGGTACTTTGTAAAATTTGGCTTATATCTTTATTAAAATACTATATAAATTTACTAAATTGTCTCTAATAGCCCATATCGAAGGAGCCTCTCAAATTGGTATTGAGGTTCGAAAAGAGGTTGACTTTTCTACATGGTACACGCAGGTATTGAAGTTACTGTGAAGTTGATAAATTTAAAATGAACAAAATGAACAGAAATATAAATTTATCTTCAAGGTGCTGAAACGTTCTGAAATGCTAGAATATTATGAAGAAGTTTCCGGATGTTATATTATAAGGCCTTTGGCTTATAATATATGGCAAGAAATTCAGAGTAAGGCATAATGAAGATTAAATTATTAAATTTGTAATATAAAATTTTTTGATCTAATTTACGCTCAAATGGTTATCGAAAGACTTTTTTGATGCTGAAATCAAGAAATTAGGAGTTGAAGATACTTACTTTCCAATGTTTGTTTCACAAAGACAATTGGAAAGAGAAAAGGACCATATCGAGGGCTTTGCCGCTGAAGTTGCTTGGGTTACTAAAGCGTTTGTATCACAATGCTATTAATTTAATTTTTGCCTAATAGTCGAATATTGAGATAAGAATATAATTTTCAAACAGAGGATCTAGCAATATTGAAAATCCTGTCGCTATTCGTCCAACATCTGAGACAGTAATGTATCCATATTTTGCCAAGTGGATTAGAACTTACCGTGATTTACCATTAAAACTTAATCAATGGTGTAATGTCGTTCGATGGGAATTCAAGAATCCTCGTATGTTATTTATTTATCATTGAATTTAAATATAACTTCATGAATATTATTTTAAATAATTGATTTTTCATGTCATTTACAGAACCTTTTATTAGAACACGTGAATTTTTGTGGCAAGAAGGGCATACTGCACATTTTACTAAGGAAGAAGCTGATACTGAAGTGTATAAAATTTTAGAGCTTTACCGTCAGGTATATGAAGATATGCTTGCAGTTCCTGTAATTAGAGGAATTAAGTCTGAAAAAGAGAAGTTTGCTGGTGGACTTTATACTACTACTCTTGAAGGTTTTATTCCAACTACAGGTCGTGGAGTTCAGGCTGCTACTTCTCATTGTTTGGGTCAAAATTTTTCGAAAATGTTTGATATTGTTATTGAGGATCCTAAAGACGCAAAGAAAGTGCACGTCTGGCAAAATTCTTGGGGCATTTCCACTCGTAGTATTGGTGTAATGGTAATGATTCACGGCGATAATAAAGGTTTAGTGTTACCTCCCCGTATTGCTGCAACTCAAGTAATTGTCATTCCCTGTGGTATTACATCAAAGACTACAGAAGATGACAAAAAACTTGTAGAAAGCAAAGTAAATGACGTAGTTGAAGAACTGAAATCAGTTGGAATTAAAGCTAAGGCAGATCTAAGAGAGAATTATTCACCAGGATATAAATATAACCATTGGGAATTAAAAGCAAGTCTAATAATACTTACTGTATTTATTTTTATTTTATTTATCTTATTTTTTTTCTAATTCGCAAAAATTATTTTTTTTTAGGGTGTTCCGATCCGTCTAGAAATAGGTCCACGTGACTTACAAAATCAACAATCGCTTATGGTTCGTCGTGATAATGGCTCTAAGGAACCTATTCCTTTAGCAGATCTTGTTTCACGTATTCCCGATACTCTTAAAATTATTCAGAAGGACATGTTTGAACGTGCCAAAAAAGTTTATGATGATCATGTAAAAATAGTTTTAAAATGGGAAGATTTTGTTTCGACCTTGGATGGTAAAAATTTTGTCATGATTCCATGGTGTGAAGAGGTGTCATGCGAAACTAGTATAAAAGAAAAAAGTACTAGACAGTAAGTTTATCTTTAAAAAATCATGTATTTTATATATTTTAAATAGTAACTCATTTTATATTTAATAGTGTCACTAAAGAAGAAGCAGAAGATGAAAAAGCTCCATCGATGGGTGCCAAATCTTTGTGCATTCCTTTAGAGCAGCCCAATGATCCACCAATTGTTCCCGGTGAAACTGAATGTATTTCTTGTGGTAAATTAGCTAAAAGATATGCTTTATTTGGAAGAAGTTATTAAATATTATAACTATGACTATATTTATAATAATGTACTTAGATTTAAAATATTAGTAAATCTATTTAAAACTGATAATAAATAATAATATGCATTTAAGATTAATGATTTTATAACTATCTAAACAAGTGATGCAAGTTATACTTCCAGATCATTCCTTTGTTAAAACTAATTGGTTTTTTTTTCAAACTGTAAACCGAAGAAAATGCAGTTTTCGTACATCTTTTCATATTTTTAATAAGATTGTGTAATGTTTCCTACTCATTTCTTTTTATTCTCAAATATAATCCACCTTCAGGTTTCAACATACATGCAAACTCTTCCTATTATAAATATTGTATAAGGTTTTATTAACTCGCAAATAAGGTTGGCCTCAACTGTTTTTAAATAGTTGCGGAATTACGGCTATATATAAAACTTAAAGTTGCGAGTTGCGAGTTGCAGCTACATCTCTCTACTCAACAAATCAATTTAATAAAGAAAATCAACGAAATGCTTGGATCCAATAAGGCAATTACTGAACATTTGGTAACATTTTTCTTAAAAGTTATACCTAATCTAGTAAGCTATCCCGCTACTGAGTCCTGATGCTTAGATTTATAAGGAACTAATAATATTTTCCTATCACAGAATAAGTACCTGGTCTTTTAACATTATCCGAATCTTATACCGCTTTTAAGACAAATTTTTTCTCTTTTTACTTTTGGAACATTTACGGGTGAAATGGTCAATTTTTTGAAAGGGTACGAATTTTCATTGATTTAGGTGTATAAAAAAAATCCGAAACTAATTTAGAAATATCAGATTGGCGGAAATCTTGTAGATCTATTTGGACAAGACCGAAACAATACCTAACTTATTTAGTTAACCGTTCACGTATTAAGAATTAACGTATTTAGATTGATTTTTAATTTCACAACAAAATTTGAAAACCTTTATCCAAATTTGATCAGGCCAAAAATATTACCGTATCTAGCATATTTAAACTTCTTGAATATATGGACATCACTTAACTTTCTACCTTAATATTGAAAATTAGGAGATATGGCTTCGAAGTCATTTTCAGAAGTTTCATTTCCGGCTTCTACCTCATTGCCATCTTTTACTTCAACTATGAGGACAAAATGTAAGAAGTACAAAAACGGTTTGGTGTTTCTTTACATAAATTGGTAAAACTGTTTTCTACTGTTTTAGATGTTATCGGTGTCTGTGCCATGGATAACAAAGCAAGATCAAAGCCCATGAGAAACATTTTGAATAAATTACTTACTTTTGAAGAGTTCGAAACGGTTATATTTGGTGACAAAGTTATACTTGACGAAGGTTAGTACTTTTATAAAGCATGCATTCTGTGTAATTGTGTATTTATTACTTTTTTATTTTTCCTATATAGACGTCGAGAATTGGCCAGTCTGCGATTTTTTTATATCATTTTTTTCAACAGGTTTTCCCTTAGACAAAACCATTGAATATGTAAATTTACGTAAACCATTTTGTGTCAATGATCTTCCTATGCAACGAATTCTTTGGGACAGACGCCTTGTATTGAAATTGTTGGATGCTTTAGGAACACCTACACCAAAACGCCTTACTGCTAGTCGAGATGGAGGGCCAAAATGTGATTCTTATGTGAGAGAGAAATTAAGAAAATATTTAGGTAATGATGTTGACAATCTTTCATGTCCTCCAGCCGTTGTCGAAATGATTGATCAAGATACAATTAGTGTCAATGGTGAAACTCTACGAAAACCTTTTGTTGAAAAACCAATTAGCGGCGAAGACCATAATATTCATATTTATTATCCATCAGAAATGGGAGGTGGTGGCCGTCGCTTATTCCGTAAGGTTGCCAACAAGTCAAGTGAATTTGATCCAAATTTGTCATTGTTTCGAACTGGAGGTTCATTCATCTATGAAAAATTTATGGACGTTGACAATGCAGAAGATGTTAAAATATACACAATCGGTCCTAATTATGCTCACGCTGAAACACGAAAATCACCTGTGGTAGATGGACTTGTAAGAAGGAATAATGATGGTAAAGAAGTTCGTTATATTACGACACTTACACCAGAAGAAAAGAAAATGGCGAGTGATATCTGCACTGCTTTCGGACAAGTTGTGTGTGGATTCGATTTACTTCGAGTTCATGGAGAATCATATGTCATTGATGTTAATGGTTGGTCGTTCGTAAAAGGAAATGATGAATATTATATTAACTGTGCGCGTATTTTGAGAACAATGTTTATGACTGCAGTTCGAAAGCGCAAGGTCAGCATTGATTCCATACCAAATGAACTTAGATTTGAGAATTCGTGGCGACTTAAATCATTTATATCAGTTCTTCGACATGCTGATCGCACTCCAAAGCAAAAGATAAAATTTACTTTTCGCAGCCAACCATTTATAGTATTATTAGGTGATAAAGAGGACGAAGTTATCTTACGTAAAGATTATGAACTACAAGAAGTTGCTGAAGCTACACGCAAAGCTATCCAATTACAATGTGAAGATATGGTAAAATTGGAACAGCTTAGCTTAATTTTACGAATGAAAAGGGACTTACCCGGAACCAAAGTGCAGATCAAACCAACTTATAGTAAAGAGGATCAGTCTTTCGTCAAACTTCAACTTATTGTCAAGTGGGGTGGTGAGGTTAGTCAATCAATGAATGAACTTTGAGTTCTGAAAATCATCTCACTCTAATAAATGTTTTACTTTGACAGTTCACACATTCTGCTCTCTATCAATCGCGAGATCTTGGAGAGAACTTACGTAAAGATCTTCTGATAATGAACAGGAGCGTGTTTGATGATGTTAAAATGTATACTAGTTCAGAAAGGAGGGTCAGTGCTACCGGTATGTTAAAGTTTAATATTTATTATTCCTTAGTTGTTTTGAGGAAATATTAGAATTTGTTTTGCAATACCTATAAGTAACATAATTATCAAATTAAGATTAAATTCAACAATGTCGGTATTTTTTTTTCTTTTGAAACTATATATGATGAGAAGATAAGAAATTAAAAGTGATCTTTGCCCTGACAACAAATTATTGGTTCATATTAACATTTCATATTATATAATGTTAATGTATTAAAAATTTCTTATTTTCCTTATTATTTAAGAAAGAAAGAAAAAAAAGTTATCAGAAGTCTGTGAAAAGTTATAATTGCAAAATTAAGTTTTATAACAAAACAATATAGGAAATATATACATGATTATATTAATAAATTATTATAATTATTAAAAAAAAATTTTTTTTTTTCTATAATTTTCTAAGCTGATATATTCTCCAGAGCATTTTTAGACATCGAATATATTCCAGAAGGGATTATTGAAATGCGAAAGGAAATGTTGGATGATAGTAATGCGGCAAAAGAACAAATGGATGCTGCAAAAAGCCAATTATGTACTCTTTTAAAACCTGGTGAATCTACAAAGATCAATGCTATATGGCCCGACGATGTTCCGGAACCACGTATAGTAGTTCAAGAAGCGATAGAACTGATGAAAGAACTACGTGAGATTATGAGAGAAAACTTCAATACAATGGATGTTGAATCAATACAACTTCGATGGTGTTGTTCAGAAAATCCAAATTTGTTCAAGGAGAGATGGGAAAAGTTGTTTGAAGATTTTTGTGACGTAGAACGAAAAAAATTTGATCCTAGCAAAGTATCGGAATTATATGATAGTATCAAATATGATGCTTTGCACAATCGACAATTTTTAGAAACTATTTTCGTGAAACAATCAGAGGGTAATAGTGCCTCCAAAGTTAAGAAATTATATCATATGGCCAAAATATTGTTTGATTTCGTAGCACCACAAGAGTATGGTATAACTAATGAGGATAAACTTCAAATTGGACTTTTGACTTCGAAAAGTTTGATACAAGACATTATTAAGAATTTGGAGGTAAATGAATTATTAATACTTATTATAATAATATTATATCATAACCGGACGCGTGAAATTTATTTAATTTTTTTTTTCTTTTTTTCTTTGATAAATTTCATAAAGGAATCAAAAACAAGTCCAACTCCATGTACAAGATTGTATTTTACTAAAGGTATAATCTATAGTGATATAGTTGATTTACGCTTTTTTTTGTAATAATATATTTTTTCTTTATTAGAATCTCATGTTCATACCCTTTTAAATGTTGTATTCTTGTCCGGTCTTCCTACACGAATTTCCAAGAATAAAATACCGGAACTCGATTGTAAATATCACAAATAATTTAACCAGGGAAACTTATTATTAAGACTATTAACGCTTTAATGTTGCGCCAATTTCTACTTATTAAGATCTCACCCAAATAACTTTTGAACTATACGAGCGTCATCGCGGGTTGTCCGGCGACAAGGAATATTCTTTACGAGTAGCATTCAGCCCCGGTGCGCATGATCCCAACATTTTGGATTTACGTCTAGATGCTAGACATTGTTTGAATGTAGCTCCTAGAATGTAAGAAATTATAATCTTTTATTGAAAAAAATTTTTTTTGACACGCAAATTGACAATGACAAACACTTATTACCAATCTTAGAAACCTTACGGATCATTTGCCTCTCGATGTAGCACTTTCCTATTATAAAAGTAGGGTATATAATACTGACATTAAACCAAAAAATGTAGAACTTCCACCTGTTGTTCCAGTAGATAAAGATAATATTACTTCATTACAATTAAGTAAATCTTTCTAAGCCTATGTATTTAATGTCTAATTATTTTTGTTTGTTCGAAATTTTGTATTTGTAAATCGTTCATATTGAAATTGTATGTAACAAATAATTTATAAAGTAATAGTAATTAATTTATTCTTGAAATCTACCAAACATGAAAATGTTTCATAGTTGATCTTTTACCATAATAAATTTTTTGCATGAATGGTTGCATATATGAACAAAAAAGCTTTTTTTTTTTTTTAAATACGTAACATGACTACTAGAGAAGAGGAACTTAAAAAGAGAAAAACATATCTTCAAATAGCAGGCACTGCCTGTTCAAATTGTCACAAAACTTGTAAAGAAGCTGGAGTAACTTCTCTTTTACGTTGTGCACGCTGTAGAATGTTTCATTATTGTTCTAAAGAATGTCAAAAGGCCGATTTTCAATTTCATAAAACATTTTGCAGTGCTATTGAAGAAGTGAACAACACTGAAGAAGCTTGGTATTCATGTAAAGGTGCAGAATCTGAATGGAACAAACGCAAGATCTATCAAATGCAATTATTAAGTTATGTACTTGACAGAGAATTAACTGACTATGAAAGGCATGCGTGGCTGAACCAACCAAAATGTCAAATATGTTTTAAATGTCCGAGAGACTTGAAAAAGTTAATGACGTTGGTCCCATGTCCAAATTGTCAAGTTGTCTTTTGTTGTTCTTCTGATCATTGGGAAAAACATCGTTCAAAACATAATGATTTATGTGCAACATATCAGATCATGCTCGAATGTGAAAAAATCAGATATCTACCTGATCAACCTTTATGGGCTCCAGAAGAATATGATGAAAATAAATCATATCCTCCACTGCCAAAAGATTGGAATGAATATTTCAAATGGAGAAAGGCTTCTCATGTGCTTCAACATGACTCTTACTGTCGAGTCATTACAAATACGCTCTCTTTGCCTCTCACAATTCTTGCAGCTCTTAAAAGATTTTATGATCGTGATCAATTACATTCTATTAACGATATGGTAATCCATCTTGCCGGTGCAAATCAATACGAACTTTTAGCGCTGATGGCTTTTGAAGAAATAATGCACGTATTAACAAATATCAAATCTCTACAACTTGTAATGGTTGGGTTAGAGATGTTTTCGAAAAATAATGGATTTCCCTTGCAATGTTGTCCTCGATGCACTGAAGAAAATAGGAAACGCATTTGTTCAATGTATCCAATGACTTATCATGATTTTGCCACTTCTTTAGATTATAATAAACCTCACTTGGTTGTTGGATTTAACACAGGCCTATATGAAGATGATACCGAGCTTTGGAAACCAACAATCGATTGTTTGTTGGATAAAAATTTGCCATGTTCTTTCACTTCTTACTCTAAAAAAGAAGCTATTGAAGATGTTAAAATACTTAAGAAGTGGGGTGCTAAAATTCTTACGGGATCCAAAGAAAATAAATGGAGAAGTAATATGCCTCTTGCCGAACCTCAAGAAGTTGATAAATTTTATTATAATAATTATTATATAACATTATTTCAAGGAAAAGTCAATAAAGAGAAAAATTAAGAATTAGTATTATTATATTATTATATGCTGATTCTAATTTGTCGATGAATTTACTACACATATTTTCTAAAACCTCGGCGTAAAAATATTATTTTCTATATTATTATAAATTTTTCTCGTTTTTTAATTTAAATTATTTAAATTAAAATTGTTCTTTGTAAATATTCCTTTTAATTACATATAAATTAATTAGTTTTATCTTCTAATGTAATTCTATATAGTTAAATTACTAAAAATACGTTAAATTATTAATTCAAATAAACTCATCGAAAAAAAATATAATAGAAAAATATCAATGTTATCAAAACAAGAAAAATTAACCACCACGTGAAATGACTACTTTGAGTATTTGATAACCGTTTTAACTTATCCATAGTACCACCAATATATGAGCTTGTCCCAGAATATTCATCTGACTTTATATTTATAAAAGAATCAATTAGCTGCTACACGAATAATATATAAATAAATATAATAATACTTACCATAGTTGAAATAAGATTATTTGACTCTTTTACACTTTCACCTATGCTCAATGCAATCTGAAAATAATCGAAAAAAATCAATTAAAATCATTCAATCATAATAAAACTATAGATACATTTGATACATTTGTACATACCTCTTTAAATATCATTACTTTTCCCGTCAAACCTTCAATTTTTTCGTCATTTTGACTTTCTAAATCTAAATGTGGACTTGTTGAAGTATAATTAGAAGAAGGTGTATTGGTTCTTAAAGCTGGGCTGGTTCCTGAGGCAGATGCACCAGTAAATAACGCCGCTCGATTTTGGTGGTTATTGTAAGTTCTACATTTAAAAATACAACAATTGAGAACAATTTTAACAGGAAGTGTATAAACATGAAAAATCCGAGTTATGTTTATTATCCTTACCTTACACGTCTTGCTTGATTCATTATAAGAAACTTTTTGAACGGCTGCACTAAGAATGAAAAAAAAATAACTGGTAAATTATTATCAGTCATGCCATTTTATTACCCATAAATTTTGTGTAACATAGGGTGTGATAAAATAATTTTTTATTTCGAAATAACGAAATAATAAATTTAAAATATGAACTGTTTTTGGAATTCTCGTCTTTCACTCCTTAATTCACGTACCGTTAAAAGAAAACTATTTGTTCGTAGCTATGCAACTGAATCTGGTTCTCATCAATTCCCTAAAGAAGGTATAAAATTACGTTTTTTTAAACTTTGTAAACTTTTAGCTAAATTATTAATTCTTGCAATTTAAAGGATTTGGTGCTCCTATATGGAGAAGAACACTAGGTGTTGTTATATTTGGTCTTATATGGTATCAGGCTGACCAATACTTTACAAAAAAAGGAGAGGTAATTGATATTATTATTAAATTTTATTTATTAAGAGTTTTTTATTCAAATGTTATTGATTTTCCTTTTTTCTTTTTTTTATTTAGAAACATCCCGTAACAAAGGTAATTTAATTAATTATCCGATACAATTTTTTATTCTAAATTAATTATTGTTATTGTGAATTACGGTTGTAAAGTGGATCGAAACTTTGATGATACCAGAATCTGAGTATAAAAGACGAAATCTGGCGCATCTTTATTTATCTGTTGAAGCTGCGAAGGATAAGTAAGTTTATTTTCTTTTAACAAAAAACAATCTATTATTAATTAATCTAATTTTTTAATTTAATTTTATAGGGTTCTTTTTGGAGAAGCTAAACCGCCTCCTATTTATAGACTTAAAGACCCAGAGTAAATATTATAATTATTATTTTTCCTTATTGTTTAATGCAATTTACAAGTTTTTAATTTAAAAAAATTCAAACTTCCGATTTTTAGTCAATTCGAAAGAGCTAGCCCACACTGTATTGAGCCTGGATTAGAAGTAGATTTAACAGATTTAGTAGTTCGAAAGGATTAAATTTTTCTTATCTCGTAGACTGTTCAGTTTTCACGTGATTATTTAATTACTTTGCATAAAACTTTTATTGCACTATTTCACATGATAAAATACCAAAAAAATGAGTTCTCTTTTATAAATCTTTTTTTGTCATATGATTTTCACATGACAAGTAATTCAAGAGCTTTATTATTTTTTGAACAAGAAACTAACGACAATGATCAAAATTACTCGTATAAATCCATAAGATACTGGAATATTCTTTATTTTTACTTTTCGAATTTTACTTATTTCTAGATTTGGTAAATGATTTGAACTGTTTTGCCGATGCTTCAAAACTTGGTCAGAAATTTTTAAAATTTTGTGTTGCTTTAATTGATTCCTTGAACCACTTTACCTATCGTAAATTGAATTTCACCTATTTAAAGCATAATAACCTAACCTAATAGGGAATTATAGTACCAATCTGAATTTGAGTAATTATTCGAGGAGAAATATAATTTATCTCATACATTCTTCCCAATTAACTATTTTAGGTGGAAGAGTAATATCTACACTCATGTTTAAACTATTATTATCATCATCACTAACATGTTCTTCGTGTTCTTGTTGTTTAATACCAGATGAATAAGAAAATTCATCATCATTCTCATCTATTAATAAACCTGTATTGCTAGTGCTAACATTTGTTATATTATCAAAGTTTGAGAATCTCCTATTCATTATCCTTTGTGGTCTATCTAACATCATAGAAGCATTTATAGAACTATTATTACTATTGTTATTATCTTCCATTACTTCCATATTATTAACATCATAGGTGTTATAATTTGGCCAACTCTCATTATCCAATAATTGATGATGTCTATTTTGTCTAGTAAAATAATTTTTATTATAAACAGTTTTTCTTATTATAAATGCAATTGCAATTAAAGCCAAAATTATTGCAAATATCATTCCCGTTATAGCAGGACCCGAAGATGAATTAAATATTTTACCATTTGGATTTGAAGATTTAGTAGGAGAAACGCTAGTAGAAGGTAAAGTTGATATTGTTGGGGATGGAATTATTATTACGGTTGGAGAATTACGATCGCTATAATGTTGACTATCATTATTGTCTTCGTTATTATTGTTGTTGTCCTTGTTATTATTATCATCGTCATTATTATTATCGTTATCGTTATTATTAGTCTTAATAGTCCCTTTAGAATTGTTATCGTTATTATTATTATTATTATTTTCTTCATTATTATCAATAGATCCTTTAGAATTGTTATCGTTATTATTACCATTATTATTTTCTTCATTATTATCTCCATTTTTATTGTCACTTTTACCTCCATTTTTATTGTCACTTTTACCTCCATTTTTATTATCACTTTTATCTCCATTTTTATTGTCATTTTTATTGTCATTGTTATTATGAGAACTTTGATCATTAGAAGAAATTGGAGGAGTAGTATTTGAAGTATTTGAAGTATTTGAAGGAGTATTCGGAGATTTAGGATTATTTCCCGAAGGCGTGGAAATTTCTTTACCATCATTTGATGGAATTAATGGAGGAGTTTGAGTTGGAATAGAAGGGAAACTTTTACTTGGTGAGGTGAAAAAAGATTGTTCATGAGAAGAAGTAGTATGTATTGAAGGATGAAAATTTGTTGTAGTTGGTAAATTGAAAGTTGAATTTATATTGTTAATTGATATACTACAAGAAGTGTTGTCACTAGTTTTTGTTTTGATTGGAAGATTTGTTGATTTAATAATTCCTTTATTATCATCATTAATTTTCTTTTCTTTTTTATTGTTTTCTTTTTTTACTCTCTTTCTTTTGGTTCTCTTTATCTCATTTTTTATAAATGGGGTAACTATATTTTTTACTTTTCGTTTTTTTATTTCATTCTTTCGTCTATATTTTCTAGTTATCATTGAATCTAAGTAAAGAAAAAAGGTGAATGATTGATTATACTGTATATTAAAAACAAAAAAATTGATTGTATATTTACCTATACATGTTTTATTCTTTTCGAATACCATTATTTTAAATAAAACTATACAAGATTATTTACAAAAAAAAGAAAAAAGAATGAAGAGTGAGTAATGGAAAATTGTTTATTAGGTATCACGTGATTCTCTCTATCTTTTTTTTAACTAAACTAGTAAAGAAAACAAAAAAAAAAAAAAATCATTTGATCTTTTAAAAAAAATTAAAAAGATACGTAAAAAAGATTTTCTTCAAAATTTACTTTAAAAGAAAAAAAAAAGAAATTGCTGGCGATCTATCTGTTTAACTTTTAAAGTATAAATATCATGCGGGAAAAATTATAATGATTTTTTTTTTTAAAAAAAAAAATGAAGTTAAACTTACCCTAAATAATGAATAACATAAATAAAAAAAAAAATATCACGAAAGAAAAAAAAATTTAAAAAACTCGACATTTTTTTTTTTTAAAAAAAAAAATGAAGTTAAACTTACCCTAAATAATGAATAACATAAATAAAAAAAAAAATATCACGAAAGAAAAAAAAATTTAAAAAACTCGACATTTTTTTTTTTTAAAAAAAAAAATGAAGTTAAACTTACCCTAAATAATGAATAACATAAATAAAAAAAAAAATATCACGAAAGAAAAAAAAATTTAAAAAACTCGACATTTTTTTTTTTTAAAAAAAAAAATGAAGTTAAACTTACCCTAAATAATGAATAACATAAATAAAAAAAAAAATATCACGAAAGAAAAAAAAATTTAAAAAACTCGACATTTTTTTTTTTTAAAAAAAAAAATGAAGTTAAACTTACCCTAAATAATGAATAACATAAATAAAAAAAAAAATATCACGAAAGAAAAAAAAATTTAAAAAACTCGACATTTTTTTTTTTTAAAAAAAAACATTCAAAAATTTATTTATGTGAATGGATAGAATACAAAATAATAATACACGCGATAATTTCAGTAACACGAAACCATGGAATTAGGAAATTGAATAATAATGGCCGTAAATTCTAGAATTTGTTGTAAAAATTAACATTTATGGTATTTTTTTAAAGTTGTTACTCAATTGATGTATTCACAAATTATTATAAGTAAACAAAACAATATGGTTTAAATGCCGTATTCTTTAAAAGTTCTGACGAATAAAAAAATGTTTATCGACTAACCATGTGAACCGTTCTCAAATATTCAAAGTTTCTTTTTAAGGTAAATTTCGTCTTATCGTCGTACAATATATTGTACATACAGTATTTTGGATACGATTACAAGCTAGAAATTCCAAGCAGATTTGAATGAAAAAATTAAATGGATGCGTGGCGTAGTAAATCCAATTATATTTAAAATGTTTCAAATAGTACAACGCAAAAAAATGTCGGAGAAATAATTATAAATTTTATGACATGTATTTCTTGTTTCAGACAAATTACTTATTCTAACTATATTTAGAAAACAAACAAAGTATGAAATAAATTAATATAATAATAATGACAATGTATATTTATGCTCTTTCATGTAAAAAATACAACAAAGATATAACGATATGTCACATACACCTAGAAATAACCTTTAGCATATACTAACTTAGATAGGTATAATACTAATTTTAAATTAGTAAATTAATATTATACCCTTCCGTCCAATAAATACTCTATTTGTAGATTTTAACGAAGTTAATAAAATGTATACAACTCACTATGATTCAAAATCGTTTCGGTCTTGGTCTTTTTTTTTCTTGAAACGTAGAATAGTTGCGAAACATATGAAATTTCATAATTTTCATATATTTGGTATTGTCTTTGTATAATATATTTATTTTTTTAATATATTGATGTATAAATTAAATCATACCAACAATTTTGAAAGTTGAAAATTACCTCAGTAAAATGCAATTGAGACGAAACTAGTTAATTAATTTGGTTTCAAGCCACATTTTCAAGCCATACATTACGCATGTCTTATAATATCAGTTATTATGATTGGTCATCATGCATCAAACATTATCATAAGGTCGGACATAAACCTCGGCCGCGCCACTTTTAACGCATAACACCATTGTTTTAATATAATATATATTTCACTGACTGTTGTATCATGTAGACATTATTACATCATTAGGCGTTTCGTCGACAATGTGTGTTCATGCATTTTAGGAAATGAAAGATAAATTGGAGAGAATATGTGGTGTAACCTATATTATTCGACTTTTAAGATTTAAATAAGGGTAAGAAATTTTTATTATAAAATTGTCGAAAAAAACTCCTCTTTTTTTTCATTTTTCTCTTCTTATAACACAGATTTTGAATTTTTTTTATCACACAAATTAAACACAATTATTACACAAGAAAATTTTAAAAAATGTTTCTATTAAAAGATTTTTCTCGAGATATTGGTAAATTACTTGAAAATAGTCGTAACACACATGACATTATTATTAGAGTAGGAGAAGGAACATCACAAAAAGATTTTAGAGCACATTCACTTATTTTAAGAGTGAGAAGTAGATATTTTCAGAATGAATTAACAAATATTGAAAAACTTTATAAAGAAAATGGAATAATTGTTTTTGATAAACGAAATTATTCACCAAAAATATTTAAAATTATTTTAAAATATTTATATACAGGAAAAATTGATTTAAAAAATTTAGATACATTTGACATTTTACAAGTGTTGATCACTTCAAATGAATTAGAATTAACATGTTTAATTGATTTCATTTTACAATATTTGATAGAAAATCAATCAGAACATTTATATCGTAATCCTTTAAAATTCCTTCATATTTTATTATATAATTATAATGAAATATTTTCTTCCTTAAAAGAACATTGTATTAATATTATTTGTGAAAATCCCATGAAATTTTTATTCAATTCCACGGAATTTTTATTATTGGATAGATCTATTTTATTATTGATTTTAAATCAAAATTTTCTTAATGTTAAAGAAGAAATTCAAATTTGGAATTATATTTTAAAATGGGGTATAGCTCAAATGCCTTCATCTCAACTTATATTTAAAACTATTAATAATTGGTCAAAAGAAGAAACAAATACTTTAAAAGATATTTTATATGATTTTATTCCATTAATTAGATGGAAAGATATTCCATTAAATGATATTACAAATAAGGTAGCCCCTTATTCTAATATTTTACCAAAAGATTTTTGTTTGGAAATTTTTAACCTTCATCATAATATTACTTCTTCTTCTTCTTCTTCTTCTTCTTCTGATTCAATTATTAAAAATTCTTTATTAATTTCTTCCCGTTCCCCTTTAAATTCTCTTTTATTAACATCAAAGAAATTAACTTATATATCAAGTTGGATTGATCAACGAGATAAGAAAAATTATTATTCTTCAAAAAATTTACCTTATTCATTTAAATTACTTTATAGAGCAAGTCGTGATGGTTTTGATGCTAAAAAATTTCATACTTTATGTGATAATAAAGGTCCAACTATCACAATTGCAAAAATATCTAAAAAGAATCTATTGATTGGTGGTTATAATCCTTTAGATTGGAAACAAAATTCTGATAGTATTGATGATAAAAATATTTATCAAACAGAAAATAGTTTTTTATTTTGTTTTGGTAAAGGTGAAAAGAAAGTAAATTCTGATAAAGATATTGATAAGAAATCTATAATTAAATCAAGAATATCTAAATTAATTAAGGTTACAAATCCTAAAAAAGCTATTTATTATGATCCTACTTGTGGTCCTTGTTTTGGTGGTGGTTATGATTTAGGTATTATTAATAACAAAATGGTTTCTTATGGTTCTCTTTCATATAATGGAATCAATAAATTTATTAAAAAAGAGTCTCATTTAAATTTAGACGATTATGAAGTTTTTCAAGTTGTTGAGATTTGATTAGCATAGCATAAGTTTAATATTATCATAAGTTTTAATTAGTATAAGTTTAATAAGTTTAATTTTAATCATAAGTTTAATTATTTAATTAGAATAAGTAATCAGAATAAGTAATTAGAATAAGTAATTAGAATAAGTAATTAGAATAAGTTTAATTATAAGTTTAAATCAAAGTTTATGATATGATTTTTTTTTAATTTAAGACTTTTTTTTTTTTTTGTAATAAAGAAAATTTTAACAATTATTTTTATTTTTATTTTTATTAATGGGTTCCAGTTAGAAACCTAACATGGACGCGATTATAAGTAGAAAATTACATATAAGTCAAAATTGACAAAAATACTAACTAAACTACACGCGAAAATAATCTACTCAAACCGGTGGGCAAGAAAATTTTAACAATTATGACAATTATGTGATTTTTGCGTACCAGAAGGTTCTTTTATTAGTCTTGAGCGTAACATATGACGAAATACTACGCAAAGTGACACAAAAAGTTCATTATCCGCTTCACTCAATGATACCGCCGATTGGTTCTATCATTGCACATCATTCCAACAATCTCCGCAATGAAACAAATCTATTGTTTCCTCACCTGAAGAGGAATCAAAGAAATATAATTTCCTTTTATATAAACAATCCCTTTTTAAAAAAACATGATGGTTCATTATTTTATTTCTAGTTAATCCTATTATTAACTTAGAAAACCCTTTCAATAATGAAAAGAATTGAAAGACCTAATAATACTTATAAATTGTTGTGATCTTCCAGAATTAAAAATTTATATTTGGGTCTTGAGTTATTCTTTCATGAAATCTATGAATTGTTTCTTTGATCAAATTTTACTATTGTAATAAATCATTTTAGCTATATAATAAGCTCGGATGTTAATATCTTAAACAAATTTGGTATCAATCATCATTTTTTACAGGAAAAAGTTTCAAAGTTGATCGTAAATATTGTTCCACAACCAGAATATATATAAATATATATTATATATATGTACTACGATTTTGCTATATTTAACGAATTTTCTTTATATATTAAGTTTTGTCAAAGGTAATTCCGTGATTTGCGAGAAGACATTAAAAATGAATGCTTTATTTCCTAAAATTTTCAATAATAATTTTTTTTAAAAAGGTTTAAATGTGTAGAAAGAAAATTATAAATATATAATGCGTACTTTATTTATTTTTACACAGTGCCGATGAATGCCGCAGTATTCCTTTCTTTACTCGCAATACGCAGCTACCCGTTTCATCGGAACCATTTTCCTATTAGTTTCATATATTTATTACTATTTATGTAAACGGATGACTAAAAAAAATTTTTTTGTTTAATTTAGTCAAAATTAGTACAAAACTGCGGTAGAATTATATATAAAAGCAAAGGTTTTATAAAAAAAAAAAAAGAAAAAAATTTCGAATTTCTCTCTAAACAAAAATGGATACAAACGAAAATGAGAAATATAATATATTATTCAAAAATTACGAAAATTTGGACAAACCTTTACCCCCTTTAGAAAATCCATTTTTTCGAGATTATTATTTAGTTTATATTAATACAACGTACGACACAGAACAACTTCGTACGAATCCTAATTACTTAGCTCATGAATATCATAATTATACTACTTATTTAATAAGTTTAATTACAGATCAAGAATGCTTAAAACCAAATTTTCCACCAAATATAAATGTTGAAGATTATGTACCAAAATTCGAGAAAAGAAAGAATATCACTTACCGTACGGGAAATTCTTTTATTATATACAGAAAATATTTTTCTGAATATTTGGAAAGTTTAGAAATTAAATTACATCAATTATTGATCACGAGGTTATCAAGTGATTATTGGAAAAGAGAACCTATAACCGTTAAGGCCTATTATAAAAAAATTTCGGATCAAATAAATAAAATTTATAATCAACAAACTATGAATTTAATAAAATTAGCCCCCGAGCCAGATAGTTTATCAGATAGTTTATTTTAAACATTTTAAAATATAAATAGTTAAATAAATATGTAGTGTACAGTATACTTGTAGTCAGTTAAATTGTTATATTTTATTATATGTAAAATGTATTGTATTTCTTTTTTTTTTTCCTCTTTAAAAGGTAATTAAGTTCCTATAAAGTTCATACGCAGTTTCGTACTTGTACTACACAACTCGCATTTTAAATCATCGATGATAAACTTTGACTAATAAAGGATTTTTCATAGGTAAAGTTAAAGAAACGCCAAAATCAGGTGGTAATTTTTGTCCTGGTACCATTTCAAATTTATATTGTCTTAATACAGCAGTTGCCAACATTATGACTTCAGTTGTAGCGAAATTTTGTCCAAGACTAATAACAGAAATGACAATGTTGAGTGACACGATATTTTATCCCACTATACCAATAATGCATATTTACATACCATATTCTTGGTCCACAATTAAAACTGGTGAATTTGTATGGACTTGGTTTTAATCCATCTTCGGAGTTTAAGAATCGTTCAGGATTAAATATTTTTGCATCTTTGCCCCACGTTCTTTCGTCTCTTCCAGCAGCCCAAGAGGACCAATTTACCATTTCACCAGCATAAATTGGTATACCATTTGGAAGTACGTCATCTTTAAGACATACCTATAATGATTTTTTAAGTATTTTTCCTGTGAATAAACTTATTATAAAAATAATTTTTGATTAGATTTTGATTATTACCCTAAAATTGTTTGGTACTGTTGGATGTAATCGAAGAGTTTCGTATAATGTTGCGTGAGTATATTGAAACTGTTTTATATTTTCATAACCTGAAATTGGTTCTTCTTCTGAGAGTAAAGAATTCGCCTCTTTTACTAATTTTTCTTCAATAGAAGGATTAACCATAACATTATACATCATCCAAGAAAGGGTCTAAATAATAATGGAAAATATCAAATATACATATTTATATTAATAATATTAATATATACGGTATTTATGTATTTATGTTATTACCTGCGCGGTCGAATCACGTCCTAAATTATACAGATTGTTATGAGGAGAGTGTAAAATACCAAAATAAAAAGTTTTTTTTTAAAAAAAAACGTACCAGCAATGATGAAATTTAAAACAACATCTATTAACTGTTTATCTGACATATTTTCTCCATTATCATATTTAGCTTCCATAAAAAGATTTAGAACATCTGTAGCTTCTCTTAGAGTTTCTGGATTCTTTCTACGATTTTCAATTATTTGATATGCAAATTCTGTTAAGTATTTACAATCTTCACGCAATTTACGACCTTCTTCTGTGAATAATTCTGTAATATTCCAGAAACTATTTTGTAATCGTTTGCCTAATGCTCCTTGAACGAAATCAAATGATTGAGCAAATTTTACTGGACTATCTGTATTCGTTAAGCATTTAAAGTCCAATCCAAATATAATCCTTAAATTTAATGATAAATGAGATAAAAGATTTTTTTTTTTTTCAAAAAAAAGATAATTTTAAAACTTACTTTCCAAATGAATCCAACGTAAACCTATAAAATAATTCTTGTAAATCAAAAATTTCTCCACTATTCACTTTTTTTTCCATGATTTTTAAAAATATTTTGGTTTGTTCTTCAAACACGACACATATAATTTCACGAAAATTTCTAACATTAAATAACTGACTAAATAATTTTCTTTGCATTTTCCAATTATCCCTATTAATATATCAAAAAATTTATGTTAATGATAATACGAAAAGGTTTATGTTGTGGCGCAGTAAAATCATCTTTTTACCCGGAAGTATTGAAAATTCCATCTCCTAGAAGATCGTAAAGGATTTTATATAACTTATCTCCCTTAACATAACCTTCGAAATTCGCTGTAAAAATTGTTTCATATTATCAGAAATTATTATTTTCTTCAATAATAATTTATATAATTTTTAATACCTTTCATAACATGCTCTAAACATTCGGGATTATTGACAGTTATAAATCTACCAAATCCTGGTAAAGTATATGTTCTAAATTTAAGTAAATTAATCGTTAATTATTGTTGTTATTATAAACTGTTTTTTTTTTTAAAAAAAAAAAAAATTTTCATAACTTACGCATTTGGACCGTATTTCATTAAAGTTTCATATAAGAAGATTACAAATCCATTATTATCATGTTTAAGAACATCAAAAAGATTTCCAAAGAGCGGTAAACCTTTTGGACCATTAAGATCTCTTCTTGGATTTGTACCAATACTTCTATCCGGATATTTTATCAAAAGATAAATCAAAATTCCTACGAATCCTACGAGGATAGTTATAATAATTGTCATCCTTTTTATTTTTTTAGCTTACGATGAGAACAAAAATATGTATATATATTTCGTTTTCCGTGATTTAATTAAAATATGAAATAAAACCAGTTTCAGTTCGCTTTTTTAAACGTTTTCAATGAGACGAAGAAGGTTAATTAGTTTATTTGAAACATTCACAACATTCATAATTCCCAAATATAGATTTAACCTTTCTTTAATTGTGTTCGGTGCGCCATCGTATTATTTTTCACATTGCACATCAAACAAACAAGGATAGGCCTTAATTACGAGCTACATAAACGAAAAAAGGCCGGAAAAATATTCAAGCGACTTTAGTGATTCAGAATAGCATATACCGTTAATTTAACCCAATTATAATCTCTCAAAATCAAGCCCAATACGAAGTGAAATCATCCATTTATACTTGGGAATACAATTTTTGGTTGAATTCTTTTGTTTTAATTCTTTGTTTAATTTATATTTTTACCTCTTTTTGTTTTGATTTTTTTTATGTTTTTTTTTACGCCTATTATCTTAGGTAATAATAAAATAACCGGATAGAAGTATAGATACAAAACCAAAAATGTTTGAATAGTACTTTTACTTTTCCGGAATTGGATGGATTTATTACAATTAATGATCCTGGTAGAATACGTTATAAAAAGTGAGTTTTCACTTTTCAAGTATCAATATAAATGTATTACTTAATTGCGCCGTCTCGAAATTGATTTTCAGTATAATTCAAGTATAATTAAGTATATTTAAGTATAATAAGTCATTGATACAAAAATTTAGTTTATTTCAAGTATTACGATGTTACATTGGTTACATTGCACATCAACAAGTCCAATACAGGATAGGATTTGACATGTAGTAATACAGATAACAATTTAGGTTAATTAAATTTTTAAAATATCGGAGCAATATAATTTCTTTTATTCGATTTTAATAAAAACATTAATGATTTACTTGCGATATTAACCAATGATACAATTGCTAATTGTCATCAATCAGATGGATCTACAATTTCTCTTTCAAATCAATACGAAATGAAGTCTTTATCATTCATTTATTTCTTTTTTTGTTCAGATTCTTTGTTCGAATTCTTTGTTTAATTCTATATTTTTATTTTCTTTTTTGCCTTCCTATTTTTTATAATTTTTTTTTTTTTGCTCTTTTTTTCTTTTTTTTTAAAAAAAATATATTTCTTATACTTTACTTTTGAAAATGATATCCATTATAACATCAATATTCATTATCCTCCTAGGTATTCTTCTTTATCTAATAATAAAATATCCGGATAGAAGTATAGGTACAAATGCAAGACCAGATCTTACGGGACCAAAAGGTTTACCGTTAATTGGAAATCTTTTCAAAATAAGAGAGAAAGGGTTAACAAAATTTATGTATGATGTTTTAATGATTTATGGTCCAATTGCGTGAGTAATTTAATGTTATTCTGTCAGTATAAAATGAAATTGGATTGAAAATTTATTAATAATGTTTGGACAGTACTTTTACTTTTCCAGGATTGGGTAGATTTATTACAATTAATGATCCTGAAAGTATAGAATATGTTATGAAAAGTGAGCTTCAAGGAATTTATAAAATTTCTCTTAATAATTATGTAGATCCTAATTAATATCTTTTTTTTCCAGCAAATTTTGATAATTACATAAAAACTCCTGGTAGTAGAATAAGATTACTTGACTTGTTAGGTGATGGTATATTTAACGTTAATGGGTACGCTTTTAGAACAATACTTTATTATATATTACATATGCTATTAATATATTAACATGATTATTTTATTTTTAGACAAATGTGGAAATTTCAACGAAAGTTGGCTAGTCATTTATTTTACGGAAAAAATTTTCGTGAAATTATTTGTGTTGTATTTGAAGAAGAAACCAAAAATTTTTTAAAAATCATGGAAAAAAAAGTGAATAGTGGGGAAATTTTTGATTTACAAGAATTATTTTATAGGTTTACCTTGAATTCTTTTGGGAAGATTACATTTGGATTGGACTTTGATTGTTTAACAAATATTAAAAATCCTGTAAAATTTGCGGTTGCATTTGATTTAGCACAAACAATAACTAATAAAAGAGTTACAAATCCTTACTTGTGGAGGTGTAATGAAATGTTTACAGATGAAGGTCATAAGATTCGTGAAGCTTGTAAATATTTATCGGATTTTGCCTATGATATAATTAGGAAACGTCGAAGTAACCCGGAATATTTGAAAAATCCCAAAGATATTCTTAATCTTTTCATGAATGCCGAATATGAAAATGGAGAAAAATTAACCGATAAAGAATTAAAGGACATTATAATAAATTTAATCATTGCTGGTAAATGTGGATTTTTTTTTTTAGTCGACTTTGCTTAAATAATGATTTGTTATATGATAACATTTTAGGACGTGATACGACCGCGCAAGAACTCGCGTGGATGATGTATAATGTAATGGTAAATCCAAATGTGGAAGGAAAATTAGTAGAAGAAGTAAATTCTTTACTCTCCGAGGATAATCCAATTCCAAAATATGACGATATTAAACAATTCGAATATACACAAGCCACATTTTATGAAACACTCAGATTACATCCGGCAGTACCAATAAGTATAAAGGTAGGGAAAAGATCCTAATTTATATTTTTATACGAAATGATAAAAATTAAATCATTAAAAACTGTTTGTATAGTTATGCCTTAAAGATGATATGCTTCCAAATGGTACACCAATTTATGCTGGTGAATTAGTGAACTGGTCTTCTTGGGCTACTGGAAGAGATGAAAGAATATGGGGTGAAAATGCAAAAATATTTAGTCCTGAACGATTCTTAAACTCTGAAGATGGTTTGAAGCCAAGTCAATATAAATTCACTAGTTTCAATTGTGGTCCAAGATTATGGTAAGTTACATATACATTCTCTGCGTATATTTAATTACTTTATTAATATTCTCTTAATAATCGATTAGTCTCGGACAGAATTTTGCTACGATAGAAGCTATGACATTGGCAACTTCATTATTAAGAATATATAAATTTGAAAGAATACCAGGTCAAAAATCTCCGCCTGATTTTGGCGTTTCTATAACTTTACCAATGAAAGATCCTTTATTAGTTAAAGTTCATCGAAGAAATTAGATTTCTCTTTTTATTTGTTATTTGATTAGTATTAATATATTAAAAACATTTCAACGATTCAATCATAGACATCATAGTTATCATCACAATTACTACCATTTAAATAATTGCTTGCGCTGTCAATCATTGTATTAATCCACCATAGATAATTAAATTAATAAACATTTAGAAAGTTCATAGTGCAATTGGTAACAATTTAGTTATAAAAGAAAAGAAGACCAATTATTATGACGTTAAAAAAACTTTAACCGGTCAAATTGAAAATAATACGTAATTTATGACTCTATGTTTTCATCAAGGTCCTGAAAATTTCCTTGACTAGTTATAAACTTTCTAATTAAATCATTAACTTTATCAGGACATTCTTCTTGGATAAAATGGTTAGCTTCAGGAAAGTTTACAATTTTCAGATTTGACACTAATTTTCCCAAATTAGATAAACTTAGATCTTTATGCATCGTTGGATCTTTGTCTCCCTACAAAGTTAAAAAAGTTTTAACAGCAAAGATAATTGAAACGGTTTAAAATTACAGACGTACGTACCCATATGACTAAAGTAGGAATTCCAATGAAACCAGGTTGTTTAATTCCGCGTCTTTCTTGTTCTTTGAAAAATCCATTTATAGCGTCACCTCTATAATAATTTAGTCCGCCTGTAAGACTAGCATGATTATCTGCACAAGAAATTGCTTTATAAATGTTAATGTCTTCTTCACTCATCGTCTCTTTTGGAATTGTTCGGAATATTTCATCGTAGATTTCAAGGTCTCTTAATAAAAGCCAAGTTTCTCCTATAGGTCTTGATAAACCAAATATATATGTATAATATATTCCAAGGAGCTGATTTATACACGGTCGAAATTTTTGCCAAGAAAGGGCAAATGTAGACATGGGATTTCTTATTAAAGATTTTAAGTTGCGATAATGGATGAAATCGATTAATCGAGAATGAAAATTTTGGTAAAATATAGCCATATGTGGGCCATTTAGTATTATTAATCTGTCAACATATCCGGATTGATCCTGATATTGATCCCATTCCCAACTTTGCGCTGCAGCCTGCCATGCAATTAAAGAACCCCTATAATTAATAATAACAGGATTGATTTAATTGATTTTTTTAAAAAATTCATTAATAAACTCATCAATGTTATACTAATATTTTAAGTTACCAGTCATGTCCAATTATACATGCTGCACGTCCATTAGAAGACAATTTTTGTATAATTTCACGTATGTCCGTTAATAATAAACTCGCCTTATAATGACGCACCTCACATGGTTTATAACTCCCTCCCGCACCCCTCTATAGATCAAATAAAAAGTTATGAAATATGATAAATGTGACTTTCTCTATATATTCGGATTAATAAAAGTATCATTTGAAGTTTAGAACTATGCAAAGCATCAATATTTTAATGTCATCAGCATAATTTCTGATAATCTGAACAATAATCGTATTTATTATTTACCATGTCTATAGCCACTAAATGATAATCCATATCTTGAAGTCCTCGAAGTTGATGTCTCCATGCGTACCAAAACTATGTAAATGTAAAATTAGTAATAATAATAAATGTTATAATACAAATGTTTTCAATATACCTGAGGAAATCCATGCAAAAATAAAATTAAGGGCTTAGATACATCCCCAACCTCAACATAGTGGAAAGTTTTCCCTTCGAGTTTTAGTGTTTGGTGATTTACAAAATCAGAACATTCAGTATATAATCTTGACTCGTCTACAAATAAAAGTAAGTAGTTGATTTTTTCTTTAGCAGAAATTTCTTGAAGAATTAATTAATTGGTCCATTACATAGCGTACAGTTCTTGAATGCTTAATATTATGGATAACCTGCATACTTACAACTACTTCTGTCTTTTACGGTAAAAACATCTTTCCGTTTAACAATTATATCTTTTAAAAGGGGAATACATACCAAGAAAATAAGCCAGAAAATTCCAAGAGAATAATCAAACATTAATTTGGCAATATTTTCAATTTTATGTAAACTCAACATTTTAACAGAGAAGAAAAATGAAAAGCATAACGAAAAAAAAATGATGCATTTAGTTATTTAAGCACATGTTCTCACATGAAGATTTAGTTATAACCCGATATAACCTTAATTCTGAGATACTGTGTAACAGTTAATCTCATTTACACGGGGAAATCGCAACCTAAAAAAATATGATCAGTCTTAACAGGACCTGGAAAACTTCTAATAGGGGTTACCGCCAAACATGATTCGAGGCTATAATTAATTTTCAAAAAGGTCACCGCCAAATTAATTAGTAAAAGTCACGTGTTGGTTCGCAACAATAAGAATTTTTTTGTGAAAATCTTTCCTTTCTTGGCCCTATTACTATATTTGAAATAGAAACATGTGAGTAAACAGCAAAACAACCAATCATATTATGGTTCGCACTCCTATTTTTTTTTGATTTTTTGGCGGTAACCTTTATAATTATATAGTTTTCCAGGTCCTGTCTTAACCCTGTATACCATAAGCCGTGACATATAACGGTGACAATTAGATTTTCTCCGGACAAACCCTAAACCTAACCCTAATCCTAATCATTCATTATTACTCTTGTTCCCCCTATAATTTGCATAATGAAACGGCACAACCTACAGAGTGGGGATATTTATGATATTTATTAATTGATAAAAGGTAGAAAGTATAAGATTATTACATTCTTTTACTTGCAAAATGACCAAACTAAATGAAATTATTGTGGACCAAAGTACCTTTAAATGCGTCGTAATAATTATTAAGATTACGTTTTAAAGTTTTCTGCTGCTTATCTTAAATCATCAAAATAAAATAAACTATGGAATAAAACAAATAAATACTTTAAGTGCTGTTTTTAAACAACACGAAATGACTCTTTATTATCATAGGTCAATTTTTTATCGAAATAAATTTATAATGAAGCTAATAAGTAGCAAATACAATGCTCAAATAAAGTAATTCAGTTGAAGATTCTCCGATAATATGATTTTATGAAGCTGATAACAAATATACTCTGCTATATTACATTTAATAAGTAAATGAAGAATACGCTAATTATAAAATATGTATGCACAAATAAATAAAACAAGTGTAATCAAAGGAAAAAATAATTATTTTTGCATCAACAAGTCAAATTCCAACAAATCTTCATAACTAACCTATTATAAAAAAAAAAAAAATAAACAAATATTAGTTACTTAAAAATTTAAAATTATAATTGGTTTAAACTATATCGTTTTTTACCTTATCATTCAAATTAAAATTATTTTTTCTTGTTTTATCCGCTTCTGTTTGATACCATTTTTGCTCCAATTGATTATTTTTGGAAGTAGTAGTCTTATTAAGCCAATCATCTAATCCATTTAAATCGATCAAAACGCTGACAGGTTGAGATTGAAAGGAAATGTTCTCTTCCTTTTTGTTATATTCGTATTCTCTGTTATTTAATGATTTGGATTTATTATTATATAATTGAAATTTTTAAGTAAGTATGTACATCTAAATGAACTAACCTATGTTCCTTAACTATTTTCATTTGCTGCATCATATTGTTTGACGGATTAGAAATTTCCTTAATCGGATTTGTACTTCTAATGACAGCAATTAAAAATATTGAATTAAAATTTTTTTTTTTTTCAAAATAAAAAAAATAATAAAATAAAAATAAATTAATATTTCTTTATTTATTTGCCTATTTTCCTGCAATTCAAATTTAAAAGCATCGAAATTGAAGCGAACTTCTTTTCTTGACTCAACCAACTTCGAGGAGAATAATGGCACAACTTTAGTACTATGTAAAAATGAACGTATATACTCATTAATGATAAAATTTTTTTTTAAATTAACAAATGAAAAAATTATTAAAATCACTACTCCTCATGTGCAGATGTCAAATTTAAAGATTTCGAGTCTTCGAAAATTAAAGTTGTATCATTTTTGGCAGAAAATTTATGAAGATGATTTTCTCCATCAGACTTAATCAAAGTTTCTCGTTGACTTGTTTCAATATATTTTAATGTTTTTTCATAATTATCGGAATGAATAAGATCATCTTTGGGAAAAGATATTTTCATATCAACGAGACCTTTAGCATTAGACGCCTGAATAGGCTTTGACACTTTGGGTTGATTAAATTTCGTGATTGGTTTATTGTCGCAATTAGTAAGATCAAAATATTTCTGGATGTCAGTTTTTGAACTTGATTCGATCAATGAAGTAGTTGATGATCTTTCGAAGGTGTTATGATTTATATCCCAACAATCCCAAGCTGCGATCATCATTTTTTCATCATCATCTGGATAACACCATGTCGGATCCCAGTTTGGTAGCTGAATAAATAAATACGTATATATTTATATATTTATATGTAAATAAAATACGAGATAAAAAAAAAAGAACGAAAACGTTATTAAATAACTTTATAAGTCTCACTTCCTTTTCATCCATGTAAGGATACAACTTCTTTCTATCAGATGGTTTTATTTGTTTAATTTTTGCCATTATTTAGTTTGTAGAAAGTTGGAAATATCTACAAAAAATGGAAAAATGGCGTAGAATATCATAAGAAAAGAAAAAAAAAGGTTTTCGAGATTAAGACAAATCCACTTATTAATAATTGACATATTTGGCTAATATATGGTAAAATGAGTCATTTATGACTTTTATTGTCGGAACAATGGGCAATAAGCAAACGTAATTATAGTATTAGTATATTAAAATCCACCTATAAAAAAATATTAAGAAATTCCGCAGCATAAATTGTCTTGAGGCACGGCACATTCGGCACATATTATGGCTTAGACAAATAATGTCTAAGCCCCAATTACGCAAAGAAAAAAGAACCTTTTATAAGCCTAATTTTTCAATTTCAATCGTACAACTTCCTTTTTATCGAGAATAACCGGGGACTATAAGTTATTAAATTATTCTAGAGATCAAATAAATCATAAAAAATATTCAATGATATTAAAAAAAATTTGTAAATATTTTTTGGGAATCTTATTAGGACTTCCATTATTTATCTTGATTTTAGCTTGTCCTGCTTTAGGTCGGTCAGTTTTTTTAATTATAATTAAGTAAAATTTCTTTGTTTTTAATCTCTCTATGTTGTCTAGTAGATTATCGACGTATTTGTTTTCCTTAAATTTTACTAGAGATTACCAAAATCATACTTTTTATACGATCTAATGGAGAATTTCCGTTATACTTTGCCCTTGAAATTTCGTAAGTTCATAAATTTTTAATTTGCGTATAAAAAGATAATTAGATTATATTAACATATGACCGTTTAGTTATTTAGTTGTCGCGATTTTTGGTCCATGTAAGATTTGATATTTATAATGATCGAATATTATTCATATCTCTAACTTTGCAGAATTTCAGTTTTGTTAATAAGTCTAATTATAGCAAATTGTTGTTTTGGATCGACGATATCGAAACATGGATTACAAAAAATTTTAATGTATTTATTATTGAAATATATTATTCTGAAATCTGAAATTGATTTACTTTTTAAAAAAAGAAATTACTAAATTTATTATTTTAAAATAGGTGGTTACTTTTGCTATGGATAATTATTGCAAGTAATTATCATATTTATAAAATTATAATAATTATAAAAAATGATTTAATTTTTAAATACATTCTTTTATGACAGTCTTATACACGCATTATACGTGGAATGAGATGAATAATATTCCATTTTTCTGTCCATCAACATACGAATATATGTTTGCAGAAAATAGAATAGCATGTCAAATAAGAACCGCTAATTTATTATCAATGTGGTCTTTTCTTTTATTGTCTATACTTTGGGTACAATTTTTGTGTGCTGATTGGATCGATGAAAATTTAGTCATTACCAATAAATTAGTTAATGATGAATAAAAAAAATAAATTACAGCAAATATTTTAAATTTTATAAATTTACTTTCCCGATATGTTTGTAGCATAGTGCAGTGATATATTAATAATGTATAAAAATAAATATATGGATTAGTCAATAAAAAGGAAATTCATGTCAATTGTTTTACCAGAACATTAATTTCTTCGCCTGCACTTTCAATGTTGGTTTCTTTTAAAACAGCAATCCCGCACCCGGAATTTAAGGCTGAATTGGTATTTAGCTATGATCAAATAGCCAACGGTTTGGACTATTTACAAAAAAAAAATGATAATCAACTTGATTCAGTACAAATTTTTTTTTTGAAAAAGGTTCAATTTAATAAATTATTGTTGAATATTATTCTGAAATATTTTTTATTGTAAATTTATTAAATTTAAATTTTATTATTTTTTATTCTATATTATTAGTAGATTACATGTGATTACGCAAATTTAATTGTACATTTGTACATGCAAAAAATAGGATTGGAACGTAGCCCTTAAAATAAGCATCCAACAATTATTAATTCATGATTCCACTTATAGTTGCATAGACAAATCAATTTTCAATACCCACTGTTCCACGTTATTGAGAAAAGGAGATAATCGTTCGACATCAATAAAATCATCAATATTTTTCTTTGGCGTTAGCTTGAAGCCATCATATATGTCATCTGGAACTACAAACACAAGTCGAATTTTGCATTACCATCCCTTTTGTAGCATAGCGAACATCCCTTATATTGTCACATTATTGCCGATCATTTGCCGATCATTTATTAATCATCTTTTCAATATTGTCACATAAAAAAATACTATCTTGTTAATATATAAAGCTGAAATGATGTTTGATTTGACAATTTTGAGGGTAAAATTGATCAATATTAACAGAAATTATATCAATAAATGTAAATTTTTATAATTAATAAATAAAATAAAAATTCAAATTTTATAATCTTAAGATCCAGTAAACATATTCTAATGAATTATATACTATTAGATTGGTCTCAGTGAGAGGATTTGAATGGTAGTAAAATCATTGCCATCAGATCCATATTGGCGAAGTTATTGCATTTTAAAATTTTGTACTAAATTAAATAGTAATATTATTAGTATTAATAATTGCAAATATTAATTTGGCCATAACTTTTGTGTTACCTAAAATTATGTTGTGTTACTTCGGCCATTAATTTTAAAGACATTAATCTATAACTCATAAAAATTTCAAGTTTTGCCCAAACTTCTGTAGCTTCACCCGAAGCTTCAAAGTCTGATTAAAAGATGATTGGCATATATTAATTAATTGAAAAATTTGGCCTAAAACTAACTTTGGCATTACATTTTATTTTGGCACAAAATTTTTATATTAAACTGTTAATACTTTAAACTATTAAATAAAATAATTTAATGTGATTTTTTTACACATTTATGGTTTGAAATAATGCTTCAAAGTTAATGTGATGTCATATATATTATGATCGGCAAATGATCAGCATGTGATAATAAGCATGTTCGCTATGCTCCCTTTTGTAGGCTAGCATATTTGGAATTATTTTGACTAGCTCTTTTGTTTGATGAGGTGGTTTTAAAGCACCATAAATTGAAACATATAATTCGGCATAATGAATAGATCCACTGCACCAAAATTTTTCACTCTTGGTCGGACAGTTATATTATCAAGCTGCTCAGCAGTTCAAATATATTCAACTTTTTTATTTGCATTTGTATTCTCATTTTACGATCATTGTTATTCTGATCCAGGCTGATTATTAATAGACATAGGCGCATAGCCTTATTAAATCGATTAAAAATGATATTAATCTTAAATCCTGACATAATTATTTTAAATGATTTAATGATTTATAGCGAATTTAGCGTTTTTAGTAAATTATAGCTGTTTATTGCTTTATGACGAACTTATACTATTATAAATATCATATTCAAATTTATCACTTGTAAAATATATACACATTTAAAAAATTCCAAATAAAATCTTTATTATATTTTTGTAAAATAATACATTAGAATGGCTAAGTAAAAAAATGAAATAAAATGACTTCTTAATATTGCAGTTCATTATGAAGGTGCACTTCTTTTGACTTGATTCACATATTGAATTAATAGTTCTATCGCATCCTGTAATACACATTTATCACAAAATTTTTGTTGCAATGAAAAATCTGAATCAGAAAATATTATTATACAAACACACTTATACAAGAATACACAAGTAAAAAACTATGTAAATTGCCATTAATTTTTATTTATTCTAAATTAATTACGAACAATTAAAAGTTAAAGATAGTATTTATACTTCTTTCAACATCCTTATTCATGTTGTGGAGGCACAGGTGATGACGTATCATCGACTAATTTGTTGATATAATAGCTTGTTAATATGTTATTTAAATGTTAGAATCGATAGATATACACTTTTTGGTGTACAAACCTTCCATAGAGTTATCACGCTCTCCAAGGTCATAATCTTTAAGATCATCGCCATCGTATGAATCTTCCTGAACTTTTGAAAAAATTTTTGAGGTTTCATTAACAGCCCAATAAAAATCATAATTAAGCTCTTCAATTAATTTTGCTATTAAGTCTGAGAGTTCTCCCAGGATTTTGGCTGCAACTAAGGCCTCTTTTTAAATATATAAAATTAGAAATAAAGGTAAAAAGAAAAAGCAAGAGGACAATTGACTTACTTTACTGAAGACTCTATAAGTGAGAGATCGTATTCTGGCTTGAACTAATCTGGCCAGATTTCAGCTTTATTTTGTTCATTAAGGAGAGACACTGCATATTGTATGTTTCTGATGGCTGAAATATCTGGAATGGAGAGAACTTCCTATTCAGCTTTAGTGTATGCCCTGGCACACTTGATGAGTGCTTGGTGATGTGTCTTAATGATGAAAGATTCAAGCAAGATTAGATACGTGGATTTCTTTGGCAACTGAAGAACTGCTTACCTCATCTTCTTCACTCCATGCTACTTTTTGTACTTTCTTTGGTTTCCTTTATTTGCATTTGAAGACGAACATATTAAATATACTTAAATTTTGTTACAATTATAATTAGATAAATACCTGTACGTTTAGAAATGCGTGTATTTTGGCTTTTTCTAGTTGCGAGTGGTTTGAATCTTGGTGCTCTACAGTACCTCGTGGAATGTCTGTACTGTTTGCAGATAAAGCAGATTTTATTGTTTTTGTTGTTATCATTTTTTCGTTCTATATTAGTATACATCTTGGCTATATAATGAGAATGTAAAACAAAGAAAAAGGTTTATATACAACTTATATGGTGTTAATCACATGAATCTGCATGTGATTGTGTATATCATTATTATGTGATTAAAAATTTTACGGTTCCTAAACATAAGACATATAATTAATGCAATCAGATGCCAAGTTTAAAGTTTCTATTGTCATAATTTCTCATGTGAAATAATGACTCACATTTATAAAGTTTAATATATTTGTTAATCTGACCCATTATTAGGGGCATACCAGAAATCACGTGATTATGCTCAATGATCCCCTTACCCACTATGTGATTGAATTCTGATTGGCTAAAAAAATACATACAGTATAATATTAATATATATATTAAAATACAATTAGTTTGCTATTTAATAATCCAATTTGCATAAACTTTTTTTTGTTTTGTAGCTCCATTTATGCTTTATAAAATAAAAAAAAAATTTGACTGCTAGATGATAAAATAATTGCAAAAAAGCTTATTAATAAATAAATTAGCATATATTATATATATATTATAATACAATAAACTTTTTTTTGTTTTGTAGACCTCTTTATGCTTTACAAAACAAAAAAAAATTCATTAAAATTGAACTGCTATATAGTAAGTTAATTGCAAAAAAAACTTTTTAATAAATAAATTACTATATATTATATATAATATATATATTATAATACAATTATTTTACTATCCAATAATTCAATTTGTATAAACTTTTTTTTTATTTTGTAGCTCTCTTTATACTTTATAAAACAAAAAAAAATTATTAAAATTGGACTTTTAGATGGTGAGATAATTGCAAAAAAAGCTTCTTAATAAACAAATTATATATTATTTATAAAAAATATACTATTACCATAAAAAGGGGACGTCTAAAGCGGAGTCAAATCACGTGACTTCGAAAAAAAATTATTTTCTAAATAAAATTTTTCGCAATATATATACGACCTTTTAAACATATATAGTGAGTGTATTTTGGCCTGCTCTGCAAGTTTACTTAGAATGACAAAATGAGTTTTGAATGCCGTTTTCGATTTATTTGACTTTTCATTTTTGTCTATCCATTTTTGGATATGATCGGCAAAAAAGCTTTTGCTAATATATAAAGTGAAAACCAGTATTCAAAATCTACCTTTTAACCTTAAGTA